CTGTGCACCTGTCAATGCATACCAACAGTCTTTCGACGTGAGCAACTGATCAAGGCGTAGGGCCTTTCCTATGGGACTGCAAAATGTTTGCGTTGCCTTCTTTCCCTTCAACACCCAAACCACCCCCCATCAGTGTCTTTTTGAAATGCTGTGTTTGAGCCGCTGGCTGTCCAGTACTCCTCCTTCCCTGAAGTAACGACGATTGCGACAAAGCCAATGTATGCCGATGGCTGGTCGTAAGAACTTCCAACAAAAAACACCTGACATAAAGCTGCTGGCCACAAGCATGTCTGTGGATGGGGAGTTTCACGCCCGGGGCTTCGCACCATCATCTTGCTTGTGCTTCCTTTCACATTGCGAAAACGGAGAGAAGGAACTAAGGAACATAATGTCAAGAAATTACAAGGCCATAGTATGCGCACATCTAACTTGTTTCAGGTTTGCCCTGCTCTGATTCTCTGACACGTACCAGTAGTTCTATGCAGGAATAAAAACATGATTCAATGACAACGTGGCGGGGAAGAAGGTGAAAGAAGGAACCCAACACTAAACAACAAGCTAACTTTCACTCCGAACTCACAGCTCTGTTCATGCTTCACTGCCTCGCAGCATCGTCGCCCGCTTCACCCTGGCGCTCTGTACTGGTCGCGTCGCTACTACATACTTCTTTTGCAAAAGATCGACACCGGTATTTGCAGCAAGGCAAGCTTCTTCTCACGAATAAACAAACATGATGAATGTTTCAGGCACGTTTTACTGCCTTTTAGGCTGCGTTGGTTTCAGGGAAGTCGGATAATTCTGCAATCTTAGCATGTACTAAGGCAGAACATTCTAAGGCACAAAAGGCGACGGAAAAGAGCGCAAACATAAAATTCCAAGAGTTGACTACACGCGTCTGACAATATAATATACTGTATAGATCGCAGCAGTCGCAACCTTGGAAATTCAGTGTGCTTCAATTGACTGTAGGGAGCTTCAGTGATCTAGACCCCATGATACTCCCAATCCCCGTGCAGCCTCAGCGGCCTTCGCCTCCAAAAGGATCCAAAAGGAACATAGACGTGATATATCTAACATCACTTCATCTCAAGCCACCAGGTCCTTCCCATTGCTACCACTATCACATGAGAACACATACCCACTTGTTTGATCTTGTTTCTTAAACAAATCCGCCTTTGCATCGGCAATCATTTTTCGCTCCATTTTTCGGCAAACCTCGGTTCAAAGCATTGACACATTTGGTGGCACGATTCCTGAGCGAAATGATGACGTTGAATGATGTTGAATGCGACCTACTTCGCAGTAGATAAAATGAACGCCGATTATGTTTGAATGTCCACGCTTCCTGATCAAATGCTCTCCGATACTACCTTGATTTGATCTTCATGACAGATCAATTTTGCTCTGACCCAGAGCATCGCAGAAAATGCCAAGGGCCGAGCTGATTGAAGCATTGATGACAGGTTTCTGCCTGAGAAGCTGAACATTGGATGTCGTCATTGCAGCCATCTTCGATCATCCAGTGGGCCACGGCATCATCATCGCATACTTTCACCATGTCGTCAAGAATCCATCAACAATTTTTGGTGACACAACGCAATATGATATATATATAATCTATAATAGTCTAACAGTAACAATAGATCTTAAATTATTGTAATGTAGCAATCATATTCATAATATTTGCTGATTGTGTAAAGTTAGACTTAAACAATAATGATCAGGAACGACAACTCAGCTGCTCTCAGCTGTCTTGTGACCATGGCTGAGCTCCCAGCAAGCTCCACCTTGCGCCTCAACCAGCTCTTCCACTCGCTGGAGAACCTTCGGCTGGTGACACGCTTTTTGCTCGAAATCTTCCCGTGGACAGTCCGTCCCATTTCTTTAAAGCGAAATTCATGGAACATCTCCAGAAAACATCGGGAAACCTAATCTATTTACATTATATATATATATATTTACAAGAGTTTACATCTATTTACCATCCAAATATGGGTGTTTCATGTTGTTTCCAATGTGCTTCCTGTAAATCATCCCTCCATTTCTGGGGCTGTGCTTTGTAGATAGAAGCAATGGCTCTATGGATAATATTGGATAATCAGGTGTAGTGCAGCATGGTCCAAGCAAATGCATGAATGGTTCTTCGTGCCATCTTTTAGCCACCTTTCAACTTCCAAACATGGGGCACATCGAGGAATATGGCCTCCATTGCTTTGGATGCCGAAAGGCTCCAGAGCGAGGAAAGGGCTCGCTCATCAATCTCACTCCTCTGCTGTTTCATGTGCTTCCAGTCAGTCAGGCTGTATAAAAAAAGAAAAATCACCTCAGCAGAAGGAGGCTGCCAGACTAAGAGGCACAATCCCATCGAATTCCAACACATCACGAAGGGAAGAACTCCCTGAATACTGGAGATAACACTGTCACATCATAGTCAAGTAATTGTAAGTCTGTCCTGGGCACCCGGAATGACAAAACGTTTTGAACATTGAACTCCCCCCAGTACTCCCCGGTCATGTAGCTCTGAGGCATCCGGCTGTGTGCTTTCCTGCAGGAGTTGCACCCGCTTCTCTACCTAACACCAGATTTTCACTGTCTGAATTGCAGTGATGTACAGTTGATAGCTGTGGTCTCTGATGCTGCACGACTGGATAAAAAGGCGGCACCTCCTCTTTTTCAGGGCCTAGGGGCCGAATATGGCCGAATGCTTCTGGGAAAGGGTGAGCCATCTGGCTTCTAGTGCCCAAGGTTGCTGTGCCAACATGTATCTACCACAAGTCGCCTTATCCAGGCCTAAGTGCCTGACCAGCGGCCGCATCATCCTGCCAACAGTCACCAATGGGGACAGGATGTGATTGGAGGACCTGATTTGATTTCCAAGAGCTCTGTGCGTCCGAGTGTGCATCCCCCAAATTGAAACAGAAAGGGCCTGTTGTCATTGGCAAACTAAGGGTATCATCGGGCCTGTTTGCCACCTTCAGCCTTGCTTATACTGTTAAATGACAAATGATTATCACTGATAGCTACTGTGTGCATTCCTTCGAATCAGTTCAAGTTGTGACCAGCTGTGTCGTCTTCAACATCACAAGGAGCTCCTCTGATCCAGCTCTCACTTTCGCGTGAGGAAACAGTGCCTGGACATCAACACTGCCATTGGCAGCGGTGGCAAAGACCAAATCAGATTTCCGTCGTGATCCTGGGTCTACTGGTTTACTGTACGTCACATCACTCCTGCCCTGATCCTTCATCCCTCGGATCTGTTTGAACTCGATTTAATTTGGGGATACATATGCCGTCACTCACTCTTCGAAGCGAACTAATTACATATGTCTCAAGCGTCTCAAGGTTGTCTATAGTCCATTCTTCTTCGTTTCAATCGCTCACCCCTGCTCTCCAACCAGTTGCCCACTTTCATCATCCGTCCTTCAATGTACAAGCAATGGTTTCTGCACACCCGCCTTGGCCGGCTCTCTGGCAATCCAGCGGGTGATTTTTGGGGCTGGAATGAAAAGTGTAAATTTTAAATATGTATATTTTCATTTGGAACATTGAATCATCAAATCTTCTGGGGGTACTTTGGGCGTTTATTTTTCAGCCCGGCCCAAAATCGCCTCATTGTTTGGCAAAGTACAGCTCCATTACAAAAAGCAGCACATGGGTCTGAGCTAAAAGCCGGCATCGGTTTCCTGGCAAGACATCCCCATCCCGCATCATCCGGCTACAAAACTGTGACAAATGATGGAAACCATGAGAGTTGTCCAGTTTGTAATCTCCAGCACAATGGCAAAACTATATGCAAAACTGGGATCCACACGATGCCAGGAGGCCTCCCTATGTCGGCATTCCTTGGCTCGCACATGTTTGAATAAAGAAGCAACAAACCTAGAAGTGATTGCATCTAGGCACATCAGTCTTTCCATTCCTGGTCTTCCCGGTTAAAATCTGTGGAAATCACACAGCATTCATAGGTCTCCGCGGCTTTGCTTCCAGTTGCTTTCTGGCTTGGAGCAGTCAGCAGCTGAGTGCAAAGCATATCCATGCCGTCCGACTTAGCCGGTCGCGCATGCAACACGTGAGCGGACAAGCCCATGTCATACCGCTATACCATCCGTTATACCATAGCATAGCCATGCATAGCAGGCATAGCACTATTGCATACCCTACACTAGCAGCAGCTTGTCAAATAACTTTCAACGCAGACTATCAGACTAAATTAGGAACACTGCCTTCCACCGGAATCCCTAAAAACAGTCACTGTAGGCAATCGCTTCAATTGCCTTTGCCTTCTGACGCTGCCCTTGCAAAGAAAGAAAGAGAGAGAATAGATGGAGCCTGAAGTCTAAGAGCCAAACTAGAAGCCCTGTGCAGGTGTCATTTTTTTCGGAAGCACTGACAGGATGCTCAAACATCTCAAACCATGCCAAGTCCATCTAGTCTATGTCGAGTCAAGTATGACTGCACGAGGTCAACAAATCATGTTGCACTGCAGCAAACCACATCCACAGCAGCACATAGAGAGAGAGAGATAGGGGAGGTATGCAGTATATGATACGGTATATGATACGGTATATGATGTACATGTACATGTATATATATATAATATAATTATATATATATGGCAAGGCATGTGTATATGCAGCAAGTACTATATACATCACATGTCCAGCAGGTACATTGTGTACATGCGCATATTCACATTGAAAGGGATCGACCGACCCTGGTTCCTTTTCGTAAAACACCGGGGATCTTGTGTGACGTGCCTCCATCTGGCAACCAGGCAGGTTCATGCCTCCACGCCTGGGAATGTCAAAGCATTGCAGTCAGCAAAATTGACGGTAAGGTGAAGGACATGCAACAGCAAATCTAACAGTCATGCAAAAACCAGAGCGGTCAAATTGAGCTCAGTAGAATCAGAGGGTGATTCAAGGAACTTCCAACTTAGAAACCCGAAGCCTTGAGACGGCACACATATGAAAAATACGCATGCAGCATTGCAGCTACCTTTTTCCATTACAACAACTCGCCATGCCACGCAGTATCTTTGTCATCTAAGAGCCCTTTCGGGAGCAACGTGCACAACAGCTGCGTGTCTTCCGCTGCTTGCTAAATGATGAATTCGAACGATTTGGGTAGCACTCCTGGGAATTTCGAGTGCTGATTGCCTGATTGCTGGATGTATATACAATTATCTTAAGATTCTTTTGGCGTGAAACTTAATCTGACAGGGTTGGCATGGCGCACAATGCGCGACTTCAGCCTTTTCTTGCCACATGAGCCCCAAGCACATTGAGTGCGATGTCTTTCACATGGCGGTTAGCAGCTGGTACAAAGCGCATCGGCAAGTAGTCAGGAGCCTGAAAAGTAGCAGCAGCCAAAGGGATGTCCCGAAACTGATCTGTGTAGGTGCTTCGAAAGCGCTCCTCCGATGAAATGTCAGCTGCTTCCACAGCATACGTAGCAACAGCGCAAGGTGGTAAAGGCTTCAATACTGCAGGGATGCCATAACCGAAACTTGGTGGCTCACTGGTGGCCACTGGTACGATGCCTCCTTGGACTCTGCCAAGCTTATCATGCTTTCTCCCCATGTCATTGCCCATGGCTGGTCTTTGTCTCTGAGACAAGGACCGACGTTGACTCTGCACTTTCTGTGCTTTCTGCAGGTTCTGGTTGGTTGAACCGCCCTCTGCAGCCTCCGCATGCCTTGCTTGTGCTGCTTGTGTCACTTGAGCTTTTGGTGTTCGGGGCGTTTCAGGGGGGGGAGTGGGCCTTCTCTGGACAGGTGTTTCGAGTGCCTCGAGCCTCTCGGCTTCGTGATCGACCAAGGCAAAGTCTGTCCAGTCTTCCGCCACTCCCGGCAATGGAGGAGTTGGTATCCGTGGTATGTCTTCTCTAGCGGTACTTGGTCTGATGGGCTTCTTGTTCTTCTTTCGAAACTCTACAGCAGTTTTGGGTGGACCTTCCAGGAAGCGATTGCGCCAAAGAGCAAAGTGGCCAATTCCAACTGCCGGTTTATCTCGGAAATTCGGACCCCAGTGCCTGTAGTAGCGAGGCCCACTCGGTGGTTTGGCCTGCTTTGCAGGACGAAATCTTGCCCAGCTCTCAGTCTCAGTTGTCTCCATCGTGGGCGCTCTTCACCCTTGCGGTGGCTAAGCCTGAGCTTGAGCAGAAAGGCTCCTGCTGCACTCATTTAGCCTGGGGCCCCACCAACGATGAACAAGAATTGCACGAACAAATCAATGCCCCCCTCTTAGCAACTTCTCCAATAGGACTGGACAGAACAAAGCTAGAACATGACATAAAACTGCTGCGGAAGCATGCGTGATCATGTGCAGTCCACAAGCTGGAAGAATCTTTGGACATGTTAAGACTAGGCCGGCACCTCCTCGTTCCACGATTGATTGGTCCACATCTCCCTAAGAAGCAAAAGGAGAGGGATGGAGAGGGGAAGCATATGAAACATTCGGAAACCGCTTGGACCACCTTGAATAATGTTCTTTTGGAGTTGTTAGTTGAGGCTGAACAGGGTCGAGTGGCGGGAGTGACATGGAGCATTTGTGAGCCCTGGGGTCCTAATGGTCCTAATGCAAGGGTACCTATTCAGAAAATTGACCTTGACTTGAAAATTATGTGACATGGAGAAAAATCTGCCGGTTAATTGTGAACCCCTTACAAAAACTGTGGATGTTTTTTTCTGTTTTCCCATTTTTCCCTTTTTTTTGCTGCACCGACCAAACTTGGGATATTTTTTGTTATTATGTTTTTTAAATACAATGTTTATATACATATACGTATATATATAATATATAAAAATATTATATATATATATAGTCCCATTTCCCCTTTACTTTTCCCGTATTTGTCATGCCCCGGCCTTTCATGTTTTTCGTACATTATTTCCGTATGTGCGTTTATGTTTAACATTGTTTAACTATTCATTTGCATTTATCTGGGTGATTTTGTGTTCTATGGTTTTATTAACTTTTATTTGTTGTTCCTGTTCTTTATCTGTATATATTTGTTGGCACCTCCCATTAGGCCCCCTTCAAGTAGGCCCCCAGTTCTGTCGAAAGAATGGAGTGACGAATGACCGTATACTGACATCCAACACCTCTCTCTCTCTCTCTCTCCCTCTCTCCCCCTCTCTCCCTCCCTGCAAAGCATAGCCATACTCAACCTAGTCTTTGTCATTTCTATCTGTTTCTATTTGTTCCATTCTGTTTCTAATATTTCCTAAATTTTCCTAATACTAGTATGTGTTATTATGTGTTCATAAGTTTTCATTCGCAAAGCGCTCCGGAGTGCGGTTCTCAGCTCCCAGCTCTTCGGCCGATGCTTTGGCACAGAGCTTCTTGACCATGGCATCCGCCTGGAGCATGGCATTGGCACATCGAGATGCATCGCATGATGTAAAACATTATGATACATTATGTATATTTATGTATAACGTGGTGTAATAATGTGTAATACACCGTGTGAACCAAACCTGGAGTCTGACTCTGGACACAAAAAATATAGTGGAGAGGAGGGAACTCTGAATCCACAGATCTGTTTGCATCTACCTGTGTTTCCTTTTGAGCCACTTCGACTCGACTTTCTTGCAAGCTCAACCTTCTGATCCGTACAATGTGATCAGTACAAAGCAGCATTGGACTCGACAAATGTTGCTTTACCCTAGATTGGCAGGGCCATTCGCGTCAAACGCACTCGTTTGATCCTGTTTGCACGCATAATTGCGCTGGTGGAACTTCAGACTCAAGAGGCATTGATACATATAGACATGCATAGACTATAGGTCGCGCGGCGCAGCTACATCGAATTGACAGCCAGAACACACAATTTCATACACAACTATCAGCGTCCCTGGATTGACAATGTTGTCAGCAGTTTGAGTTGCTGTCATTTCAGCAACCAGTAAAGCTTGATTGCTTGATGATCAATGAGCACAATGAGCGGTTTGAGGCAAGTGCATCACTTGCGCACCGAAAAAAAGTCTTGCCTCTTCCAGAGGGACGGAGTAGCGTTGAAGCACTGCCTCGGAAGGTTGTCCAGGGATGTCCAGGGACATTCTGATGGTGAAGGATGGTGTGTAAATGTCTGCCCTTCAACAACCCCAGCATCATCAGCATCTCTCATCTACCAGTAGTTTGAAGAACTTAGCCTTTTAAAGGGCAGTCACACGGGCACACACAGCTCTACTGACTCTACTCATCACAAGGATGTGAAAGGAAAGCACACCGCTAGAACTGTGGATCCAGCACGACAACAAGCAATGTGAGTGATGAATTGCTTCCTCTCCATCTCCCACTGGGCCTCAACAAGAATGCTTTTGCTCCTGCTTGATTCTGCCATAGGGATAGATACAAAAGGGCTGACAAGATCTGACAAGCCGTGACCCACCTGCATCTGCTCCCTCTTCTGCTCCAAGCCTTGCAAAACGCCGCCCACAAAAACATTCTAAGCAAGAGGCACTGAACGCCAAGCAAATCCAAGCAACAAAATCAAACAGCGAAAAGAATCCAAACGCATAGTACCACTGGGATGCAACTGGACTATATCCCACTTCCTGATATTTTTGAGGTCCAATGCAGATTTGTCCAGTTCTTCTTTTTTGGCCCAGCTGTGCACAGCCTTTGCCAAAGTCTTGGATAGTCTTGGCCAGGCCAGGGCTGTCGATAAGGTGCCGCGACATTTGGACAACTAGTTAAAGTAACCATGAGAAGCCAACACATTTCACCTCATCTCACATATTATGTAATCGAATCATATGTATCACATGTTTTCACCAGAACAGGTTCTGAAAACAACTCAGAGATGGTTCACACTCAACAGTTTCTCAGCTGGACCTCAGGACGTGCCCATCTTTGGGCCGTTGGATTCAAGTGCCATCTACATCCATCTACTACATCTCCTACCAACCTCCCAGATCTCGCAGCACAATTGCCCCCATCAGAAGTACTTCACGGTGAGACCCGGCACTCCCAACTCAGGATGCACCTCTACAGGTGAAACCAGTGCAGCATTGAAAAAAAGACGTCGAAATGGTCAGTTTCCCTCTTGAGCAGTCCAGTTTTCTGCATCCAAACAGAATCAAATATATAATATCAAAGACTTGGAGATATTTGGAGTGCACATTGTGGTGTCTTTGTCGTTACTATGAGCGACTAGTCGCGGTGATAAAGTTATTGTACTAGTTCTTGTTATGGTAATTTAATAATGGTATGGGCAAATGGGCATACGCTACATATACTGCTAATTACAGTATATAATTATGCATAATCTGCGTATTTGTACATGAGTTATATAAATGACTCCACGCGGGTCTTTGCCTGCCATCCGGCCGTCTCATCTTTGGAGCCAAGCCGATCGCAGGGAAAGTCCGGCTCTTTGCAGGAGCCAGACTTGGCGACACTTGCCTCGTCAGTGTGCCAAGTGCGAAAGCCAGACGCTAATATAGAATGATAATGAACCAATGAATGAATGAATGAACGACATGGTCTACAAAGCATGAAATGATTATGTTATATAATGTGCTACATGACATACATACAAATAATTTCAAATATGCACATAGAATGGACTGTGCACAAATGTAGATATACAATGTATGTAAAATACTACAAATATGTAAATATATTCAAATGTGTGATTGTGTGATTGTGTGGTTGTGCATAGGTGTGATGTAGCTATGTAATTATGTGTGTGTGTTGCTGAAACATTGGAGTTGAAGTATCAGTACAACCCTATAGATGCCCTATAGTCTATAGTCCAATGGGCTGTAGCTCTGGGGTCTCCACTTTCAGGATCATAGACAGAATGCTTTGATCGTGGCGATTCTCCTTTCTCTTGAACCAGGGCCCATCCAGAGCTTTGTTCCTGGCGCGCCAAATCCCGTTTGGATGCCGTAGGTAAGATCACCCCTTCACGGCATGTGACGAAAATACATGACATGAACATCATGAACATCATGAACATCATGAACATCATGAACATCGTGAACATCGTGAACATCATGAACATATCCCAAAAATGATCCCAAATGACCGCTGGCCAGTCCTGGACGGCTCGTCTGATACCAAGTGAAAGTCCTTAACAGTTCTCGACTGCAAGATACTGCAAGACTAAGCAACATGACTAAGAAATGCCTGGAAAACGCAAAGTCTGCGAAAGAAATCACACTTGTCTTCTTACTGAAACTTGCGTTTCTTTTGCGCAGCTGAAGCCGTCTTGGCTCTTGGCACCACCACTATCATCACTGCACCTACCAGTTTAATATAGTTTAATATAGTTTAATCATGTTTCATCGATTCATAATTCAAAGGAAGAATTCGGTCATACTAGGCATCGGATTATGTCCTAGTCATAGTCATAGTATGTCATAGTCATAGTCATCATGATCATCACAATCACCATGATCATCATCAATCCGTATCATCACCCGTCACCACCAGCATCAGAATTACCACCATCACCACCATCACCACCATCACCACCATCACCACCATCATCACCACCACCATCAGCATATTATCACCACCATCATCATGATGTCATCCATCATGCTCATCAGCAATCAGCAGCAGCACCACCACAAGCATCACGACAAGCATATCTCCATAATAACCATCACTGGACCATCACCATTACTGTCGTAATCACCACCATGAGCACGACCACGACACTGACCATCAACTGAAGTACTATCCGATCGCCTTATGACCGACACGACTTCATCCTCATCAACAAAGGACGGAAGGATACAAAAGGCCAACAGCTGCTGTCGCTGTTTCGAAATTGGTACCTGAAACAATTTGAGACCAAGATGCTGTCATCAAACCTTCCCAAATCTGAAGCAATTTCAGGGTTCGCTCGTTCAACCGCATTAGCCAGGCCTGGCTTCGTTGCAATCTCTCGAATTTTCAAGGCTCAAACGTGGCTTCTAGGAACTTGAAAGGTGCGTGGAGACTGACTTGATCTGTATTGTTTTGCACTAGCAACTGGCCTGCGCCTTTGGCTGCTGAGTTAGGCCATAATGCAGGCTGTCCCATGTTGTGCCAAAGCGTTGAAATATGTCACCCTTTGTCCAGACCTTGGAGAGCACATGGATGAGCGACGAATGACATCCATTTTGGGGAATAGACCGTATTTTATATATATATATACATATATTGCACGCAGGCACGCAGCCCACCTTATCATGCGCCCTTTCATGTTGTTTTGCAAATGGATCAACTGGTTACTTTCAAGGAAGACCCCACAAAGAGCCGGACCCCAGTTGGGTTGGCTGTAGCTAATCTGGGCCCTTTACATGCTCGCAATGGGGCTGTGCCGCAAGGATCACGTCCTGTCAAGAAGGAAGTTCTCTTGCAGTCTTACGGAAAAATGTACCGTATGTGTCAATGTAAACATGGCGTAATTTTGAAGCTACAAGTAGGAAGGTGCCCAATCAATCTGGGTCAAACACCCGTCTGCCCAGCACAAACACTACACTATACAGCGGTACTAGGTACAATAAGGACACAAAGCTGAACAATGGACCAATAAGACACAGACTCACCTGGTTGTGACATGTAATGTAGCGAAATAGAATGTCCGGTTCCGTGGTTCTGCTTGGACCATTCCACTGGTCACCCCGAGTTCTCTTGGCCCTTTGACCCCATGAGCACCTCTAAAGCAAACTCATTAGGAGACAAGTGCTAAGCTAATGTGACTTGGCACATCATGGCCAACAAAACAATCTACAGATAGCCATTATACGAAAAAGTTTCACCAAATATACCTAAAGCTACAGAAGGGAATTGAGATGAATGCAAAAGGCGGAGCCAGGCCATCGTTTTGCATCTAATCGTAGGGTCTAATCGGAAAGTATTTTCCACCCGAAGACTTATGTTTCCTACTATACATTGTGCACACTTAAAAACTGCTGCTCCAAAGACGTCGCAGCATCTGTCCTCCTTGTGATTGCCGCGCATTCTGATGATGTGCTTCATCATGCCCATGGAGTCCGCATCTACCTGCTCTCACCATCCCCACTTGCATTCACCCACAGTCTGTGCATGTGAACCTCTCTCTATATATATTATATATATTATAATTATATATACACACATATGTATGTAAGTGCTCGCCTACGTATATAATGTCATTGTATCATAGATGCAGGACTTATACATGACATATGTAATGAAATACTTCATCATTTTATCCAGTGATAGGGACACGTATAGCCTTTAGATATAGCACATGCAGTTGCCCGCTTGTGCATGTAACAAAGCAATTCCCTCTGCAAGACCTACCTGTGCAGGCAAACCGTGCAAATAGGCAAACGTGTACGCACTTGCTTCAATTATCTTGAATTTGCTGAGTCAAAGTCAAATGTTGCCTGGGGATCCCAACCCAAGAGGCAATACAAAGATATTATACACACATATACACACATGCGCCAAAAAAAACAACTTGTGAAACATGATTATAAAATCGATTGCATCATATCGCATTGATCAACATCTACAGGACAGTGGTACCGCAACAATCCGCAACATATGAGCAAAGCTACGTACAGCAACTCGTCGCCGAGTTGAAGTACCTGAGCACAAGCGGGATCACCCTTTTAAACTTATTAAACATGTTGTCCGCAACCTTAACGTTCGCCCAGACTCATCATTGTGACATAGCAGAGACAATTCTGTGTTGCTGGGAAATTGCGAATCCAAGCAAGGCCAAGGGGGCCAATTAGGCCACGGTGGCATGTGAAAGATGCCTTGAATACAGTTATCTTCATGAGGAAACAATATCACCTGATCACCATGAGGGAACAAAATCCGCCACCCCCTATGACCAATATGCTGAACATCAACTTTATCTCCATGATGGATCAAAATTAGCCACCCCCTCTGAACAATACGTTGATTGCGGGACATCAACTCCGGGCAAACGTCCAGGTTGCAGCGAACATGTTTAAATTACCCCGTGGACCCGAATGGAGTCATGAAATGCAGTCGTATAGTCAAACATGTTGAACACTAGGTGCTCGCTGAGGAATCGCCAGAGATGTGGATGGAAATAGCCCGAATCTCACATTGACACACTCTAAACTCTAAATGGACCAAACTTGGGCAAAACTCATCTCAACTCTAGCCAATGTACTGGAACATACTGGAACTATGCGGAACTTCTACCTCCACTTGATCGGAGGTGACACACAAGATCTGAGCTGAAATGCAGCCGAATGCAGCCAGGCGTCGCCCTGTGACAACAACATCCTTGAGAGCGCAGCCTGAAACGTGTCTTGCTGGGTGTCACTGGCAAGGCAGGGGATCTGCTCATAAAATTCTATGAATTGCATGCAGTTATGACTCAAATTACAATTCTGCCGAATATCAACTCAAGGCCCCCTTCGCCAGTGTTCCATGTGCTGGCCTTCCAGAACCAATAACCACGTCCACGAACGCCTGGCCTGACGTGAGACTTTAACACCAAAATGCAGTGGTGCACACCAGCACCTGCTACCACATTATAACTGGCTGAACGACCCCATTGCCAAGCCAGCTTCTGCTTTCATGTCTCCAAGTTGCGAGAGCATCCACCGACATATACCGACATCCATCATGTGAAATTTCAGTGTTGCCATGAGGAGCGGACTTCACGTGCGTCTGCCAACGTGGGTCATTCATGAGCTCATCGGGGAGACTGCCGAGCAGTGGTTACCAACAATTCAAAGCAATGCCGCAGAGATCCACGGAGATTGTGCTGCTAAAACTGGGATTGCAGCAACAAACAAAAAGAAAGTGAATTTAAAATATCCGCTGGCGTCAAATCGTGAATCGTGGACGCTGCCGGGCTAATACTTCTTCAAGCCTGCCTTGTGTACAGGTGTCGTTCATCAATCTCTGGCGCTGTGTTCGCCTCCTTGTCCATGCTTGCCATCTCCTGTTCTCCAAGATTGAAGGCGCTGAACACATCGGAATACCACAAGTCATTACCAGTAGTGCCGCACAAGGCGGTGGCGGAAGTTTCAAAGATAGGAAACTATAGGAGAGGTGAGTTGTTGTGATGCATGGATGGCAGAGCGGATCCATGGATGGACCGAAAGGCGGTTGTGATTTTTGGAGTGGTTGAAGTATGTTGAAGTGGTCACCTCACACACAACTGCAGGATGTAGTGTGGTGTGGCAAAGTGCAATGTTATTGTAGTTGCAGTGGTAGTTATAGTTGTGGTGGGGTGGTAGTTGTAGCTGCAGCTGTAGTTGTAGTTAAAGTCTAGTGTGGTGTAGTGTAGTGGTAGTTGTAGTTCTAGTGTGGTTGTAGTAGTAGTTGTTGTGTATTTGAGGCTGTAGTTGTAATTGTGGCCGCAGCTGTAGTTGCAGTTGCAGTTGTCGTGTGGTTGTAGTTAATGTAGTTGTAGTAGTTATTCTAGTTGTAGATGAAGTGCAGTTGAAATTGAAGCTGCAGGTGTAGTTGTAGTTGAAGTTGTAGCTGTAGTTGTTGTAGTTGAAGAGAGTTGAAGTTGAAGTTGTAGTTGTAGTGTAGTTGAAGTGTAGTTGAAGTTCAAGTTGAAGTTGTAGTTGTAGTTGTAGTGTAGTGTTGTTGGTGTAGCGTAGCGTTGTGTAACGCAGTGTAAGTTGCAGTTGTAGTTGTAGTTGTAGTTGTAGTTGTAGTTGTAGTGTGGTGTTGTTGGTGTAGCGTAGTGTTGTGTAATATAGTGTAAGTTGTAGTTGTAGCTGCAGTTGCAGCGGTAGTCTAGTGTAGTGTAGTCTAGTGTAGTGTAGCCTAGTGTAGTGTAGTCTAGTGTAGTGTAGTCTAGTGTAGTGTAGTCTAGTGTAGTGTAGCAGAGGGTAGTGTAATATAACTTGTGTAATGTAGAGTAGATTGCTGCAATTTGTTTAGAGTAGTGTAATTAGTGTAGTGTAGTGTAATTAGCGTATTGTAGTGTAATTAATGTATTGTAGCGTAGTATATTTGTTTTTGCATTTGTAGTTCCGGTGGTAGTGTGGTGTGGTTGTAGCTGCAGTTGTAGTTGTCTATCTATCTGTCTGTCGGTCTGCCTGCCTGTCTGTCTGCAAGTTTGAAAACGAAGGAATTCGGCGAGACTTCCTCAATGTTCGAAGTTGACAACATCAAAAACGAAACAATTCTGCGAGACTTCCTCAATGTTCGAAGTTGAGAACGTCAAAGACGAAGCAATTCTGCGAGACTTCCTTCAAAAATGGGAAGTTCAGTGCAGAGCTAACGGCCTCACACCTGTACCAATGCGTTTTGCGATTTTCCCACTCCATCTGTCTAAAGCACTGCGCCTGCCACGAAAGAGTGATGCCAGGTCATACGAAGTGCTGCACCTGTCACGCAAAATCATCTTAGATGCGCCAAAATGCAACCCCTCTCAGGAAATCAGCGCCCTGACCTCCTAACATCTCTGATGAACATGTCTCTTGTCCTGCACCTGCCACGCGAAATGCATCTTTCCAGATCCTCTTCAAATGTCCAACGCCTACCAACGCTTTTGAAACTGCTACAAAACCTTCACGTTTTGCTCACTTTTGGCAAGGTGCAGAATCCCATGCGCCTGCCACACAAAACCACATCTGAACCTTCAAAAGTGGTCCGAGCATGTTTTTTCTAAACATTTTGACTTGGAAACATGCTTCGCGCCACAACGGCGTGCACTTTTTCAACATTTCCAAAAGTGGTCCAAACATGGTGTTTTGTAATTTGTACATTTTGACTTCCAAACGTGCTTTGCGCCACAACGGCGTGCAACTTGTCGACACTCACTCGCCAGCTGGCTCCGCACCCGCCCCGCCGCTTTAGCGAGCCTACTTTTCGATCCTCCGGAGCCACAAATCATTGAAAAAACGCGGTGTTTCGCAGCTTTTCTACATTGTCGCGCGCCTGCATCTTGTTTCGTCTCACTCTTTCTCTTCTCTGATCTTCTCTCTTCTGCTCTTCTCTTCTCTGACTCTTCCCACCTCTGCTTTTCATCTGTCCATATTGTCGGATATTGTCGGAAGTTTGACTTCTAAACTTCCTCCGGTAAGATATGATATAGGCTATAAATTATGTCATTTCCTATCATTACCATTCATTACCAGTAGTATCGCACGAGGCGGTGGTGGAAGTTTCAAAAATAGGAAACCTATACGAGATGTTGGTTGTTGTGAATCACGGATGGCAGAGCGAACCCACTGATGGAGTGAAAGGTGGTTGGTGTTGTGAATTTGGAGTGGTTACAATGGTTGCAGTGGTCGCCTGGTCGGTCACCTCACCCACAACTGCTGGATGTAGTGTGGTCGGGTGCAGCTGTAGCTGTAGTGTAGTGGAGTTGTAGTTCTGGTGTAGTGTAATTAGCGTAGCGTAGTTGCAGCTGCATTTGTGGTGGTGTAAGAAGTGTAGCGTACTGTAATGTAGGATAGTGTAGTGTAGTCTAGTGTAGTGTAGTGTAAAGTAGCGTAGTTGTAGTTGTAGTTGTAGTGAGTGTAGTGTAGTGTAGTGTATTGTAGTGTAGTGTGGTGTGGTGTAGTGTAGTGTAGCGTAGCTTAGCGTAGCGTAGTGTAGTGTAGTAGAGATCCCCCATGTACAGCTCGCTAGATGCTTTGCGGCCGACTTTATACAGAATAGCCTGGTATAAACTGGAATGGCCACATGATTGGAGCCTATGAAGTGGAAATCCAACATGTTTTGGCTATAAAGTCAAAATCCAACGTTGTATAAAGTCGCCTGGCCACGTAAAAACATAAAATTCGATGTGGGTTTTTGAGGGTAGTTGAGAGCATTTCCCATGTCTATAAAGTGAGATGCTGAACATCCAGATAGTAGTACTTGCGTCGAACAGTGGTAGGTACTATAATGTGGGTTTCCTACTGAACAACGATCGTGGTAATATCGATGGTTTTCTTAATCACGTCGATGGAAACATCCTTTATAAAATGGCTTGCTAGAAAGTTCAGCTGTATAAAATGGTTTGATGACGTCATTTCTGGCTGCCCCACCCTCTGCATAAACTGGACCGGTTCATGCCCATCCTTCATAAAATGGCTTGCTAGAAGTTCAGCTGTGTAAAATGGATTGATCACGTCATTTCTGGCTGCCCCACCTTTGTAAAATGGCTTGCTAGAAAGTTCAGGTCTATGAAGTGGTTTGGATGATTAATCTCATGACTTTATAACATGCTCTGCAGCAATTTTCTTTCTATAAAATGCCGTGGCTGCAGCGAAAATTCCCTTCTTAAAGGGCAAGTTTCACTCTATAAAAAGCCCCAACAGAAAAATATTGGTTCGACATCATTGGGGAGACATGTTTCTCTAAAGTGGATGGTGTGACATGTTATGGCCATTCCTTGAAGTGCCGCATATACTGAGTCATTTCCTTGTGGGAAACCAGCCGGGTATAAACTGGAAAGCCAGCGTTGTATAAAGTCATCTTCCAGGTCCAAGGGCATGCTTCTCCGCAAAACACGGCTTTTTCATGCTTTTTCCCCCATTTCCCCCATGGTCGGCGTATAAACTGGCGACCGGAAGCCCACTTTATAAGCGCAAAGGAAGTCAACTTCATAGACAGCTATACATGGGGGATGTGTAGTGTAGTGTGTGTAGTGGTGTGGTGTGTAGCGTAGTGTGTAGTAGCGTAGTGTAGCGTAGTGTAGCGTAGTGTAGCGTAGTGTAGCGTAGTGTAGCGTAGTGTAGCGTAGTGTAGCATAGCAAAGTGCAGTATAGCGCAGTGTAATTGAGTGTAGTGTAGTGTAGTGGAGTGTAGTGGAGTGTAGCGCAGTGTAGTGGAGTGTAATGTAAGTAGTGTAGTGTAGTGTAGGTTGTAGTTGTGGTTGTAATTGTAGATTAATTGTAGTTGTAGTTCTAGTTGTAGTTAGTGTACTGTAATGTAGTGTAGTGTGGTGTCGTGTAGTGTAATGTAATCAGTGTAGTGTAATGTAATTCGTGTAGTGTAGTGTAATGTACAGCAATCGTAGTTGTAGTTGTAGTGTAGTGTTGTTAGTGTAGTGTAAGTGAGTGCAGTGTAGTGTAGTGAAGCGAGGCGGAGTGTAATGTAGTGTAGTGTAATTAGTGTAGCGTAGTGGAATGTAATGTAGTTGTAGTTGTAGACTAAGTTAGTGTAGTCTAGTATAATTGCGTGTAGTGTAGTCTAGTGGAGTGTAGTGTAGTGTACTGTAATGTAATTAGCGCTCCGTAGCGGAGTGTAATGTAGTGTAGTGTAGTTGTAGTTGTAGCTGTAGTTGTAGTGTAATGTAGTGGAGTGGAGTTTAGTGTAGTGGCGGTTGTAGTTGAAAATGCTACAAACTAGACGACGGATGGCCCGAGAGCGTAGAGGAGCAGGGTCTTCTCTTGTTAGTATGGAGATGCAATTTTAGAAACGGTATATGAAAGCTGTGGTTTAGGCAGTCGAGAAGAGGAGTATCAAGACAAAATAGTGAGAAGTGCAAGACAATAGTTTGCATCGCAAACACTTTTACACACAGACGCTTTTACACAGACGCTTTTACACACAAAGCTTTTACCCACAGAAGCTTTTACACACAGAAGCTTTTACAGACAGAAGCTTTTACATACAGAAGCTTTTACATACAGAAGCTTTTACACACAGACGCTTCTACACAGACACTTTTACACACAGACACGTTTACACACAGACACTTTTACACACAGACCCTTTTACACACAGACGCCTTTACACACAGACACTTTTACACACAGACGCTTTTTACACACAGACACTTTTTACACACAGACGCTTTGACACACAAACACATTTACACACAGACGCTTTTACACACAGACGCTTTTTACACACAGACGCTTTTTACACACAGACGCTTTGACACACAAACACATTTACACACAGAGGCTTTTACACACAAACGCTTTTACACAAACACTTTTACACACAAACACTTTTACACACAGACGCTTTTACACACAGACGCTTTTACACACAGAGACTTTTACACACAGAGACGCTTTTACACACAGAAGATTTTACACACAGACGCTTTTACACACAGACGCTTTTACACACAGACGAAAGGGTTGCTCCGGCACAGGAAAAATCGCAATTTTACCTCAGTTTCTACCGATCGACCCTCATTTCGTGCGAAAGGGTTGCTCCGGGGCAAGTAAAATCGCAATTTTACCTCAGTTTTTGCCGATCGACCTTCATTTCGTGCGAAAGGGTTGCTACAGGGCAAGTAAAATCGCAATTTTACCTCAGTTTTTGCCGATCGACCCTCATTTCGTGCGAAAGGGTTGCTCCGGGGCAAGTAAAATCGCAATTTTACCTCAGTTTTTGCCGATCGACCTTCATTTCGTGCGAAAGGGTTGCTCCGGGGCAAGTCAAATCGCAATTTTACCTCAGTTTTTGCCGATCGACCCTCATTTCGTGCGAAAGGGTTGCTCCGGGGCAAGTCAAATCGCAATTTTACCTCAGTTTTTGCCGATCGACCCTCATTTCGTGCGAAAGGGTTGCTCCGGGGCAAGTCAAATCGCAATTTTACCTCAGTTTTTGCCGATCGACCTTCATTTCGTGCGAAAGGGTTGACGTTTCGTGACTCGCCGCCGGCACCACCCTCGGCCTTAAGAGAGAAAGATAAAAAGAAGGCGTGAGAGAGAAGGTGAGCAGGTGTGAAGATAAGAAGATGTGAAGATGAGCAGATGTGAAGATGAGCAGATGTGAAGATGAGCAGATGTGAAGATGAGCAGATGTGATGAAGATGAGCAGATGAAGATGATGTGAAGATGAGCAGATGTGAAGATGAGCAGATGTGAAGATGAGCAGATGTGAAGATGAGCAGATGTGAAGATGAGCAGATGTGAAGATGAGCAGATGTGAAGATGAGCAGATGTGAAGATGAGCAGATGTGAAGATGAGAAGATGTGAAGATGGGAAGGTGTGAAGATGAGCAGATGTGAAGATGAAGGTGTGAAGATGAGCAGATGTGAAGATGAGAGGATGTGAAGATGAGAGGATGTGAAGATGAGCAGATGTGAAGATGAGAGGATGTGAAGATGGGAAGGTGTGAAGATGAGCAGATGTGAAGATGAGCAGATGTGAAGATGAGAAGATGTGAAGATGGGAAGGTGTGAAGATGAGCAGATGTGAAGATGAGAGGATGTGAAGATGAGAGGATGTGAAGATGAGCAGATGTGACGATGAGAGGATGTGAAGATGAGATGTGAAGATGAGAAGATGTTTTACAGACCCCCACTGTTGGAAGAACCCTGCGCTCAGACGCTCTCGGGAAAAATCACGTTTTGCTCACTTTTGAAAAGGTGCATAATCCCTTGCGCCTACCACTTCGCGCCACAATGGCGTGCACTTTTTCGACATGTCAACTTCCAAAAGTGCTCCGAGACCGTCAGTTTTTAACACTTTTGACTTTGAAATGCGCTTTGCGCCACAACGCCGTGCACTTTTTCGACATGTCAACTTCCAAAAGTGGTCCGAGACTGGTGTGTTTTGCGCGTTTTGACTTGGAAATATGCTTCGCGCCACAACGGCGTGCACTTTTTCGACGTCACAACTTCCAAATGTGGTCCGACGTTGGTGTGCGTTGCGCATTTTGACTTGGAAATGTGCTTCGCGCCACAACGGCGTGCAACTTTTAATCTCTCGTCTGACCACATGGCTCCGCACCCGCCGCTTTAGCGAGCCTACTTTTCGACCCTCCGGAGCCACACATTGTTGGAAAAACACAGTGTTTCGCGACTTTCCTACCTTTTCAGCACCTGCATCTTCTTTCTTCTCACTCTTTCTCTTCTCTGACCTTCTCTCTTCTGCTCTTCTTCTCTCTGGCTCTTCCCACCTCTGCTTTCCATCTGTCCATGTTGTCAGAAGTTTGACTTCTAAACTTCCTTCGATCATCATTACCCGATTACAACAAACCATACGATTCAATATTTTGGAGAAAAAACATGGCAATTCTATCTTGCAGCAAGGTTCCTCTAGATGTCCCGTCAGCTAGAATGCTTCCCGTCCAAAGTCCACCGAAGAAACAACTATCTGAAGTGTACCAAGATGTACCAAGTATCCTTGATGAAGCCTTGGTTGCACTTGGCACTTTGGTCCTGGAATTCGAGCTAGGCAACTCACGCTCAGCTGCATCAGTTTCTCTGTTTTTCAACAGTGGCTTGTCTCTTGGCGAACGACGCACCACCCATGGCCGAGTTTGTGCCGGCGCCTGTGAGCAACTTCGGTGGCTCAGCAAGTGTAGCTTTCCTGCGCCTTCACGCGTACGGACAGCAATGTCAGGTGCCTGACGTTCGTGAGCAAAAAGCCATGGAAACTGCTCCAGGCAACCAATGACCCATCACACTTTCTATGCATGTTTACTCAATGTATACTCAATGTTTAGCCAGTTCACAAGCATACAAAGCCAAAGGCCAAAGTACGGCCGGAGTTTAGTTAAGTTATGCCGGGGACTATATTTGAGGCAAATGGTCAAGTGAAACGGGGTAGTCGAAATGGAACCTGTGGGTGAATGTCACGATTCCCTTTGATCGCCCCCTCTTCTTGCGTAAGCACTCCTCAGCAAACCGCCCCCCGTTGCAGGCCAAAACACTAGGCTGGCAATTGGAGCGGACGGCGGTGGAGGCTCCACCGGCGGACTGGAGCGTGAGTGTGGCAGAGGACAAGAAAGTGATCTAAGCGATGGACGTGATCTGAGTGGTTCGAGTGATCCTGGACAAACGTAAAAAATATATTATATATATATATATATGTGTGTGTGTGTAACATAATAAAATGCAGTTGGGATAACTTTAATAATTTGGCAGCATATAGTCTGACAAACTTGTCTTACATGCGAGACTAGTCTGCCTGTGGACATATTCTCTCGTGATGTACCCGATGCACAGGATCCCATCCTCGCACTGGTACTGGTGCTTGGAGCAGTTGTCGTCTCGCTGGCTTGGGTTGTCTGGGTTGCTGGAGTTGGCACAATCTGGCTGGCCTGCTCCAAATGAACAAAAGAAGGCATGTGTTCCTGGTTATTGTTGGAGCAAGAGCCAACAGGAAGCTCCTTTGATGGATCAAGCAAAAAAGTTCAAATGTTGAAACATGCTGAAACCGACACTTCACCCTGCCCTACCAGTTCAAGCGGTATTTTTTGGACTGCCGGCCTCTTTTGGTTCTTTTGTTGGTGCTGGTGGAGCTGGAGCTGATGGGCTGGGTGCGGAAGGTGCAATTCCTGATGCAGAAACTGGCAGAAACAGTCACGGAAGCTGCAAGGCAGGGAGACACTGAATTTCAAACAGGAACCCTAGGCTCCACATGGCTCCACTGTCCTGAAGAACTTCTTTGCTGCTCCAACCTGCGCAATCCAAGTTGCAAATCATCCATAATCATCCGCTTACTGTTCGCTGTTCACTGTTTACAGCAGTTGGCGCAGGCGGCTTTGGTGCCTCTTGATTCGATCCTCCAGTTTTTGGAGAAGATCAGATACCTCCGAACAGGTCCAAGCAGGATTGACATGCAACAAAGTCATATAAAGTCTGGAAAACATACGTTGGCCCCTTAGGAGTGCCCGCAGTTTCAGTGATTTTCAGTGATGCCAAGCCCGTTGAGGGAAATTAGGGCCCGAAAACATACTCAGACACTCAGCATGTATCCGCCTCCTTTTTGTCGAGCCAAGAACTGTTGAATTGAGTGACTGATGGCCTTGGCTTACCGCTTTGCATGTGCGTCCAAAAACAATCGGGATAATTACAGTGAATAAATGTGAATATCATTCCAATTGCCACCATAGAGGTCAGCGTCATTCTCTCACCTTTGAAGTCTGAGTGTTTGAATGAACATTGTGTCAACAAACTGTTGGTGGACTGACATTTGCCAATTTTTGTGATTTCCTGTGCTCAAATGATCCTCCTTGTTTTGTTGATAGCACAGCCAACAGGCTCTTGAGCCTGCTCTCCTGCCAACAATGCTTGCCAAAAGACACGACTCCAACCAACCCGGGGAAGTTGTAGACGAAGAGCACGATGTTGCAGCCAAGCACAGCCACCAGCAAAAAAGTGCCTCAAGGAGACTTCGGTTGAAGACTTTCCAACAAGAAAGTTGCAAGAATGACTAGAATGAAACCTCTGCATGTATGTGCTGCGAATCGTCAACACTAACCCCACTGCTGCGACAATTTATTTGAATGTTCGAATTCCAGTGTAATCTGCAGTATAGGTTTATAATCATTTGATATCATTTGTATAATTTTACAACATGTTTTTATAAGTTGATCATGTTGCGAGGTTGAACTTTTTTCAGCAAACGCTCTCAGGCATCCCTTGTGACCGAAACGATGAGGGCTCAACGAGATGGACACATGCCGCTCCCTGCGCCCCGGGGCTTGGCACATGTACGTGGGCTGACCCCATCTGAGTCATCATGAGTAGGGATCGTCATCCAAAGAATAGACATGATTGAAATTGATATGAAACATGAAACATGATGAAACATGATGAAACATGATGAAACATGATGAAACATGATGAAACATGATGAAACATGATGAAACATGATGAAACATGATGAAACATGATGAAACCATATGACAACAACCAAACATGCACTTTGGCAGCAAAATGGCAACCAGCATGTCCCCAGAGGCGCCTCCTTCCTCGCTGGAATGACGTCGCCGGCGGCGCTGGTCCATTCCAGGCGTATGCAGAATTCATAAATCACCGACTCTTGCGTTCCTTTGTGCAGCCTAAGAGTGCCTTGTAGAATTTCTGCCAACATCAGTGCAACAAGATGCAACAAGTCTCAATCTCGGGTTATTCTAAGAGCACTTCACTTTCAGAACTAATTTCAAGGTTCAAAATTCAAGGTGGTGTCTGCTTACAAAAGTGAGGTGGTCAAAGTAATTCTGCAATTTTCTGCGCGTGCTTTTCACACGAATCCATCAAGAACCTTGCTCTTTGGTTTGAGTGGAAATGGTCAGACTGGAGCCCTCAAATCACATTGGTCAAGTCTGTACATGATACTTCTTTCTTCCAACATCTTCCAACATCTTCCAACATCTTCCAACATCTTCCAACAATACACCACCGTGCTGATACTCTTTCTGAAAGCCCAAGCAAATCAAGAGCTGTCACCATTGGTCCATTGCGGAAGATCATGTCGATGTCATCAAGTTGTTCACGAGGGGTCCAGCTAAAAGGCTCATTGCTAGATCAGGTGCGCCTGTCCCCCCCTGCCTTTCTACCGACCCTTAAGTCTACCATCCCAGCCTTGAATCTTTGCCTGGAGCATGAAACGGAGATGCTCCTCATGATGTGCCTGACAGAAGCGACTTCCCGAAATGTCCTGACCCCTTCATGAAACTGTAGATGTAGTACTAAGACATGACCATGGCTGTTGTTCATGGGTGGGAAAATGTGTTAATATGTTTTAATCGAATGACCTGAGGGCACAGCCAGATCTAAAATTGTGGCGTCACAAGTCCGTGAAGACTTGTGCTCATCGAGCCAATCAAATCATCAAACCCGAGATCGCCTGGTACTCTTCTGTATCCATTTCGAAGTCCTGATAACTGCATACGACTTGTGACAGAATGCACTCACTGCAAATCATTCAATTTGAATATTAATATGATCATACATTATCACTACATTTGCTTGAGGTGCCCGAATGACAGCTGTTATATAATATTATATACTGTAATATGCTTTGATATGCTATATATATATATACACATCTTTCAATTTGTTGGCATGAAGCATCAAACAATGTTATCCCAACATCTGTTGGACAAAGGCGTGTCACTTAAAGAATTTCTGCCCACCTCAAGGCAGCCGCTTAAATCCAACGCCTTGAACTTCCCATTGAAGCGATGGAAACACAGAACACTCAGAACACACATCAAGAAAGAACGTGTGAACATGATTGAACATGTATGATCATATATGTATGCAAATTGTAGCTTGTTCATTGATGCTTATTGAATTTCAATGAATTTAAGAAGCCCGCTCTGAGGGCTGTTTGCAACCTCTTTTCGCCCCGACCCTTGACTCATCTTTACACTGTAAGGATGTGGCTCCCAGAGGAAAATCAGCTGCCATTGACATAGGAGGCACCTGAATATTGCGGTCGAATGGATCCAATTTGGCGACTGCCTATGCATTTTATGTTGTTGCCCCAGCTTGGCCCTGCACTACCTTGCCTTCCATGCTGCATAACATATCAAGGATGACAGTGACATCACCCAAAATGAAGGCATGTGTCAGTGTAGAATGTGGCAATTTATAATGCACTGTAAAACAGGGAAAAACATGCAAAGTCAAAGGCATGAAACCTAAGCAACCATCCGTAGGAATTGCCATTCACAAGCACAAGAGAGAATATCTCTGCGAATGATGCTACTGTTATGCAAGCAATTTTCTAAACATATTGTCACAGCCCTCCCGCTTACAGTATGTTCCAGAAATGTAACACAAACACGCTTCGTGTTTCTTAGTGTTTGTGCTGAGGACATCACAGTCCAAGATTGACTTCTTGGGTCCAGCCTCAGCAAGCCATCTGCAAACCATCTGCCCAGGCTGCCGATCTCTGAACTGGGGCTCTGGCGATGGTGATTCTGTTGTGGAGCTACCAGTGCTGGGGCCCAACAACGGTGATCGGCAGAATCCTGGTCGCTAGATCTTTCGCTAGATCTTTCCCGTGCTGGTGGCCAACAATGAATCTTCACACTGCTGGTGGTCACATTGGAGGTACTGCACTCCACGAGTTGTCTTCTGAGTGCCTTATCTATCTACACGCCAATGGCAATAACCCTCCCTGGCCTGAGTGTGAATGGGAGCCACCAAAAGTTGATCCTGACACAGCGCATTTTTTTGGCAAAGCCTTCCGTAGCCAGCCCAGCCAAAGAATCTGCAGGACAAACGCAAATCAGCTGAATCAACCAAACGCGAACTAGCATGAACTAGCGTAACTGGAGGTCTTCACGAAAAAAAAAGTATGAACATCACATCCGGCACATCACATCCGGCACAACCTGATGAGCTAAAGGTTCCACCAGCCTGGGTTTGATGAAAAGCAAGTGGAGAATGAGCAAAACGCGGGCGGCTGAGTTGTGTCATGTCATTCAATGTGTAAGGAGCATCTTATGACGGAATTCACACTAGTTCTGAGCACTGCGATGACCTGAGTTACCTGAGCTGCCTGAGCTGCTAGCATCCGTGCTTGGCTTGAAATCTTTCCTGAACAGATGGAACAAATGGAACAGGGTGTCTTCACAACATGTCCAATTTCCCGGAGCAACTCCGCTACCTCACTTCCTCTGAAAGATATTCCAGACATCACCAGCCCGCAACACACACACACAGATATATATATATATATGTGTGTGTGTGTATACATGTTATTAAATATGTAATGTGTTATAGCAATATTATAAATGCGCGCCATTTCTATCTGTACTTCTACTTTTTGCCAAGCATGCGATTGATCACCCTGGTAAAAATGAGCATGACAATGCATCACATGTCCCAAATGTACCCCATGTCACATACAAATCAGTCTTGAGACGTCTGGGATATTGATGGACGCTGAGTTGCAACTTAGTTGAATGAATACAGGTTGAGAACAGGGTAACATCTGTTTCTGCCTGGGCTTCCAAAAGGGTTTGCCCTAAAGTTGGAATGCAATGATCAATCACCCCCAGCGCTTTCGCATAGTGATGACAAGGCAAATGCAACGGTTTCCAGCGTTACTTTTGAGACATGGATAACAATGGATAATATAAAATAATATAAAATAATATAAACATTCGCTGCTTGTCAGGCAAACTGTGATGTGATTTGATTCTGTATTCATATCAGACTGAGGGTTGTTCCAACGATTCGCCTCCGTAAATTCTATTTCTATGGACCCCACGCTGACGTCTTCCATTCCCACTCGTCGTAGGTGCTCAAATTCTGCAGGCACTCAGAGCCTATGGCGCAACTTGACACTTGGCACATCTTGGCACATCTTGGCACATCTTGGCACATCTTGGCACTCAGCTGATCTCAGCCGTTTCTGATCCGTGACATCTGCAGGGATTTCTAGCAGCATTCTTTCCACGTATTTCTCTGGTCAAGTGTTTGTGTCTGCAAACCTGAATCTGGCAAGACCTAAGGCAGTCAGTACCTGACATTATCTGCCTAGGGTTACCTACAGTGCCACGTGAGATATCTCGCTATATCTCGCTCTTGCATCACCAAGCTCCATTCAGCCACTGGGAACAAGGCTCAAGTGTTTGTCAGCAACCCGCCTACGGAAAAGTGGGATGTAAAATCTCAACGCTCAAGGGATTCACTGATTCACAATATTCCAAACGGAAATAGATGGAAATAATGCCTGATGCGAGTGTCTGCTGTCTTTTCGAGTCTGTTGATATCTGCTAGGCTCCCAACGGCCGTGGCAAGCCCGGAGCTGGCTCCCTGGCACACGGCATGTTCAAACATATGACAAGCATGTCCCTTCTGCAGCCAGTGGAGATGAACATGTATGTATTCAAAATGTATTCGATTGTATTAGGCTCGAGGAAATTCATGAGCGCTCGACAAAATGGTGCCAGCTTTGCACATCCTCTTCACAGTTCAGGTCGTCCAGTAAGCTGTGCCTTGGTGATCAAGTTTGGAGTCAAATTATGTTACGATCCCCAGATCCCCACCCTGACACGCTATTCTGGCATAGTTTCTATTAGTTTCTGACATACAAGTACTGCCTGGAATATATGACATGTATATTCTGACCTTCTTTCTGGCATATACATGCATATACTCTAACATTCTATGTGATATTCTTTCTGGCATTCTATCTCGCGTCTATTCTGACATATTCTGACATACTTTCTGGCATTCTCTGCGGCATCTATTCTGACAGTATTTTCTTTCCAGCATCTTTTTCGGCATTCTGTCTGGCATCTTTTCAAGCATTCATTCTGGCATTTTATCTGGCATCTATTCTGACGTTCGTTCTGGCATTCTATCTTGGCATCTTTTCAAGCATTCATTCTGGCATTTTATCTGGCATCTATTCTGACGTTCGTTCTGGCATTCTATCTTGGCATCTTTTCAGGCGTTCATTCTGGCATTCTATCTGGCATCTATTTCGACATTCTATCTGGCAATTTGTCTGGCATTCTATTCTGTCTGCCGTTCTATCTGGCATTCTGTCTGGCATTCTCTCCGGCGTGTGTTCGGGTCCAGGCGCACTCCACAGCATCCTGGGCTGGCGACATGGAGTTCCGGTCTCGGCATGGCCCACTGCATCCGGAGCTGGCAGAGGAGATGAAGAGGAAAAGGAGGCAGAGGAGGAGGAAGGAGAAGGAGTTGCACCTTTGTTCAAATCTGGAGACCCTCACCTGGCAGGTGGGGAAAAAACAGAAAGGCAAGGCTGAAAAGCAAACTGTGAGAGAATGCAGCCAGCTGAGAGAAAGCGACTGCAAACACAGATCTTGAACTCTCATGAACTCAACTCGCAACATTACGTAACACCCTATCTATCCTCCCTCCAACATCGCCAACTTTGAACATCTTTGAACCATAGCGATAGCCTCGTGGACCTCATTTGGCCGTGCCGCTCCTAAAGTTTAAAGCATCTAAAGCTGAGGTCCCCAACGGCAGAGCTGAGGAGGGGCTCGGCAAATCCCCGGCCTGAGGAATCTGACGAGGAAAACTCACATCAAAACTCGTTGGGATTATCAGTTCTTGGAGATCACAAGAAATGAGAGCACAGCTTCAAAGAAACTTATTTATATAATAAGAGGGAGAACATGCAACAACTGAAAACAACTGGTATAACTGGTCTTGTTGGTCCAATTCTCGTAAGCTTGATCATCCACAAAGCAGCTGATCCCTTTGCCAAGGTCCAAACAAATCCAAGGTTTCACAATTTCAGACTATGCTCCAGGCCATGTTTGTGGTCTAGCAGCCTAAGAACAGGTCAACGGGTCAACACGGTGCAAGAAAATTGGTCACAAACAGCCACTTTGACTCACTGAGGTTTCAGTGGAAGCAACAGCACATTCTGAGGGACAGTGAGCGCGCGGCTTCACAGGAACCCCCTGCTGACCACTTGGAGCCGCGAAAGGCTTTGGAGAGAATGACATGTTGTTGCCAAGTGGGGCGGGCCTACACATGATACACATGATCAAGCAGGTGCAGCAGGGTAGAACATGGATGGACTGAATCTACCACCCAAGATTTACTCTAAGTCTCACAAGAGCCACCAAGTGGCCAAAGACTGATGGCCTGACTTGTGCGCGGAAACATGAGTGAATTCCAGCGTTGTCACGTTGTCTTTCTTCTGCTGCTTTTGTTCTCTTTCTGCAGCCGCATCTGCATGTCTGGCGCACTCACAAAGACCCTGAACTTCCAGCGCCTCGCTGCAAATGAGCTACTTAGCGTGACAACGTCATTGCCGGTGAAAAGCAAGTTGAACAGTGAGCTCGGTGCAATGGGAGTTTTGCGAAGAATTCACCTGGCCTCTCATAAATCAAAACATTTAATCATGTTATATTCCGTTACAGCCTTTACAGCCCTTACCTTTGTCCTTTGTCTTTTGTCTTCTGGATAATGTACTATGGTCCTATGGTGGAATAACATGGAATAACAGGATTCAACAGGCCTCTAGCCGGAGCACGTCTCGCAGTGGAGCTACGTCCAGTCACTGCTGCTTTCAGCTTCCTCTCTGCAAGTTCCTTATCCTCTTCCATCAACGTTGCAAGCTCCTCCGGGTCACAGTGGAGGGACTCTCTCGCTTTCTCTCTCTTTCATATATCTATCTGTGTGTGGGTGTGGGTGTGGGTGTGGGTGTGGGTGTGGGTGTGGGTGTGGGTGTGGGTGTGGGTGTGGGTGTGGGGGACCTTTTGTGAAACTGTATGTCAAATGGTAGATATTTAAGTTCAAGAAGGCCAAGGCCCAAGAGACAACGCACATTCTTAAGGGTTGGGCTCGGGAATTCTACATATAGTCTAGTCAACGCCTTCTCCATCAGTTGTGACATGCATTGCGTCAAAAGCAAGATCATGAAACTAGAGAGAGGGAGAGCGAGTGAGAGAGGCTGCACTCAAGTGAAACACAGTACCATGTCGCTAAATATTCCTTTAGCCAGCCACGTGATATCACGTGATGTCCTCCATTGACTTTCCTAGTCGCCGTAGCAGCTGCTTTCGGCTCAAACGCCACTGCACCAGTGTCACTGCACCAGCCTTCAGCGTGGGGATACGACCAAAAGGGATATGAGCCAAAGACGATTGTGTCAAATTTCAGTTCGTTGTGCTTCCATATCTCTAACATTCTCTCCGTGCAGTGCTTCGGGGTGACACTAAGCAAACGAAGCCACTATATCTTGTTTGATATTGACAGATTCACGTGGATTCTGAGTCTTAACCTATGCGGCCGCGAGAGTTTGTGCGGTGTTGCCGATGTACCCTAGAAAAAAGGATAAAATCAAGGAAAAATCCACTACATTCCTTTGCTCTGGATGCTCCTTTCTTCGGTGATGTGCAGACAAAGAACGGACGAACCCGACCTAAGCGCAATAGGTTTCTGTAGCAAGGTAGGCACGGAGATCATGGCACAGGGGAATCAGCTTCCAGGGGAATCGCAACGGCACCAAACTAAGAAGCCGACTTCGACGGATCTTGCAAAATTGTTTCGTCCTGGGCGCGCAGACTGCAGCGAACAAGCAAACTTGAAAGCTACGGGGAACTGCCCTCTGCAAGCAACATACTTTGCACAGTGTCTATGTCTATTTGCAACAGGCATAACATGGCACAACTGGCGGCCTTGAAATGATCTGGGCCCAAGCTGGCCCAACCCGGGCCAATTTTGCGGACTGAATGCGACACGCAGAAAACTTCTTTCCTCTCTGTCGTATTTTGTGGGTGCGGGCGGTACTTGTCGCGAAGCAAATCGAATTAGGAGACTGCAGTCTATTCGTGGCACACGCCGGACATCACACTGACAAAGTTCACAACATAGCACTATCAGTTGTGGCAGGGCGGCTCAGACACGAAGCAGAAACAAAAAATGATGTGGACGTATGTGGGCCCTACCATGCCTCCATATTTATATAATACATAATATACAGTAACAGAGTGAGCTACAGCTGGTGTTCCCACCATTCAATGAAATAGGCAAAAACAATAACTCAGAAAGCACCAGCAGCAAAATGTGGCCACAAGACCAACATTACCAGTGTGACCAGGACGCCTTACCCGAAAAGATTAATCAAGAAACATTTAACGCGAAGGACTGAGGGGGAGACAACCGAGACTGAGATGCCTATGTACAATACAAGTACAGTAATATGTCAAGAAGAGCAAGCAACCCATAGCAACACATTGACCTCTCTCTCTTCACCCTATGCACCAACATGATCTAAAATGCACTAAACTTTAGCCACCAGCACTTCTTCTGCTGTTGTTGGGTACTCCTGCTCGAGGCCCCTGCGCATGTCAAGCAGTTGCAAGACCCGGCTCAAGATCATAACTTCTGCCACCCTTATTGTTGTAGCCATCGGACTCATCTGGCCTGTCTCTCAGCCATCTCACATCATCTAACGTCTAAGGGTGCCAAATTGTTTGGGAAATAAATCCCCATCCCTTTGTAATGCTTTGGAACTTCGTGTCTCGTATTACCTGTGCTTCCTGGTCTATCTTTCGGCTTAATCTGCTTAGCAGTTTGGCCAATCTGTCAGAGCTCTAGTGCGTGCTGTGTTTGCCCCCTGCTGGCCTGCACACCTGAGCTATGGCTTTGAGAACCCGAGCCTGTCGGTACTTCGGAAAGGAATGCTATTGTGTCCTACTGACATGAACTCAGTCGGGGATACACAAAGTTGGCTGCCTAAAATATGCTATCATATGCTGTGCTAAACTCCGGCTGTGATTGATGTTCAAGAGGGCAATGAACAGAGCCACCTGCCTGAGCAGCTGCATCATCATCACCGGCTTCTCTGAGAACAGCATGCAGCACCTTCAAAGCTAGAAATCATTCAGTACTTGCTCCGGTCCAAAATTCACCGGAACCAACTGATGCCAGTGGCATCGTGGTAGCGCACCTGAAGCAACGAGACATCCGGGGCATTGGCCCGCAACAATACTCCGCCAAACTCCTCACGCCAGCACCATTGATGTCATGGCTACAGTGAAAAACATGTACGCAATAGATATTGCATCAATACGTGACGATGTCATACTACAGTGAGACAAATGACAGAGTATCTGGATACATTAAACTAAGGGTGCAGAATAGTTTTTGGTTATCTTTTTTGGTTCAGGTTTTGGAAATTTTGTTGGCTTTCTTTCCTGGTACCATCTGCCTTGTATTTGCAACAGTTTGGAACTAGAATCTGTCATTTTGCATGGTATTTGCTCATGGTCACTTGGCATTTTGCATGGTATTTGCTACATTTTGGCACTTCAACTTCTCATTTGCATGGTATTTGCTACATTTTGGCACTTCAACCTCTCATTTGCATGGTATTTGCTACATTTTGGTACTTCAAAAGTCAATGTGGGTTTCTTGAGAGCTTCTTTAGGGTTTCATTTGGGGTTTCATTTAGGGTTTCTTTAAGGTTTCTTTAGGGTTTCATTTAGGGTTTCATTTATGGTTTCTTTAGGTTTAGGGTTTCATGTAGGGTTTCTTATCGGGATTTCTTATCAGGATTTCCAAACGTTCATGTGGGCTTCTCTAGGGCTTCTTTAGGGTTTCATTTAGGTTTTCATTTAGGGTTTCTTTAGGGTTTCATTTAGGGTTTCATTTCAGGTTTCATTTAGGGTTTCTTTAGGTTTAGGGTTTCATGTAGGGTTTCTTATAAGGATTTCTTATCAGAATTTCTTATCAGGATTTCTTATCAGGATTTCCAAACGTTCATGTGGGTTTCTCTAGGGTTTCTTTAGGGTTTCATTTAGGGTTTCTTTAAGGTTTCTGTAGGGTTTCATGTAGGGTTTCATTTAGGGTTTCTTTAAGGTTTCTGTAGGGTTTCATGTAGGGTTTCATTTAGGGTTTCTTTAGGGTTTCATTTTGGGTTTCATTTCAGGTTTCATTTAGGGTTTCTTTAGGTTTAGGGTTTCTTTAGAGTTTCGTTTAGAGTTTCGTTTAGGGTTTCATGTAGGGTTTCTTATCAGGATTTCTTATCTGGATGTTCAAACGTTCATGTGGTTTATCTTGAGAGCTTCTTTAGGGTCTCATTTGGGGTGTCATTTAGGGTTTCTTTAAGGTTTCTTTAGGGTTTCATTTGGGGTTTCATTTCAGGTTTCATTAAGGGTTTCTTTAAGTTTAGGGTTTCATTTAGGGTTTCATTTAGGGTTTAGGGTTTCATTTAGGGTTTTTTTCAGAGTGTCGTTTGGGGTTTCTTTAGGATGTCATTTAGGGTTTCATTCAAAGTTTCTTTAGGGTTTCATTTATGGTTTCTTTAGGGTTCAGTAATGGTTTCTTTAGGGTCATTTGGGGTTTCATGTAGGTTTTCTTATCAGGGGTTCTTATCAGCATTTTTTTAAGGTTTTTTGGGTTTCACCTAGGATGCTTACAAACAGGAGAGAATAAAGCAAAAGAAAAGAAAACACAAAGAGGCAGTAAAGACAGGAAGAGAAGCAGAGGGGCAGGAAGTAGAGCAGCAAAAACACATGACTGAAGAAAAGAAAAAGTAGAATAGTAGAAGTAGAAAGGCACAGATAGGCACAGAAGCACAAAAGCAGAGAAGCAGGGAAAGCAGAGAAGCAGAACTCAAAAGAAGCAGGTAAAGCACAATAGCAGAAAAGCAGAGAAGCAGGGAAAGCAAAGAAGCAGAAAAGAAAAGAAGCAGGTAAAGCAGAGAAGCAAACAAGCAGAGAAGAAGGAAAAGCAGGAAAACATAAAACCAGGAACCCAAAAATAATTCCAAAACCTGCCGCAAACAAAATACCAAAAATAAATAGCCCTCCTTAAACTACCGAACCCAAAATAAGGCTATTCGGGGGAAAAAAGACATTGCAAACCACCATTTACAGTGACGTCGCAGTTAGGCATTTGTTTATATATGTTTATATATAATGATTCATCCAGACTTGTTGAATGTCATTCATACAATCGATTCATTGTGAACAGCTGTGTTTGTCCTCTCTACCACATGCATGATGGTGCTTGTGCGATATCAAACCACTTGCAAAGTAGAGTCGCCGTTGCATACATTACGTAAACCCCGGTTCAGATGTAGCGCCATGAGTTACCATGAAACAAATTCAGCATCCCGTGCAATATGCAAGCTATTAGAACTTTTCCTCATGATTACAATCGTTGTACTATGTTGTACTATTCTAGGTCAATCACTGCTATGAATTACCAGTAATTACCATGATATCTTTCAAAATCTTTCAGATGACATGACCCACCAAGAGTCTCCACCCGCCTTGAGGTCCAAGGTCTCATCATAGCCCGGCAAAAAGCTCAGCACCTCAAGCTGATCATAGCATATCATAGCTGATCTGCATCAAATGGGTCAAGAATTGCCAAGAGAAGGGGAAGAATATCATAAGATAAGATATCATATGACATCATAAGGAATTTTATAAGGCTTATTCCTAAGATTTCCTAAGTGATTCTTGGGAGTAGCCGCCAAGAATGCTCTCGGAGATCTCGTAGCTGAAAGGGGCAATGAGTAAACATCTTGAACTCCCCTCCGTGGGCCGTGGGCCTTCGAGAAAGTCACATTCACAAAGTCATATGGATTCTCTGCTGGAACGAAGCCTCATTCCGCTCATTCCATGTGGAATTCTCACAGATTGCGTCGCACCGAATCCGCCTATGCTGCACTGCCAGAGTTGTAGCAGGATGTGAGGCAGAAAAAGCCCATTGTCAGCCAAAAGATTGCCACAAAAATGCTCAAATGCGCTCAATATCGCTCAACCCAGCTGGCAAAGGCTCTCAAGGCTCTGACCATAGTACAGGAGGAAGTGCTCATTTGGGTGCCTGGAGCAGCCACTTCCACAAACAAAGGCCCACCTAAATATCCTAAAGCATCTCCCTGTGAAGATCGTTTGGAGTCTGGAGCCAAGAACTTTGAATCAGCTTGCAGATGTGCTCTGCTGCTCAATGTAGTTTTGCTTCTTTACAGTTGCGCGTGGGAGAACTATGTAGAGGCTGAAGACGAGTTGCTCACCGTAGCTGTAAGTTACTGCATCCTCTGGCTGCATGTCACGAAGTGCCACGAGACACCTGCAGTTTGAAGTTCACCCAAACCAACCGAACAGCACACAACTTGCACACAAATGCAGCGTCTATCGACGATCATTCTTTCCATCCACTCAAGTACTGTGGGTCTACTGCTCTCAAGTCCCTCATCCATACCCCCAACATGTTTCTCTAAGACTCTAGTGTCAAGCTCAGCAATTCAGGGTACGTAGTGTGCAATGCCATGTGCGAACAACACAGCCGCAGCGGCAAGTGAATCCGAGATTTCCCATGTCCCACGACTTGATGTGGGCACACTGCGCGCTCAGATGGCAAGTGCTCGAAGCTGGCTGACGGATTGGAGTCATGGTTTCCCAAATCCTCGGCAACTGTGTTCAAATTGGAATAGTATGGAATGGTTGGAGAAAAAAGTGGTGATCATCAAGCGAGTACAGTGGGCAGTACCACATGCTGTGAGTCTACCACAGATATTGACTTTCACATGTCGCATGAAACATCATGAAACCGCCTCCTCGCTTGGAATCTGCTATTGCTACTGCTTTTGGTCCAACGAGTTTGCGCTTGAACCCTCGAGATCAGTGGCAGCCTGGGGATTGAGAGATCATCAAAGATTAGCACTGAGTTCTTCACCAACAGAGGCACCAGCAGTCTTCGTCTTTGGCTACCCAAGTCCAGGCGCAAACATCTGCTCCACACATGGGCCAAAGCCCATCGAAAGTCCTGGCAGAATTCGACTTCTTCCAGCACACCCCACCTAACAACTCATTCCATGGCCTTTGTGCCAACCATGCTGATCTAATTACACTGTATTAGGACGTAGGTGTGATCTACCGCAATCTAATCTACAAAGCAGAGCTTGCTACAGCACCAGAGATCATGGCGATTTGCCTCTTCGCTCCAAGGAAAGCTGTCGGACTCGGCAGCCTCGTAGGCTTCACGAGCATCCTGACATCCCGTTGCTGTCACCCATTCTGTGTGCATGTTAGTGGCCGATTGGAATCTCTTTGCTTGATGTTTGGGTATGTTCATGAGATATACACAGTAGTGATAAACTCGATTACAATGATGTTTACTGGCGGTAGGGTAGTGGCTGGTAGCAAGATAGAAGGAAGAAGCACCATTGAACTCTTGACAACAGCTTGCACATTTCCTGACCACAGTTCCCTCTGTACTTCAGATTGCAGCACCCTCTGCACAAGCTTGGCATTGAAGACAACGATGGACAAAATCTCGATGTCATTGGTCACAGAACCTCTATTGAAAACTAAGACTTGCCTCATAACGATCCTCAAGCCAAAAGCACGTGCCGCCAGCCTCAAGTTTCCACACCAGGGTGAAAACGTGCGCTTTTTCATCTGGTTCCCCGACCAAATTCTGGGCCATTCTTGTGACCCAATGACATTATATACTGGGAATAGCAAATCCGCTGTTTGAACATGTGGACGTTAGGGCACCAGGACCTGCAATCTTCCCAAAATTGAGCACATGACCTTCACTTCCAAATCTTCATCTTGAGCTTCCTCTAGCTCCTTCACGTTCATCATTCTTATCTGATCCCAAAAGAAAAGCCATTGTCAGTTTTGGGCCTTCTCATCAGAACCCTTTGATGTTGAAATCGTTCACATTAAATACGCTCACTGCATGCACTGCCAGCATCGCGCGCATCTGCGCACCCTTCATATATGCGCCTCTCAGATCAGCAATGCTGTAGCGCTTTTAGTTCTAAAATCACATATGATCCAGTTGACTGGATTTTTTTTGCAAGGCAACAGGGGCCCTCGGATACCCTCGGATTGATGTTTTCACTTAGAAGTGCTCCTCCTCCTCCAAGTCTTTGGGAAGAGCTGGAGCTGCGGGCCAGCTATCTGCAGTTCAAGGTCAAGGCGGCGAAAGTTGCAAATCCAAGCAAAACTTCTCAAACAAATAACACATGTGTATATAATACGAATCATGCAATGTCAATGATGAATAATGATGTCAATGAGTCTCTTGGGGTCTCTTTGAGCGCCGGTGGACTGCCATTCTGAGCAACGCAGGAAAGCAATGGTCTTTGTGCTATGGTCATGACCGACATTGACAGAGCAAAGGCACACGGCACACGCGGCACACGCCTAGGAAAGCGCTCCATTCAGGATCCTTCCGGCGCTCGAGCACTCCCAGCGCCAGCTGCACATTCCAAGGCCTCGGCAGGATATGTCGGGAGCGTCTGCTATTGGCAGCTATTGGCAGCTATTGGCAGCTATTGGCAGCTATTGATGCTATTGATGCTATTGATGCTATTGGCACAGTTGGAGTTGGGTCAAATGCACCAGTTCTGGGGCGTCTATCCGAATCCTTTTGCATCCTTTTGCATCTGGGTAGCCAACAGTTTTTTCGCCCAGCCCGGCCCTGCTGCAACGGGAGTTTCATCCCCTGAGTCTCCTGGAGTCAAAATGCGGAAACAGCAACCCGGCAGTGCGAGATCTCGTGCCCTCCGGAACTTTGAATTCTATATTCTATAGGTGAGGAACTGATTTGGCATATCTGCCAGTGCCGTGTCATGCTCACCTTTGGACTGTGACTATGACTCTAACATACTCTAACCATCTCTGATGCTCTCTCTTCAGTGCTGAATTTCCAAGACCAGGCCTCTCTTGCATCCGTCTCCGAGAGTGCACCTCAACGGCACCTGTCAAATCTTCAACACGCTGATGGATTCAGCTGAATCTACAACACGTATCATTGTGTCCGGCCACATCCTGCCTGCAGGATGACTTCACCTTTCTTCACTGCCTTCTTGACAGCAAGCCCCCTGAGCCCCCCAACGCTCTTGCCTGGAGACTGAGGACCCAGCTGCAAGGGTGCTACAGCTTATCTTTTGTGGTACAAAAACCAATTTTGATCCATTTTGTCCATTGGCACATGTTACGCACAACCACCCCAAACAGTACAATTGACATACAAAGACTCTACAAAAGTGCTGCTGACATCCTTGTTCCAGAAGGGAAGACGAAAGCCGTCCTTCCACGCAGCCATCTCCACCACGTTCAGACAGCCACTGCCACAAGGGCTCAGTGAAGGCAGGCCCAGCCACCAAAAGCACCAGCAGCTGAGCACGCTTTCGAAAGCTCATGAAGCTAGTGGAGTGAAGCTAAAGCCTCGATACAGTGATAATGGAACCATAAGACCAAACTCTGCCATTCCAATTCAAACTGATAGTAGAGTGTTTCAAGCATGGGCCTGTATATTCTGGATCTGTTGGATGTGTGGCACCAAGGCAGATATCCTTCTATATATCGTCATTAAGCATTATAATTCCAGTATATCAGTATATCTATTGTACATATCGGCGCATAATATATAGCCCTGGACGGCGGATGTATTCTTGCACACCAGCGTTTCCCACAGACCTGTGCAAGTAGTGACTATAGGACGCCGAGTGCGTAGTGAGTTCGGGAGTGGTCTGTGAATCGATTGGTTGCGTGAGCCAGAGCTCGGTTCTACGAAGCTGAGCCGAAAGATCGGAGAAACTGCCGAAGTGTCTGAAATAGAGGCTGTAATTCACATGCACTTCACATGGGTGTCATTGTGACCGTGTGTGTGTGTGTGTGAACAAGGCAAAAAAAAAGACTTCGTGCCATGGTGTTTATATTTATGTGAGGTTATACGATATTATATGTGTGCCCATTATGTTGCAGGTATTTGGGATTGATGACTCACAAACCGGCGAGACTGCTGATCTTTTTGGTCTGTCACAACACGGTTTCGCCTTGAGCGACTTGGGCTTGCTGCAGGACGGACGGCGCTGAATCTGTGCGAAATTCATGCCAAGACCTATGGAAGTGATAGGTGTGCATATTGCTCCTATACACTTGCAAAAGCCACACATATCCACACATCAGTTTGCGCCATTTAACCTCCGGTACATCATATCTGGTTCTGCGTTGTTAGCTTCACTTGCCCATAATCCGGCAAAGCTGCGGCCGGGTGCACAGCAAGCCCTGCCCTAAGGGCAAGGAATAAGAGGCCCCTGCCAAGCGCAGAAGCACAGTAGGCGCTCTCCAGCGCCTATTCGCGAGGCAAGGCTCATGGATTCTAACTTCAGCATCAAACTATGCATTTGAACATTGTGGAACAATATATCTGGTTCCCTACACATTCCACTGGTGAGCCGCCCAAAGCCATGTTAGAACATGTTAGAACCACCTCGCAGCTTCGACAGTTCATCGACTGTTGGAATCTCGGATTAATTGTTTCAGACAACAGCCGCGCAAACCTGTAGTGTAGAGAATACAATCCATTGAATCTATGCGTTCCTGAATGCTTGAATCCTGCACTGTTCCTTCCCACTTGATCTAACCGCTGGGTCAACTACCTCAACCAGTTTTATTTAAATTTGTTTGCTTTGCAATCCCTGCATATACAATCTCAAGAGATGCTCTCAAGCATCAAAATCCTTGAGGATTCGAGGCCTGCAACGAAGTTGTGGGAAAATGAGTGTTTCCCACTGGTTCCGATCAAATTTGCTACTGAAAATTGCAGGAAGACACGCCATGGGTTTGGTGCCCTTGACGGTGTTGAAGCATCCAGCTTGGTGACTTTGGTTCCTTCAGTTTCTGATCCATTGTCATCATTATCCAAGTTATGAGACCGTGCATGACCATGCCCAAACCGGATTTTTTCTCGATCTACCATGATCTACCAATCTACCATGACCTGCCGGAGCTGCCGGGGTCCCACAAAGCTACCTAAAATTACCTAAAACCGAAGTGTTCTCCATCACTGGATCAGCAGTGTGGGAAGCGTGAACCTGCAGCACGAAGCCCAAAAATCTGTCTGATTTGGCAATGAAGGAAACAGGCAACGCTTATTGTTTCCTGGGCCGGTCGCATATTGTTTCCCTCAACTTACTGTCAATCTGAGACCTGCAAAAACATTCCAAAACGGCCTTACAGCCTGAAAGTCAAAGTTTGAGATGGTAGGTGCCGTTCCTGTGTCGAGTTACACATTGGCGATTTTGGACACCAACATCCCGACGTTGCGCCTCAGGGAGCATATGCCACCTGTTGCGAAACAACCTGGCGCTTTGTAAGCCGCAAGCAGGCTACGCTTTGGAGTCTGGAGCATTTCATCTCATGATATTGATTTATCAAAGGAAGTTTGAAGGTCTAACTTCCGAGTTACGCATTTTTGAACATCTATTCGCCACCACGAGATCTCACAGCCAAAAGATCTCCCAGCCAAGAGATCTCACAGCCAAGGGGTCTCACAGCCAAGAGATCTCACAGCCAAGAGATCTCACAGCCAAGAGGTCTCACAGCCAAGAGATCTCACAGCCAAGAGATCTCACAGCCAAGAGATCTCACAGCCAAGAGATCTCATAGCCAAGAGATCTCACAGCCAAGAGATCTCACAGCCAAAAGATTTCACGGCCAAGAGATCCCACAGCCAAGAGATCTCACAGCCAAGAGATCTCACAGCCAAGAGATCTCGCAGCCAAGAGAGCGCTCGCAGGAAAGGTTCGTTTTCACATCTTCGACTTTCAGATTTTGAGGGAAGTCTCGCACGAGAGCTTCTTTTTCACATCTTCCACTTTCAGATTTTGAAGGCCGTCTCGCACGAAAGCTTTGTTTTCGTATCTTCAACTTTCGGATTTTGAGGGAGGTCTCGCACGAAATGCGGTTTTGAGAGATAGCGGATGCACGACATGCTGTGTTTTGCAGGACAGAACGTGTCCCGGAAGATGGATGGGGAAGCTTGTCCGGCGTGCGGGTGCGGAACACGCTCATTTAAACCGGGATCATGGTCGGATCGGCCCCGCATTGGAACTGCGAGTTCGGGCGTCGTTTTGCCGACGTTCTTGCGCGTAGTTCTATCGTGTTTTGCAACTCAGTCATTGCAAATCGAATTGTAATGGATGCGTCAAAGTTGCTTGGCGCCGCGGCGCCGCGGCTGCGTACGTAATGCTATTGTCTTTTGCAGCTGGACATCGTAAATCATATTGGTGTGGCTGCATCAAGGCTGCGATAGTGATTTGTCAGCAGATTCTCTCAGTTTAAGAGCTTGCTTTATGTAAAATCTTCTCCCTGTATTCTTCTCAGTGTATCTCAGTGTAAAAGCTTCTCGTGAAAAATCTTCTCTGTGTAAAAGCTGGCTGTGTGCAAAAGCTTCTGTGTGTAAAAGTTTGCTGTGTGTAAAAGCTTCTCTGTGTAAATGCTTCTCTGTGTAACGGCTTCTCTGTGTAAAAGCTTGCTCTGTGTAAAAGCTTTCTGTGTGAAAGCTGGCTGTGTGTGAAAGCTTCTGTGTGTAAAGGCTTCCGTGTGTAAAAGCTCCTCTGTGCAAATGCTTTTCTGTGTTAGGGCTTTCTTTCAGTGTGCAAAAGCTTTTCTGTGTAAAAGCTTGCTGTGTGTGAAAGTTTGCTGTGCGTAAAAGCCTCTGTGTGTAAAAGCTTCTCTGCGTAAGGGCTTCTCTGTGTGAAAGCTTGCTGTGTGTAAAAGCTTCTGTCTGCAAAAGCTTCTCTATTTAAAAGCTTCTCTATGTAAAAGTTTGCTGTGTGTAAAAGCTTCTGAGTGCAACGCTTCTGTGTAAAAGCTTCTGTGTGTAAAAGCTTCTCTGTGTAAATGCTTCTCTGTGAAAGGGCTTCTCTGTGTAAAAGCTTGCTGTTTGTAAAAGCTTTCTGTGTGGAAACGTTTGCTGTGTGTAAACGCTTTTCTGTGTAAAAGCTTCTGTGTGTAAAAGTTTTCTGTGTAAAAACTTCTCTGTGTAAAAACTTTTCTGTGTAGGAGCTTCTCTGCGTGAAGGCTCGCTGTGTGAAAAGGTGTGTAAAGGCTTCTGTGTGTAAAAGCAGTGTACGAGCTTCTTTGTGTAAAAGCTTCTGTGTGTAAAAGCTTTCTGTGTGTAAAAGCTTCTCTGTGTAAAAGCTTTTCTGTGTAGGAGCTTCTCTGCGTGAAGGCTCGCTGTGTGTAAAAGCTGTGTAAAGTTTAAAGGCTTCTGTGTTTAAAAGCTGTGTAAATGCTTCTTTGTGTAAAAGCTTTTGTGTACAAGTTTTCTGTGCCTAAAAGCTTTTCTGTGTAGGAGCTTCTTTGTGTCAAAGCTTTCTGTGTGTAGAAGCTTCTCTGTGTATACAAAGGCTTCTCCGTGTAAAAGCTTCTGTCTGTGTGCAAAAGATTTTCTCGGCAAAAGCTTGCTGTGTACAAAAGCTTGGTTTGTGTAAAAGCTTGCTGTGATTCAAAGTTTCCCTAACTCTGTGTAAAAGTTTCTGCGTGTACAAGCTTCTCTGTGCAAAAACTTGCTGCGTGTAAAAGCTTCTCTGTGTCAAATCTTCCCTGTGGAAAGCGTAGGGGTTGCTTGCTTTGGCGCCGAGATCCGTTTTTGGAGCAGGCTTTGGGCCAGAGAAAAAGTGAGATGATTTGAGAGTGCGCTGAGAAGAGATGAGATGAGGTGAGACGAGCTGACAAGAGCTGAGATCAGCTGAGTAGATGCGAGAAGAGCTCAGAAGATGTGAGAAGAGGAGAGAAGAGATGAGAACACATAAGATGAGCCTACATGAGCTGCGGAAAGCTGAGAAGAGCTGTGAAAATCTGAAAGGCTGAGAGAAGCTGAGATGAGATGAGAAGAGATGAGAAAAGCTCAGGTGACATGAGAAGAGATGAGAAAAGTTGTGATCAGCTGAGAAGAGCTGAGAAAAGGAGAGAAGACATCAGATGGGATGAGATGAGATGAGATGAGATGAGGTGAAAAAATCAGAAGACATGAGATGAGTTGAGATGAGATGGGATGACACAGACTGCGGTGACAGAGGGATGCAATGAGCAATTTCCAAGAGAAGCTGCGATGCGATGAGATCAGATGAAATAAGGAAAGCATCAACATTCGAAAGACATGTCATCAGATTGACAAGTCAAGAGCTTGTTGCTGCGCTGCACAGAAGGCTTGCCTGTCACCTATAGGCACAGCCTTTGCTCCACTTTATAGGCTATAAGCGTTTCAAATTTGAAACTTCCGCCCCCGGCTTGCCCGGGTACTACTTGTATTTATCATATGTCCGAAACAATATGACCACATAGGACATAGGATCACTCAAGATTCTGAGCCAAGATGAGCAAACATGCAGCTTGTGGCCTGCCCCTGATTTGACATGTACTGGGGCTGCTGATTCACCTCGGTGGCTCGCACGAAACCATGCAATCAAGCGATGGAGAATGGAGAGATCTGATGGGTGCTCGGCACTTCCCACGCGTTTGATGTAAGTCCGTCTGGTCCATTCTTCTTTAGTTTCTGCTTCCACTTTGGCACCAAATCAACTCCCTCGTGGCATGTCGCCTAAATGCACGTCAAAGTCATCCCTAAAAAAGGAGTCAACAGGCTGATCTCAGCCGCCACCTTTCCTGTCTATTCCTGTCTGCCTCTGCGTCCTGTTTCTGATTTCCCAATCAATCTAACTACATTGGAACTACAAATATTGGCCCGTTGCTTCTCATTGCGACCGAAATGCTGGCATGCCCACAACCTCAGAGTTGGAGCAACTTGTGCAGGGTTGTGTGCCCTTGAAGATCTTGAAGATAGCCACCATCAGTTGTCAGCAAAACGGGAACATCGGGAACAGTATATAGTAATATATAGCGTGTATGTATATATATATATATACAATTATATTATGTATATATATATATGATGTGTATGTGTGCGCACTGGTTGGCATGGAATACTCTTGTTCGATTATTTGCACCGCACCCCTTCTGTTCCGAATTCCGAGGCCAAAATACCCAACAATCTGTCCATCGACCGAGTGAGCTTTTCGAGAATTGACTTCGACACGATCTTGAAACAACGAAGGTGCTCCAAAACGCAAGAATTTTTGCGGGAGCAAAGGCTTTCAAACGAGTGAAACTTTCAGTGAAACCCTTGTCCTTTGTGACAAGTCCATCTCTGTGCCTTGGGACCATCAAAATCCTTCGAATCCTGCAGGAGCGCCGTCAGGCGTGAAGTGCCCAAAAAAATGCTTCGACTCGTTCAGTACTATCAATCCCACCAAATAAATCTTCTCAATCAGCATGCCAGGTTGGTCAAGTTCTGTGTTATGGCAACTACATGCAACTACTTTATAGTACCCTCAACTGATCCAGGCAATTCCAGGCATGTCCAGTCTGCCAAAAAGAAATCTTGACCCCGCTGTTGCATAAGACTGTTGAAGGTTTGCAATCGTTTATATATAATGTTTATATAATAAAACTCTGTTCCTATGAAAGCATGTGAATGCTTCTGAACGTCCTAAAAGGTATTGGGGTGTAGCCAGTTGAAGCCAAAGAGGACCTAGCGAAGGCCGATCCTTTGCACCCTGCCTCAGATGCCTCAGGTTGCTCCTGGTGTCAGCATACACGCAATGTACGCTTACAAAAGCTGCTCTGTAGTACTGTGTGGTGTCATTGAAAGGATGTAATTAAGAACCTCACACCAAGATAAGACATCATGCGACTACATTGACATGCAGCTGTCCAACGTGGTCAAACGGGAGCATATCAGCATATTGCGGCAAACGTGCTGGAACAGTTCCGGTTTCATTTTTTTTCACAGCGAGGCATCCCTGAATCCGAGCCTGCTTGGAACTTGGAGCTAGCAACTGCAAAGCAAATTAAGCAGCGCAAGCTGTACACTGCGAAGCATTTAACACATTGGTGGCCTGCGCAGCCTACCGAAATCTACTGAACATCGCCGAACGGATAAAGCACGTTTGAATCATTTGAATCCTGTGACTTCCCCCACCACCAGAGCACCAGAGAAAATAGTAGTATGGAGAAGCAGGTGCTGTACCTTTGTCCAGCTGATGTGGCGATCTCGGAATTGGCCGCCGGCAAATGATAACCCACAAAGCCACAGCTTCAGATCAGAATTTGAGTGGAAGACATCTGAAGACTACCTGCAGCAAAGCCAGCGATCGAAGGTATCAAAGCTTGAGGAGGCCAGTTGGCTTTCTCAGCGCATGGTGTCATGCCGGCCCAATGCTGGCCATTGGCAATAGGTAGACAAAACAAGTGTCAAATGTCAAGACTACATACTGAGCGGAAGCCACTGGCCATAGCTTTCAACGTGCATCCCGTGGCGAACAAGGCAAACCAACACTCGTTGCATCCTATCCCTCCTCCTGCCTTGGATACCTCAGCCAGCAATGCAACTTGTGAGCCCGCAAGTTGAATGGGAGGAGCATTGCAGTTTAACTCATGACACTGGCCTGCATGTCAGAATCAAGAGGGTGCCTTATGAGAAGGGCACGATTCTAGAGGGTGCTATTTGTTTGAAACACCTTAAGCATGTACCAAAATCGCCAAAAGGTACTTGAACCATGTTGAACCATTTCCTGAACCGTCTGAACGCATGTGCAAGTTTCCATTGAGGCTATGACCGATTGACTGGCCACTGCATGCCCACGCTGTTGGCAGGTCTCGAGCTGGGCGTGCTTGCGCTACTCATATTTGGCGACCCAGTACCTGTCACTTTCTTTGCCAGTCTTTGCCAATGTATTTCTGACCTGCTTTGTGCTAGTGGTCTCTGTCTCTGACTGTGTAGATCTATGAATATCTATCCTTACATTTGCATTTGGGGTTGCTGCATGTTGCATTCTTTCTGTCATGGACTCACAGTGAGTCAGAATCTCCCCATTGCCTTGCCCACTTCTCCGCATTGGTGGGACGGGCCCCAAGCATGGGCTTGATTGAGCTGCCTTGGTTGCAGGGCATAACCCTTAGCGATTCTGGTGACCCAACTATTGTTGTCCATGTCCATTTCCGTGCTGTTCACATGCAGCAAGCAAACTTGGGATCCCAAGGACGGATCACTTAGGTGCGGAAATTGCTACAAATCGCACATTCTTTTTTGTTCCACTGTTTAAATCTGCCAATTGGAGCGAGTGGCAGGAGCATCAGCAAATCGAGCAAGGCGGTTCTTTATAGCATCCTCATCATGCATGGGCAGCATTGCAGCTGAGTTAAAGAATGGTCCCTGCCTCTTTTGGGGGACTAGAATAACCTGCAGAGAGAGAGAGAGAGGGAGAGATGTATATAGGTATAGGTTTTTTATATATATATATACATATATTATCATATATTATATTATTAAAAAAACAGCCCTTTTTCACGGGGCTTAAATCAGAGCCTAAATCAGACGAGATAATTGAAACAAACATAATGAATTGTCTTCATTGAAACAATGTACTGAATTCTGAGTGTTTCATTATCATTGTTCATGTGAATATTCCTCGAGTATTCAACCCCCCCAAAACATACATCTTCCCGTTTCCCCCATTGAACCTGCGACTTCTGTAGCTCTTCCAGCTGATGACGTTGCTGGGATGCGTTGGTCAATTGGCGCTTCACTGCGTCCAGGTCCTTTGGCTTTGCTCATATCTTTTCCAGTGGCTTCACTGTCAGTACGATATAGGTTAGCTGATATATCTAGGTTGTTAATTAAGTAGGTAATAGTACCAATATGAATCGTAAATGAATACGAATATACATGTTTATAGACACGCATTAATGAATATCAAATGGTATTGAATATATAATATATTGTGTGTGTAAATAACTATTATATATATAATCTTATATTGCATTACATATTTTATATTTTATTATAGTATATTATATTATAGTAAATCATATTATATTATATTATATATATTCTATTATATTATATTATTACTAGCTATCACGCTATATGATTGATTGTCGGGGCATCAGGTGGAAAGCAAACATAAAGCTCTGCAGTGACTCCATGATCTCCTCGGAGACGGTCGAGATTTGGCTCAGGATATCACGATCTCGCTCCTTGGCGAGTTGGGCGGATTGGTTTGCTGAGAGTGATCTATACAGCGTTGCATCAATGACTCAGCTTGCCTTTTAAATCGTCAGAAGGAAATGATCTGTATTTGTTTGCCTGCATTCAAATCAGAAGTGATTTTAGTGTACAGTCTATGCGTGTGACATCGGACCGAAATATGCAGTGCCAGGTCCATTGCACTTTGCTGCTGCCCTTTGAACCATCCCAAGTGCCTCTCTCTTCCCGCTCTCAACGAACAAGGTCTGCTCTTCTGATTGCATTCTCAGCTCCAAGGTGCTGTACTCCTGCCGCTCGCAGTGGCACACGGCCGTTTCCTAAGCCTTTTGAGAAAGGGTTCCTATGGGTTCCCGAACTCCATTCAAAACACAACTGCGAATGACTTCCAAGATCTTCCAAGCTAGGATTCGTAATGGTAAGAACATACTGGAATCGGAGTGAGATTTGCCATCTGAGTCAAAAAAAAGTGGAAGCGACATCCACATTTTGACGCAGTCATCCACAACACAAGCTGCTCAATTGCCACAAATGCCAACAACCCTTTCAGTCCTTCTCTCTCTTCTGCCGCTCCTCTCTGACCATATCCCGCATTTCTTCCAGACAGCGTTCGTCGCCCTGTTCTCTTGCCATGCGCTCTGCTGCTAGTGCAGCCCTCACATCGTCAGTGGCAGGCATGATGCCGCTTCCAGCAGTGCCACTTGGACTTGGATGTCCCAAAACCACTTGTTCTCGCAGGCGGTCAAGGCTCGATCGCACGCCCTGTACATCCTGGAGTGTAAGGGAGCTTCTCTGAGAAAACAAACCTAGAAACACTCGATGATTATACAGAATGTCATGGCGCACTGACTGATGAGATCTGATGAGCATGCCTTTGTTGATGACATTTACATGCATTTCCTTTATGGAATATTTTCCTATGTCCTTTTCGGGGGACCTTTCTCCTTTTCATTCCCAGCCGCCTCCCCGGTCTGTGGAACTATATTATCCTCTCTCCTTGTCTATGCCCGTGCGTCTCAATGATTTCTACCCTACTTCATCTGAAGGCAGGAGCCAGCAGTCCGTCCTCCTTTCTCGACGCGGTCTCCATGCGCAATTCATTCCGGACTCTGTCAACGTCGTTCCACAGCTCTTCCCTCAGTTTGGTCTGGCCATCAATGAGGCGCTGCACGTCTCCCACCTGTCCAGGATGAGAACAAACAAGAAGGATCAAGAAAGCATTGAATGCCTAAATGCATGCGCATGCACGAAAAGGCTAAGCAGAAAATGATAGAAAATGACAAAGCGCGACGCAATCCAAACTTGCCATACTGCGTGTTTTTCCCATACTGCGGCTGAGCACGTCGACACGAAAAATTATGCAAGTCTGTCAGGCTGGAAGCAGCCCAGAGCAGCCCCTTTGGTGCCTCTGGGCGGTCACTCTTTCCGACTGCCACGGCAAGATTGGCGCTGCTCAAACGGCTGACCGCCATTTCCTCAGGGCGCAGGGAACCTGGAGCGCCTGGAGTGCCTGGAGCACCTGGAGGTGGATCCTATGAGACCAGAGGGGGCCTCTGAGAATATCACTTGCAAGACACTCAGTGCTCACTCACCATGACTCACAGTCGCTCGCCATCACTGGCCATTACTTTTATATATATATACATACGTAGTCCAATACTACAAAACTGACCGCCAAAGGAGACGAGATTGCTCTGGGCAGTTGCCTGATGTGCCTATTAGAATCTACTAGGTGCCTAGTTGGGATGCATGGACCGCTACTGACCTGCGTTCCTCCCAGTCCCTGTGTCGAGGCTCCAAGTTTTCTTTTGCGGTGCGCGAGACTTCCTGCAGCTCCTCACGAAGTTCCAGCAAATCCTGACGCGTGGTCATGAGCTCCTGGCGCGAAAAGCCATACGATCAGATCACCAAGAGTTATCAAGGATCCAAGGTCGAACTTTACATTTGAGGTGAGTCAAAAATGTGCCAAGTAATTTCAAATTGAGATGAATTGCACCAGTCTTGGGAGCCAACGCGTGTTCCAAAAAAACCAGAACTTGTCATGGCTTCGGTGTGGGAGTTGGACCATGTTTGACCACACGTTGGACCACCCGTTGGACCACCCGTTGGACCCGCCAATGGTGAGGTCCTTTGAACTCCTCTCCACGTAAGAGGCGACACTGGACTGAAGCTGCTTCTCCTGAAAGTTGCTTTGGAAACATCTCAATTTCTCACATTCACCAAATGCTTGTATATGATCTTGCATGCAATATAAAATGCAAATAATGCCATATGAAATGCGATATCATGCAATTGCTCACTGAATGACAGCCCCCAAATCAACTTGATATGCAACACTTCTTTGTTGACAACTGTCGCCAATCAGAAACAAAATCGCGGTGTAATATATGTGGGAAGGCCATTCTCATGCTCTGCTGAAAGCAAATGCACTTTGAGTGTCAATGCTCAGTTTCTGGTTGCCCTATGCGAGCCCCTTGCCAGCCTGGAAAAGAATATTCTGGATCAGTGAACAAGGCTAGATCTCAACACCAACAAACATGCAACATGGCAAATACAGGGCAAACACATGCAAACACCGTAAATTCTGATGGAAACAAGCCGTAAATCCTGAAAGCGTTTTTTTCACAGGCTCTTGTTTCCCGCATCAAGGCACCAATTCTTCTCGTGATGTATCTTGAGCAGAAAGTTGCATGCTCGCTATCTTCTCTTCCATGACTTGACGCTCCTCAGCCCACTATCCAAGAAGCTTCAGCTCCAGCGTACCGTATTTTGCGCTGAGACTTACCATGCCACTGCCACAAAATGCCACAACTGGCCCTTCACCACAAGATCTTAGGTCTCCCGTCCGTTTGACTAGACATGGGACACCGTGCGCTTAGATATCTCATGATGCCTCCACGGACTTGAAGTCCCCTTGGCCACTAGGCTTAGCCAAGGGTCTGTGGCCATCTTGCCCTCCAGCGTCTTCCTGACTGCATGATGCTGACATATGCGAACATGTATTCAGTTCATTCTTTGTGTCACCTGTCACTATCCCGTAAGCATCCTCAAACCCTGAAAAAAAATATGAAAAATTACAAACCGCACTCATGGTTTGCCCAAAGTCAAAAGGAACATTGAACAAAATAGTCCTTGCATGCCTTTGCACTATTATATATAGTACAAATCGATATGGCTGAGCTTTGCCGAGTCATTAGTCGTCAGTCACTCAGGTGGAAGCCACATGTGGGCGAACAGAAATCAGAGTAGGGTCAGGAACACAAATGACAAGTGTAGCCAAGTGTCAGGATCATCAAACAGGTTTCTTCACGTTCCTTCGCTTCTTCTTGAAGTTTGTTTTGCCGCTGTTGACGCTCATCGCTCAAGTCTTGCTGCATTTGCTGCACCTGCAATACCAACAGCCGGGCAACTGAACGTTTCACACCACCCGAAGAAGCAATATCTCTTTGATCCCTTTATACTTTATACATTTCATATCCCTGTATAGGGTGATACACCGAGGAGTTGTGGGTCTCAGACTTCGAATGGAGTTGTACAGTGTCCGGTCCTACCAACAACCTGCAACACTACTCACCTTGGTCAAGTCAAACGATGGTCATGGAATGTCAGGTCTGCCCTACAAGCTCAGATTTCGAACGCCGAACTTTCATGAAAGCATGCGCTAACTTCATCTCACTGCTCATTTCACCCCTGCCTCAGCTTTTGCTGCTTCAAGCTGCGCCTAGTATCACAATGTACTCGTAACGAATGGGCACACAGCAGGTTTTGCTTTTCTTTGTTTGCATTGGTTCTATTTGCGCCGACACTGCAACAAGTGCAGAAAACAAACACAATCATTGTTTATCATTGTGTGTGGAGCTCCAACATGAGCAATCAAGCCATCGATTTTAAGGTAAAGCTCCAGTTATTGGCTGCGCAACACCCCTGAAAAGAAGACGTGCAATGGCCCTTCCCACTACGGTTGCTGCAGTAGGTGTCAACAGACCACGCCTGAACTCTCTTCTCCAACTCTTGTAATGCCTCCTCTTGGCGACGCCGGCCGCCAGCTATTAGCCTGGCTTCCAACAAGAAGGCCGCAAAGGGCGAGCAAATGCGAGCAGCACATGGCCGTGATAGCTCTAGTCTTGAATCGATGCTCATTTATCATATTTATCATATTTATCACATCTATCATATTTATCATATTTATCATAATATAATCATTAAAATATCATATAATATGAGCAATGGCAATGGCGCATATGGTCATATTGTCAGAAACTGTGTCTCGTGTCACATATTGTCCCCAAAAGTGTCACATTAATCCTAGAATGTCTTGGGATGTCTTGGGATGTCTTGGAATATCTTGGATTGTTTACCAGACCGTCACCCTGACACAAGGACTTCCAAGACTTAGATGCTGAGGTGCTCATGGAAGGTAGCCAGCAACTGGCTGCTTTCCTGGTGCACTAAGGCGTGCTCAGCCACTGGGCAAAGTGCCGCATGGAACACGCCCTCTTGAAGACAATTGGCTAGCAAGGATAGAGATTATCGGCGCAGATCATGACATGCTCGTGGTAGATCCATGATTAATTCACCCAATGAATGGGGAGTGGGCATGGGTGCATTGCAAGCAGAACTTTGTGTCAGTCCTCCTGTCGGCTGCTGCACTCCGTCTCCAAGGCCTTTTCCAACAGATCCAAACGGCTGGTCGCTGCTTGCCTCAACACGGCAGTTACTTGGCGTCTCCAGGGGTCCCAAACAGAATGCAGGTAGCTTCAAGGAGCCTGCCTCAGAGAACACCTGCCTTGATTCTTAAAGAATCTTAAAGTCATCTCAAGTCTTCAAGAAAAGAAAGTGGTTTGGAAGCTAGAATTTGTTTGATAAAACAAAATGAAACGCCACCTTGCCCCCCCATCATTTGACTACCGTGAGGTCCAAGTTTCAAAGCTGGAGCAGTAGCCACATTGCCCTGGCTACTGATCTCTGAGGACCTAGGGTCACACTGACAGTGTCTAACTCTGCAATACTCTGCATGCTTCATTTTGATTCCCTTTGCGAGTACAGAGCGCTACTTAATCACTATCAATATTATCAATCAAGCATATGACAAGTCGGCTTTCTGTCTGTCGTCCAATGTCTTCCACAACAGATGCGCGAGACTGATTACGAGAAGACCGGCTGAGCCACCTCTCTGAGAGCTGTCTCCGGACTTCAGCACGAACCAATGTGTCCGTAATAGATTCTGCATTAGGGATGGCCTTGGTTGCGAGCTGAGTGATCCAATACGAACAAACATTCTATGATGTTTGTCCTCTTCCACCCGGATTACGTCACATTGTAATCTTTTCTGAATCACTTTCGGGCATGAAAGTGATGCTGCGTCTGAGCGTGCCCCAACACGAGCAATGGGTTGATCTTGCCACTGTTCGATCCGTATTTGGATCCAAATAAGATGCTCTTCTTATGCAGCATTTCTATGCGTGGTGCCCTGGTGCTGCCTTCTATATGGTGGACATCTATGAACGCTATGATTTGACCTCCACCCATCATTTCAATCAAGACACCACCGCGTCGCCCCGGGTTTGCACCCGCAACTGGTCCACCAACCTGGATGAAGAATGGGCAAACTACAGTGGCCACGGAGAAATACTGTGACTAAAGTGACCGAATCAAACATCTGTCACAAACACCCGAAACCATGTCAAGCGTCATGACACCTGCAAATAGCTGCACAAGAATGTCAAAGAATGTCAAATCATACATCTTCTGAGACATCTTCTTAGACACAAATCGGGCCTGGACAGGTCAGCACTTGCACTGCTGATTTCCATTTTCTGCATATCGAGCTCTTGTCGGATACTGTCTCCTTGGCTCTCCAAAATTCTCCAAATAGCTCCACTTGACTGGAAGGCCCTGCAGGGGTCGCTTGTCATGGCAAAATTCTGGATCAGAAGTGCCAGGGACATGACTCTGCACGCTTCAAATCATGGATGGACCAAGACGGAGAGGAAGAAAGGGCCCTGTTGAGATCTGTTGATTGCTTGTCATTTGTCCATAATGATCTCGCCGATGCGGGGTACCACATTAAAGACTGGCTACAGCGCGACACCCTGCATTCCACTGAAGGAAATCCTACTGAGCCAAGGATCTGAAGTGACCAAATTCACTCAGAACTTGCTGAGTTTGAGTTGATGCAGATCCTGCAGAGATGGGTTGAGGATGTCAGCATGTCTCTGCTTTGGACCAAGGCATAAGAAGAAAGCGATGCAGCAAAGGGGGTTGAAGTCGAGTGGCCAGGATTTCCGAAAGCTGGAGTCACTGGAGTCTCATGGATTTCCGATGATTTCCGTGGGATTTCCATGGGTTTCCTGGTACAATGTCTCTAATTATCACTTTCCCTTTCGCATGGGAACTTTCATGGCATTTCATGGCAATCAACAACGTCCCATGCAGCCCTGCCGGCGCCTACTTCCAGGCGGACCTCCCTCTGCATTGCCACCAGTCTGGCTTCAATGTGACTTTCAACTGCTCGACGCAAGGCCTGGGTTCGGCAAAAATTTAGCCCTGGCATGCCCTGGCATATCCTGGCATACTCAGAACTCCTTGTGAATTCTTATGAATTCGTATGAATTCTTATGAATTCTTCCCGCTTTTGGCTCACCCCTTCCGATTTTGGAAGAATCGGTGGAAGATGGCTGTCTTCGTGGTGGCATAGACTGGCATAGATTCAGACACAGAATCGGACTTGTTCGACCTTCTTCTCAAGATGCATTCCCCTTTCACAAACGCAACCCCCTTTCAAAAGACCTTGTTTTTTGCGTTGTTTTGTCAGATTTTGTGTTTTTCTTGAAATGCAACGCAGCCACGGACTCTTCCTTGACGGTGGTGTGCCACCGCTCTTCCAGGCGTGAATCTGCTTGCTCGTTCTGCTGCTGCTGTTGTCGAAGAGCCTGCTTCCAGATTCTTGTACATGACTTTAGAAATCGAAATTAAGTAGGATCCAAAGATATCCAATGCACAAACATGTCTAATCTGGAACTATATGGAACTGATCCATCTTTTGGCTTCCGGAATTGCATGGACTTGTACTCGCCAATGACTGCGCCACATGTGCAAGTAGTTCCCTCCAGGTAGGTCGTGCCTCCTCCCGCTTCTTCCTCTCTGCCTGCCAAATGGCAGGTGTTGCTCCGGTTTAATCATCGCAAAGCAAGTAACACAGAAAAGCAGTTTGAGCTGCAGAAAAGTCGTGAGCTGCAGCTGTGATCTCATGATTTTGGAGAATCGTATCCGGACAGTAATATCATAGCACATGATGAATGGTCACGTTCTGCGGGAAGCAACGTTTCCAAAGGCAGCCAGTCAATTTGTTGCAACATGTTGCAACTATCAGGGCATGACAAGAGAATGAGAAAAACAGTTCTGCCCTGCGGATCCGTTCCAAATAGTCCTGAAGACTAAGATCCCTCATTGAATCCTCTTTTTTCGGAGATCTGGAACCGACAGCAAATGCAGTAGTTTTAAAATGAGTTTTTCAGGGGCGTCAAGAGTTGTTGACAGCGTCCAGTCGCAAACCTCACAAACCACAAAATGGTCGGCAACATTAACGAAAAACACATACATAAACCCCCTAAAATTCTGTGGCACGGCAGGCCTGAACCACTGCTTCAATTTGAAGACCCATCTGCTTTCGAGCCTCTACTTCCATCCTGAGTGTCTGGGCAAGGGGGTCTGGGCAGGGGAATAGTCACTAGCCCAAACACCTAGTGACTAGCTGACTAGCTGTCTGGCGTTTGTTAGGCTTGCGCGAAGCCCAACGCCAAACTATAGCACGCTCTCTACCTGTGACATAAGTTGACATGACAGCACCTTGAACACCTTGCCGACCTTGCATCCAAGGCACTTGATTTCCTGGCGGAGGATGCGCAGCTCTTGATGGAGATCATGCGGCGCCGCCGGCAGTGATGGATTGGTAGAGCTGGACCTAGCTGGGGCAGCTATAGGCAGCTGGCAACACATGCAGATCGAACATGAAATACCATGTTCGTAACATGCGTGGAAATTATAATAAATTTTGCCTTTGTAACCCGAAATTTTCTCTATCTGTAAATATGCGGCGCAAACAACGCACATGCAGAACTGCACACATCTGTGTGCGTGTGAGTGTGCGCATGTGACGTCAGTCGTCAGTGGGAAAGTCAACAATTTACACTAATTTACCATGGCACAAGGTAAATGCCAAAAACATCCAAAAACTGGTTTGCATCACGTGCACAACCATGGCCAACAACAATTACGACTACGATCCATGAAAAAACTGAGCGACTAACCCTTCCATCATCTCTCCTTAAACATCCCTAAACGTCCTCATCGTCCTCATCGTCCTCAACATCCTTGCGGTAATACCAGTAGTGCCGCACAAGGCGGCGGCGGAAGTTTCAGAGTAGGAAACCTATAGGAGAGTTTGGTTGTTGTGAATCACGGATGGCAGAGCGAATCCACTGATGGACTGAAAGGTTTTTGGAGTTGTGTTTTTTGTGTGGCTACAATGGTTGCAGTGGTCACCTGGTCGGTCACCTCACCCACAACTGCTGGATGTAGCGTGGTGTAGCGCAGCTGTAGTTGTAGCTGTAGTGTAGTGGGTTTGTAGTTGTGGTGTTGTTGCTGTGCTCGTCTGGCAGCATCGAATGGCAACTGCCAGGCGCTAAAGAAATGAGGCGAAGCGAGAGCACCGCTTCCCGTGGCATCAAAATCCCTGACAGACAAGGCAGGGTAAGGCAAAACAATCCTGACAGCCAGGTCAAAAAACAAAACTCGGCCAAACCTGACAGGCAATGGCGTGTGAGTGCAGAAACAAAATCAAAGGGCCTGAGCAGGTGCCTGACACGTGTCAAATATAAGGCAATGCAAGTGGCGCAAATGCAAAAATGCCAAACTCATACTACAAGGTCACACCAGCACCAAATATGTGCAACTGCAAGCAAATGAAGCGGTGTCTGGAAACAATCCACCAGACACGCCGGCAAAAATACAAATCAAAACATGAAATACATCAGGACGTGGCAAGTGCAGCTCTGGCTTTTTTGGCACTAGAAAAACCAAGGAGGGCCAAAACTCGCATCATGCGTTTATAAGGAAGCTTCAAGGTTTCTTCAATGGTCATGTCACTTTCGGCTTTGGCTTTGGCAACACGTTTGCGCTCAAAATCTGCAATGATGTCAGGCCGGACAGTCTTTTGAGCAGTGAGTGTTTCAATCTTGTCAAGGCGGTCTTGAATGGCACAATCTTCCCGCTGAATCAGGTCACGACATGTGTGAAGGTCATGTTTGGGGCAAGGCGTCTGGGCAAGCCGAAGCCAATGGCCCTTGCGGTTGTGGTGGTTTGTGGCTTGTAGTTGTGGTGTAGGGCAATTAATGTAGCGCAGCTGCAATTGCATTTGTGGGGGTGTAATGAGTCTAATTTATTGATCGGATGGAGGGCAATGTAGTTGCGTGTAGCCTAGTGTAATGCAGTGTAAAGTAGTCAAGTTGTAGCTGTAGTTGTGCTTAGTGTAGTGTGGTGCAGTGTGGTGTGGCGTAGTGTGGTGTAGTGCGGTGTAGTGCGGTGTAGCATAGAGTAGCGTACTGTAGTGTGATGTAATTAGTGTAATGTAGTGTGGTGTGGTTTAGTGTGATGTGGTGTAGTGTGGTGTGGTGTAGTGTGGTGTAGTGTAGTGTAGCCTAGTGTAATGCAATTATTGTAGTGTAGTGTAATGTAGTGTAGTGTAGTGTTATGTACTGTAGTTGTAGTTGTAGCTGTAGTTAGTGTGTTGTGTAGTGGTGTAGTATGGTGTAGTGTAGTGTAGTGCAGTGCAGTGCAGTCCGTGCAGTGCAGTGCAGTGCAGTGCAGTGTCGCGTCGTGTAGTGTAAATGAATGTAGTGCGGTATGCAGTGTGCAGTGTGCAGTGTGCAGTGTGTAGTGTGTTGTGTGTAGTGTATAGTGACTTAGTGTATAGTGTATAGTGTGTAGTGTGTAGTGTGTAGTGTAGGGTAGCGTAGCGTAGCGTAGTGTAATGTAGTGTAGTGTAGTGTGTTGGAGTGGAGTGGAGTGTAGTGTGATGGAGCGTAGTGCAATGTAGCGTAGCGCAGTGTAGTGTAATGTAATTAGATGTAATTAGTGTATATAGTGTTGTGTGGTGTAACGTGGTGTAGTTGTAGTTGTAGTTTTAGCTATGTTGTAGTATAGTATAGTGAATGTAATGTAATTAGTGTAGTGTAATGTATCTATTGTAGCGTCGTGTAGTGTAGTGGTAGTTGAATTTGTAGTTGAAGTGTAGTGTAATGTAGTTCAATTGAGTTTAGTGTAATGTAATTAGTGCAGTGTAGAGCGTAGGGTCGATGTAGTTGTTGGTGCAGTTGTAGTTGTAGTTGTAGTTGTAGTTGTGATTGTAGTTGTAGTTGTAGTGTGGTGTAGTGTAGCTAGCGTAGCGTAGTGTAGTGTAGTGTAGCGTCGTGTAGTGTAGTGTAGTGTAGTGTGGTGTAGTGTGGTGTAGTGTAGTGTAGTGTAGTGGTTGTAGTTGAAACTGCTAATTATACAACCCTCACTTTTTGCTCGCTTTTGGCTGGCAAGGTGCAGAATCCCTTGTGCCTGGCACGCAAAACGACATCCAAACATCCAAAAGTGTCCAAAACCCTCAGTTTTTTCCACTTTTGACTTCCAAATGTGCTTCGCGCCACAACGGCGTGCACTTTTTCGACAGCTCAACTTCTAAAAGTTCTCCGAAGCTGGGGTGTTTTTTAGCTTTTTCACTTGCAAATGTGCTTCGCGCCACAACGGTGTGCATCTTTTCACCTTCCATCCCGCCAGATGGCTCCGCACCCGCCGCTTTAGCGAGCCTACTTTTCGACCCTCTGGAGCCACAAATCATTGGAAAAACACAGTGAATCGCGACTTTCCTACCTTTTCGTGCACCTGGATCTTCTTTCTTCTGACTTGTCTTTGATCTTCTTTCTTCTTTTCTCTTCTCTGACTCTTCCCATCTCTGCTTTTCATCTGTCCATATTGTTGGAAGTGTGACTTCTAAACTTCCTTCAACTATTAGATGATACTATATGATACTATATTATGGTATTATATCAACAGGAAGACGAAAGAAGCAGAAAGGAGCAGAGAGGAGAAGGGAGAAGAAGGGAGAAGAGAGCAGACAGGAGAAGGGAGAGGAATGGAGAGGAGGGAGCAAAGAAGATACGAACAGAGAGAAGAGAGGAAAGGAGAGAGGAGCATTGGGCTCGATCGACCTTTTCCTCAGGTGGGCCCCAGGGTAACCATTTTGCGGGAGCTTTTACAGTGCTTATTTTAGCACACATGAAATGGAAAATATGTTTTGAGCTGTTTTAAAGGGGCCATGGGACGGTCACAACAATATATCAAATTTATGTTTGCATAAAAACTTGATCACTTCACCTCCAACGTGCGTGTGGCGCCTTGTTGTTATGCCTTCCAGCAAGGACTTCTTGAGTAGCGATTCTACCTCAATACAATGTCAACGCACAAAAACTGTTCATAGCTTTTGTGTGCATTCGCAGGTATTGTGCGCATTGTCTTGCCAATTGAACCACAGAACCATGAGCGCAGTGCGAAACGAAAAGTCGTTGCGTGTTGGCATCACACAGCACTGTGAAGCAAGCTTTCTATATCTTTCTACATGCACACAAAAGCCGAGGAACCCAAGCACCACTGACCATATCGCTGTCACTGGAAATTGCAGTGCTCATAGGCTGAGAGCTCGGGGTGCCTCAGGCCGCAAATGCATGCAAATGCTTCCCGGACGGATGGAGTCAACATGATACAATGTCGGTCAATGTCGGTATCTGATCTTAACACTTGATACAACATGATAAAAAAGGCTTCTCAGTTTCATGTGAACTTGTTGGCAAATCAAAGCGGTTTGGGCTTTTTCGCAAGCCATGCGCGCAGTGGTAAATGACACTCTGCCGCGGGCGATTTCGCATTCGCGCTGCAACCCCGTGACAAGCAGTGCGCTATGACTATGACCCGTAGGCATGAACCGCCCTGTTTTGGGGCCAAGCATCGAAAGACGGGATGAGATGCTTTTAGAGATGTTGGCGAGCTTAGACAGATTCACAAATTTTAGGTCGGCCAAGTCAGAACATGCATATCTGAATCCAATCAATTGCCAAGTGCAGTCCAAAGAAACATCGTTTCCTCTGAGAATGTTATAGAATAAGGATTAAATCTTGACATCGCCAACTCCAAAACTCAAGCACCTGCATCCCGACTTGGGATCAATTTTAGACTTCAACTAAGAAAAAATGTTGAGATTGGATAAGACTGATAAGACTGGTATGAAGAGGCACTGCAAACTAAACAGTCTTACACGTGAGGTTGGTTCTAGCTGCTAGCTGCATTTCTGTCACCTTTCTCTGGGGAGTGGGGGGTCGCCATTTGTTTCGGCTGGTGAGACGGACATGCCGTGGCAACATCCACAGCCTGAAAGCCGCACCCCGTTCATCTGGAGGGCGGAGGCGATGAAAAAGAACCACCATATGCTGGTGAAAGCGAATCTCCACTTGCTCTCAGGCCATCAACTTCAGAATGGGCCTTGCAGTGGGGCCACTAAGATCACTAAGTGCCCCTTCAGATCATCCGGGTTTCCTACATCTCTGAATTTTGTTCAAGGGTGACACGAAATCTGTGTGTGTGTGTCTGTGTCTGTGTGTCTGTGTGTCCATGTTGAGTCCATCTTAACCCCGAAACTGTCCCGTGCACAAGCTCACCTTGAGATCCTCCTCTGTGACTGGCTCAGTGGAAGGAGCCTTGTAGGAGAAGCTTTGTGTGTCTGGCGTGCTTACTCGAGGTGCTTCAATCACCTTGCAAAACAGAAGCCCGAAAAAGCTTTGAGCTGTTCCAGTAGTCCGTCAGTTCAAAAATGAGGCGGACGTTGAACATTTTGAAAGCAGAAACTTCCAGACCAGATCCAAAAAAAACAGGCCATGGTTCGAGAGCTCCGTTTTGAATCATACATACATATTAATATGCAGAAAAAATAAAACGCCAACAGCCTCAAGAATCTTAAGAATTTATATAGTTCTGCGGGGACCAAGCATGCCAATTGCAGCTTTTGTCAAGCAAGTTTACGTTCTCCCCTTCTTTCTTCCTTCCTTACTCTCTGTCCAGTTCTGGATGCGAAAAATGTTCGAGAAAAAGCTCTTCGAGAAAACAAAATGTAATAGCCAAAAGTAATAGCTCAGGCAAGTTCTAATGCTTCTTCCGAGGCGTGGGCGGCTTGGACTCTGCCATGGTGACAAATCGCAGTTGGGTTTGTCTTGAAATGGGGCACCCCAACTCTTATGCTTTATTCATCTGTTTCATTCTTTCTCATCATAGTCCCTGTTATTTTTGGGTTATCCCTGGACCAAACCCATTGTGTAGTCCAATCCTCGTATTTTTCCCACCTGCTCCTCTCTCTCTTTGCGCAGACTGCGCCACCGACTCAAAAGGCATAGGAGCACAATAAATCCGCCACCAGCTGGAAACACCCAGGTCCAGTGCTTGCTGGAATTGTCCTGGCGAAGTCATGGTCACTTCATGGTCACTTCTTGCTCACTCATTTTTCAGCTTGGTGCCGTGATGAACGTTACTTTGTCAAGATTGTGCATGTGGCATGCAATGATCACCCGAATTCGAAGATTCAAAAAACATTGAAAAATATGTAAAACATATGATCAATTATGATCATATATGTTTCATTGTGTTTCTATTGAATTGAATTCTATCGACGCATATTGATGACAGATCCAACGTCCTCAACAGTTCCACCACCAGTAGGATTGGCCCAGGCAATCGGATTGCCAACCCTCTTGTATTTCTCCTGCCAGTCCCAGCTCAACTAAGTGACACAACAAGACTTTGCGCCTGTGAGTGTCACTTCAGATGAAGCCGCTACAAGACTCGCTTTGCACCGCTAAGCTGGCTTGCCAAGGACCAAGGTAATCCAAATCATACTAGCAACTCACTGCACATATCTGCACATCCTTGTCACATTACTTTCCTGCTGTCTCTCCTGTGTGTCGTACTCCCCGGTCTCTTCGTACCGCCTGTCGGACTCAGATTCGCCAGCAAATGCTCTGCGCGAAGAGACCTCCAAGCTCTGATTTCAAGGAAAAGGGATCAAGGAAGCGGACAGAAGTAGATTTGAAAGATGTTACGGATAGCTTTGTCATCATGACACCTGACCGTACACATCACTATAAGCAAGTTGCTGCAACTTGACATGTCTGAACCCTGAGGAACAGCTGGCAGCTAAACATCGCTGGAAGAGCTCTGTCCTCTCTATCTGTTGGTCATTGCATGTCCTGATTCGTAGCTAAATTTGCGGCCATTGGCCACAGTTCACCAAAACCCCTCTTCAGTTTCCGTGCGCTCTACCTGGTACCATGCGCTCCTCGCACTCCTCAGTACGATTGGCTGGAGCACCTCTCTCCGCGTCAAGCGTGAGAGCGGCGTTCGGAATAGCACCGCTGCCCGCATGGCTCTGACTACGAATCCTGGTTTGCGAGCCAAAATCTCGGCGACATGGACAAAGGACTCCGTGCGATGCGGATCAGGCAACTGTATGCCGCAGTATGCTGCACTATGCTCACACAACCCGAGTGCAAGAAGGAGTGTATGCTGTAGGATTTGTGGGAGTTGGTCAGGGGTATCAAATGTTGCCAGCGAGAAAGAAACAGAAAGTAAGCAGCCTTGCCTCGCATTACCTTCCCAGTTGGCCTTGTTCTATGGATAAAAATCCACTGCTGTTCCCAGCTCAGACTCTCAGAGCCCAGCTGGCGCTCAAGCGCTTGCCACCATCTGATTTCCTTGGGGCCTGACATGTAACTCTGCAAGGCCGCTGCAATGATTTCGCACTAGCACTAGCCTCTTCATGAACGATCATACCCCCATCCTTTTATAAATTACTAGCTTATAGTATTTGATCGTATTTTCAATCTACGTACTTTGCCGCATGCCCTTCTGCACCGTTCTTCGCTTCTATTTGATAGCCTGTAAGCCCCCACTGCATGAAATGTTGTGTGCAGTCATGGCCACGTGTTTGACGGATTGTGCCTGCTGTCCCTGTTGGACAGGCTGCGGCTGTGGTGGCGGCGGTGGCGGCGGAGGGGGCTGCGAAGGCTGTGGCTGTGGCTGGCCTGAAGGCAAGCGAGCCCAAGTCCACAAGACTGCTACGGTTAATAGCTTGTGACCACTCACTTCCAGCTATCTTCCAGTTATTAATTTACACTTTCTTGACTCTATAGCTGGAGCAAGATAAGCATGCAGCGCGCTGGGCCAGACCCGTAGGGAAAATCACAGCTGGTGTCCAACTTCGCGTTGAATCCACACGGGAGGCAAACTGAGAGACAAGGTGCGTTATTATATGAAAGTGAAACAACCCTAGCTTGCAGCTCCCTGAGGATACATGCTCCGAGAAGAAATATTATCCGCCTCCTGCAGCTTAAATCAATGTGTCACTCACCATCTATTGTTTGGTATCCAGTATGCTGACCCTTAATTTTGCAGGAAAAGGGGATGCGGTTGCACTTGAAGCTCCGAGTTCACATGCACGGGCGCCTATCATGGCTCCTCCACGCATGGCCCGTGTATGAGCGGACGGGCTCCGAGATGCATTCCAGGCCTCCATGTCCATGAACAGTTCGACCGGAACTTGTAGGAGTCTTGCAAAATATCAAAATGTCAACAAATGATAACAAAATGCACACAACAGGCACAAAATGGCACAAATGCCAATGGTGTCAATAAAATTGAGATCGTTTGAGATCTAAACTCTGGACATGCCGTTAGTGCAATGGTTGCAACACCAGTCTTAAAAGAGAGCCCATTCAAAGCATCGACCCACGCGCCTGCCCAGTGACTGGAGGATCTGATCACAGGATAGGCTCAGAATATCTCAGAATTATGCAAAGCTTGCGTGTGGAATATTGAAGGCATTACTTGCCTCACACACAGTACCATCAAATACTAAAGTAATACTACAATATCAATTGTGGCCTGCTGTGCTGGCGCGTTCCAAAAGGACCTACAACTGGCACATCAGTGCACATCAGCAAGGCTACACGATGTTTCACAAAGGTTGACAAAATGTTGGCCAAGCGCCAGAGCTCGGCATCACAGAACCGGTGCAGCGCCTGGCCATCTTCCTCCACGACTCCAAGATGGTGATTTTGCTGAGGGCTTCCTAGACAGAACTGCCATGCCACTAAAACAGACGGACGGCAGAAGAACCCACTGGAGGGACCCCGCATCCCGGAACCTTGGGATGTGCTAGAAAGAAGCTTTCAGACAGCAATGTGAGTCTAAGGTTCCAAGATGTTCCAAGATGTTCTAAGATGTTCCAAGATGTTCCAAGATGTTCCAAGTTCAAGGCCGTCCAAATATGTCCAAATGGTTTCATGATGTTTCATGTAGATCGTTGCAATGGGTTTGATCATTTTGATCTTTTTATCTTGGCGCTTTGCGTTTCACCACCGGATTCAGGGGCGGCCTCGTGCGACAAAGCTCGCAACGCCTGGACGGACGCCTTCTGCAGACATAGCACGGCCTGGGGCCTTGGAGGGTCCGCCAGCAAATGTTAAACCAAATAGCACGGAGCAAAAAGTATCAAAAAGTAATATTTTCTTACAGACTTGATCAAAACGTGTGGATACTGCACAAGCGTGCCCGACTGTGCAAACAAACTGCAGCACGTTCAATTGTGAACATTGAAAGCAAATGGCGAAGTGATGCAAGGCTCAGTGAAAAATATGGACAAAATCACATCTGTCATCATCTGTCGGCTCTTGAGGCTAGAAGCTGGACCAAGACCTTGCGGGGACCTGAGCTAACCGTAGATGTTAGCTGAAAGACGCTGAAAGCACATCGTACTGTATTTCAGCAGATCCCCTTCAAAAACAAAATGTATAAACATCTATCAGCATGCAGCATGTGTGCAAATTGCAAGTGCAACACTTGTTTGAGTTTCCGTCCCTCTTAGTGACATGTGAATGCAATTGAATACATCTATGGCATCCATGGCATGAAGCAGGTACTTCAGCACATCGCATCCTTCTACCTACTGTTATTATTTGCCATCGTTTGTCTGCGTCAGGAAGTCGAACACATCTCAAACACCATCAAAACCCAACGGTCTCGGTAGCACTTGGGAGTGCGTCGGATATCGTCAGATCCGGGACCATTTTGCAACACCATTGGGATAAGAAAAATGGCACCCCAAAAACCCACCAATGCGGTAGTCGACCAGGTCTGCAAAGCTTGGCCAAGGGGCGTTGGTGGTGGTGCTTTGGCAAAAGATGGGACTGGCAGCAGGTCTGGGGCTCTACAGGCAGAAAAAACAATGTCAAAATGTCAATCCTGTCAATTGGAAGTGTATCACCCCAGATTAGAAGCGATTAGAAGCGCCTAAACCTGCAGGATCTGCAGGGGCACAAGTCCAGGAGTAGAGATCACCAGTGAGTCACCTGGAATCCTTGTTTGATGTGATCGGCCTGGCCCCTATTGTAAATGAATTTGGCATCGGCATGCGACTAAATCAAAGAAAGTCACTTTATATATAATTGACTCTCGCAATATGTGGCAAATCAAGTTCTTTGGGGCTTGGCTGTTTATAGTTAGGATTAACAACTGAGTAATGGCCAACGAACGACTGAGCAAGACATGAATATATTTAGTGGGATCAATTTGGACGAACTTCTTATCCGAGGCCTTCAGCCTTCTGATATCCACAGAATTCCAGTGGCCTTAAGATGCTCAAAGATTCAAAGGATCATGAAAAACTATATATATATATATTTATATTTGTGTGTGTATATGTATATTATTGTATACTCCTCCCGAGAAGGGCGACCAGAAGAACAAAAGATGCTTCTGAAAACCTGTTCACACCTTTTTTCGTGTGTAATTTGAGTTGGTAGCAGTGAGTCTAGGTGAGTCTAGGTCTCTTCCAAGCTTCTTGAAGAAATTCCATGCGTTTTCAATGTCAATTGTTGTCTCATACAGGATTCAAGAGCCATAAGCCCCTGTAAGAACATGCGGCTGTCATGAAAAGAAAACAAAATTTGACTACACATATGCCACGCAAACGACAAACATGACAAGGTTGAAAGGGACAAAAAAAAATCGAAGACCCCTGACCCCAGAGTACTGCACGACACACACATGTCATTTTTCATTGTTTGGCCTTCAAAAGTGTCTTTCCACAATCAGCGGGTCTAGCAAGAGGAGAAGCCGTCTTTTTTAACGCAAGTATGTGCATTAATACATGCGCATATGTATGTATGTCATATATATATATATGTGTGTGTGTGTGGTATGTATGTATGTATGTACTGTACTGTACTGTACTGTACTGGACTGGACTGGACTGGACTGGACTGGACTGGACTGTACTGTACTGTACTGTACTGTACAGTATGTAAGTGTGTAAGTATGTAAGAATGTATATAAGTATGTAAGTATGTAAGTATGTAAGTATGTAAGCATGTAAGTATGTATGCATGTAAGTATGTATGCATGTATGCATGTATGTATGTATGTATGCATGTATGCATGTATGCATGTATGCATGCATGCATGCATGCGTGCATGTATGTATGTGTGTATGTGTGTATGTGTGTGCGTGTGTGCATATATATATAATTATACATACGTATATAAATTAGACACTTACAAACACCCAATTTTCTCAAGCAACTCGGCAACTCAGTCCCAATCAGTCCCAAATGGCCTTCCCAGCCAGCCATAGGACGGGGTGAGCCATTTCTTGTGGCTGGGGCAGTGTGCATTGAGCCACCGCCAGCTGGATGAAGTTGCAGGGACCTACCGACTGACTTTCATGCTGAATGATTACCTATGATAATATATGATAATTAGGTAACACCTCAAGTTGCATATCTTCACACTTTCTTCAACATACCTACCAAAATGTCCTTGCCTTCGCTGTGCCACAACATGGCGTTGGGCAGCACCAGTATTCATTTGAACCATTCGCGCCCTCGGCATGACAATGTGTGTCGAGACAATACCAATCAACTTTCATTGGCTTACCGCCCAAGGAAATTCAGGTCTTTTTGACGAAAGCACCATTTTTTCCGGGATGCTCACTATAATTGCTGGGCTGAGAATATCATCCAGTTAAAATGTGACCTACACATACCTATACACTTACACCATACCACCTCTCACTCCTGTACTGGTATTTGTTTGTTAAGTGTTGTTTCGAGAAGAACAAAAAAACACATGCCGCATGCCCTCAGAGAGGAGATTGTGTCAACAAGCGGGTGTAAGATGGGATAAGCAGCACGAAAAAGTACCTCTATGCGCAAAAGGCAGCACATGGCAGCACTTCCAAATACTTCCAACATGTCTAAGTAATTAAAATGAATACTGTACCTGGCTGACTTTTCCATGCTTTTCGGATGCTTTCAACCATGCTTTTCCGGCTCCCTGAGCCGAGAGGCTGATCCGGCATCACTGGTCGCACAGTCGGCCGCATGGCTGGCCACGCAAACGATCAAATGCGAAGAATCTGTGGTCCGATCATGTTCGATCTCTGGGGAAGCGGAACGAAGCGATGTCTTCAGCAGCGGCATCTGTGCTCCCCTTTGGCTACTATCGGCTACCGTATCTCTCATGCTTCGCTTTGTGAAATTAACCTATATCTCTCATGCTTCGCAATGTGAACCTATGTGCCGGAGTGCTTTGCATGCGTATTGATTGAACTTGAGCGCCTTACAGCATGATCGGGCTCTTTGTGGTGGGATGATGTGGGATGTGCTGATTATCACAATAGGCACAATTCGGATCGATTCGGCATGACAAATCTTGATAATCACGATTCCAGACCGAGCCATTCCAGGCACGCACCCTTTGTTCTCCACGCTGTGCAAAGGCGAGTGAGTTTGCAGTCCCTGTCATGGAGCCCTTGTGGGCGATCCGCATTCAAAGGGTTTCGATGGAAAAGGCATGCTGCTGGGTAGCCGGGTAGCTTCGTCTTCAGCCTAAAATTCGAGGCTGCTGAGGCCTGCAACGACCGGGTTGGCATTCAATCATTGAACAACCCCGCCGTGGCATCCAAAGTCCCTAAAGAACATTGGAAAATCAAAAGAGCGAATTAACGGCAGACAGACGGTGATCCGACGGAGTCAAGTGACTCCAGCCCACTCTGGGGGCAAATCTAGCCAAAGCAACACCAAGGATTGCTCAGGGCATTCATGGATTCATAATGAATCATATGATTATCATATGATGATTAATAGTGATTGATAGTGATTACATAATGGGTTTTATTGATGTTCAATGATTTTCATATATTTCCATTATGTTCTTATGTGAAGTCATTCCCTGCTCAAGTCATGCTTTTTGAGCACTGTCTGCGCAAGTCTCGCGGAGCTCTGCAGCTTTGGAGAGTTGCGAAACAAGAAAAATTGACATTCCTCGTTCTCAGCACTGAAAAACGTGTCAGGCGGAGAAACTTGAAAGCCTCGGCCATGGACCAATGGACCAGTGTATCGAAAACTGCGTTCAGCCAAAGGATTTGGTTGGGCTCCTCAGGATTCACTATGTCACTATATGTCACTATATGTCACTATATGTCACTATGATTTAATTGAGCCAACAGCTGGTATCGGACTTGCGGGCCTTGTGAAGCAGACTAGCCACTCCCAAAAACCAAGAACATCAAGAATGCATGAGAATGCATTATAAATGCATGGCAAAATAAAACCATACAACATCCAAAAACATCTAGACATATCTAGACGGAATTCTTGAAATGTGGATCGATGCAAGAGATCACGCGGCTTTGCTGCCGCGTGACGCGGCCGCGGCCCCTTGCACCTGGATCATGGTTGTCGTCGTTGGCATGGTAGGTCGACCTTTGGGTTGCGCTCAGATTTGCTCAGCAATTCCAAGCCAAGCTTTGCCCCCTTTGAGTTCCCAACTTGTCTGGCAAATGGATGTCGTGGGACGATTGCTGAACGTAGTCGTTTGGCATGCCTTCGGCATTGGAGGTTCAAGCATGTCCAAGCTGTCGCTGCTTCACAACTTCCCATCAACAATGGAGCCAAGCCTCTAGTCATGAACCTCCTATCGTATGCCAAAAGCCAAAAAAGAAAGTTGTGAGTTGGGCTTAGCGCTGTGCTGCTCAATTACTCAGTACCTCAATTGTTACACTGATTTAAACTGTTCAGCTTTGCCATGCTTTGCCATGCTTTGCCGTGCTTTGCGCCAATGGGATGGCCACAAACCAAGGCCGGCATTGTTCGTGACTGTGCTCACTCTCCAGCGTTCGTGCCCAACTCCCTTCCGTTCCCCTGTTAGCAAGTTCTACTTCCATCATGGCATGAGTAACTGAAACATGACCGACAAAGAAGGCAGACTGCATGAGCATTCTTGGCGCTGAACCACAGTGAAGAGAGGTGGAAGGCTATGAGAAGGTAATGAGAATGCTATTAGAAGTAGAGGGCTACTAGAATGCCAAAGGAACACCGTTTGTTGGCCAAAACAAACGTTCATTGTGGCTAGGGCACACGTTGTTGCGTCTCCCTACCTGTTTGGGAACCTGACTTGTCTGCGTCGCAAATAGCATTCTAAACACGGGATGGCTCGAAAGACTCAAAGCATGGCTTCAAAATCTCTCACTGCATGGGTTGGTTCTTTGAAACTCCTGTCTTACCGTCTCTAAGTTTGAAAAGAGTCATGTCTGGTTGTGACTGCTGCGGTGCAAAATTCCTTGCAGCATTGCACCATGGGAAGACCAGTGGCCGAGCCTCCTTTTTGCTCAAGCGCAGCTCGAGAGCTTGCAATTCAAGGCCACGCTTCCCTTGCTCCTGGAGGGGGGAAACCTTCTTAGGTCGCAAACTATATCATAAACTGTATCACATTGCACCTGCGTACCGCAAACCAAATCCCTTTTCTTGGTTTAGATCTACCCCTCTTGATCTTTTTTGCACCAGGATTAATGCCTTCAAATGCGTTCACGTGTTTTGCACCCAGCTGGGAATGTGGTGCTGGAGCATCCCAATCAAACTTGGTGACCTGTAGTCGGAAAAAGGAAGACTATGACAGACATTACAGAATGAAAGCCATGTAAACCATTGCAAATCTATATTCGCTCCTCGTTGATCATGTCACGGATATTGTCCATACATCTATCATCCGCTTGTTCTCGTGCCAAGCGTTCAGATGCCATTTGAGTACGAAGCTCTTCAATGTCCAAAGCATGCTCCATACAGGGACCTGGACCTAGCACGGGCATATTTTCTGAGACACCAAAACGGGACATGTGCTTGGGACAGTACAACTCTTGCAAGAGTCGCACCATGTGGCGCCAAATCCATCAAAATCTCGGTTAGAGCGGATGGGATAGGATGGGATGGATCGAAGTTGAGATGAAGATGTATGTGTGCACCAGCACACATGTCACATAGGAAGGTAGACAAGTACCCATGCATGCGTGTATGATGCGCAGCCTGTCTATTTTCAAGTGGACATTCAAAGTAGCGTGGATTTCTTTATGTTTGAGGTGTAAAGTGTGACCGACCGTACTAGTACAGTTTAGATTGAATTGCTACGTTCATAAGTATGAGCAAACGTGGAGACGTGCGTAGTAGCTGCAGCATGCCCATTGTTTGACGAGAAGTCTGCCTTTGCATACAGCTGATCTATACTGAGATACACTGAGTCAGGAATGTGCACCACATGTATCCATAGGTGATTTTGTATCCCATACAATTATATATAATATTAAAAAAATAAATAACAAACACACATATATATATATAAACAGATATAAACAGTATATGCATGCACGTGTGCATGTGCATTCCTGCAAGCAATCCCCACATCGAACGTCTGCATCATCTGTGTCTCGTAGCACATACATTGCAGTGCTGGCACCCTGCATTTCTCTAAGCTTTGATGATCCTTGATTCAGTGATTCAGAAGCAGCATGAAGCAGCCGAAGGATGGAGCTTACGGCATTTGTTTCCCAGCATCTTGCAGAACTCTTTAGCACAAGAGATCAACCTCCGAAACGACCGGCGCCGCGGCGCCGCAACCCCACCAAATCGCACCTCCTCCGTTGAGCTTGAACGGTGGCGAGCCCACTTTCCAGTCATCGCGCGCCTGGTACCAACACAGGGCAACTAGCAGACCGCAAACTTCAGGCTTGCTCAAGTCGGTTCAAGTGTGACATTGCTTTGAACAACCTATTGGGATCAATTTCTCGAACCTTTTCTACTTTCCACTCCCCCAAGCATCATCGAAACTCATGCTTCTCTTGCAACCAGTGTATATTGACTCAAACACCTGGGGTTCAAACACGGAGGCATCAGAAATACAGACTGCTTCAATCTGATTCAAACACCCCAAGACACCGAAGGCCTCTTTGAGCTCATCGCGTAGCTGCAACAAATCATTTTGAGCAGCTTGCAACTCCTGGAGCGGCATTTTCAATCGGCTGCTGAGACTTTTTTCCACAATAGCTTGTAGTCTGCAGCCAACAGAATGATGGAAAAAAAAGTCACAATTGACAGGTGAGCTCCTGTCTATCACGGGAAAATTCTAGACCTGATCCCTGGGGCAAGAAATTGTTTGTACTTCAAAAGTGCGAAAAGGGAGAAAGGGACTGCGTGGCATTGTAATTAATGAATGATTGTCCGATAAAGAAGTGTAGGAGTTGCGGAAGTGTCAAAGAAATCGCAATGGTATGTGCAATTCATAGACCACGTCCTGAAGTCCCTCAATCCATCCAACCCCCTCCTCCGAATTCTTCTCCACCAATTTGTTGATGGCGTGCCCCTTGCTGCGAGAAATTTACGATTATGCCATTTCGACAGAAAGCAGCACCGATCAGTGCTCATAACATTTCAACATATTTCAACTACTGTATGACGGGAACACTGGTCTAACACCTGAACCTAACACCTTAACAACCCCTCTTCGTCACCCACTATGTCCTCTTAGATGTTCATATTTGCCAGACAAGGGGGTAGAAATCAGCATTCGAAGTGCGGCCAAGGGACGTGATTGGTCACAAAACCTTCCAACCTGCCTTGTTGATCGACTAAGGCTTGCCGACAGTTTTTGGTCTCCTCAGTTCTGAGGTAGGCTCTATGCTCCTGTTGTGGATGGGGTTCACCTCTGCTCCCTTCAGCCTTATCCTAGATATTCCTAGATCTTGTATGATCTTGTCTTGAAGGACAAATAGAAATGCCGCATTCAGAAAATCAATGGCATCTCCAGCCCCCATTTGAGTGCAGGCGACAGAGATAATCTTTTCTTCGACGGCCCTCCTCGGCAGAACAGTGTAACAGCAGTCAGCTGGTCCACGTTTCAGGACACCCACATCAAAACTGGTACATACTGATTCTGATGCAACATAATTTGATTATACAATCATGATTACTCTATATTCATCCAAGCCGCAAAATCCTTACAGCAGTCTCCTCCCTGTCCTTCCAAAAGAACATCCAGGATGCAAAAGGCGCAGCACCAAAGCCAGTCTCCAGTTGTGTCATGGATAATTACATAGTATGAATGCAAAGAATACCAAAAAAAAAAAACAATGTCACGCCCCTGAAAACGGCCCCGCTGTTTAGAGCCATCCTTTTAAACTCATTCTGACTCATTCGAGCAAAAAGTGAACCCTCCTGCAGTTTTGTAAACTTCTGGTTTTTTTTCCAGCTGTAAAATACCGCACTTCATAGTCCTAAACCGTAATTCCGATGACTAGATTTTTGTTTGGGGGGATCCAAGATCTTGGTGGTCCAACTTTTTGAGTTGGTCTTTCTTTGTTGCACTTCGTTCTCCAAACAAAATTGTAAAATATGTCAAAATATTGTAAACATACGAGCGAACCCTACTGCTCTGTACCCCTGTGTCTTTGATTTTTGATGACAGTTCACGCGGAATGTAGTTTTTGAGCTCCCCATTTCCTATCTAGGCCCTGTGACCATTGTGTGCGGAAGTTACTTGAGGAAGTTAGAAACCTAGCATCAATTGCATGATATTGCATGTGCAAGTTCACATGAATGTTAGTACCTGACCCCACCCCACCCCTCCCCAACCCCACATGAAAAAAACACTAAATTTCACTAAATCCTCCGGTGCCATTTTTGGGGGCGTGCGCAAAAGCACGGCTTTGACGAAGAGGCACTGCGCCTTGTCAGTGCCCAAATCCCCAAATTTGATGTGTCCGGTCCTTCGTCTCTTGGTGGATTTGCTGTCGACGCACCTTCTCCTCTTCCAAGCAGTTCTCTTTTGTTGTCTGTACCTGCCATGAGCATATGAAGATGCTAAAGAACAGAACTCAATCATGTGAACCTCTTCACATTGTTTGAGTTCTAGAATTATGTTCTATCATTTTCGGCATCCAAATCCTCAACATGTAGAATCAAGATCAGTCAGTGCTCTTTTGACATGGTGACATTCACTTTGACATCTTTGACATGCACTTGGTATTGCTCACCCAGCATGGAAGGAATCTGCATGGACAACGTTAAACATTGGCTGAACATCAGCCACACACCTTCCACACGCACCTTTCCCATCATCGCCGGTCATAAAAATCCATCAAGCATCATGCCGACTTTAATAGCCATGAGTCCCATCGATTCCCATCGATTCCCATCGATCCCCCATCGATTCCCCATCGGCCTGGCCTCTGACATGACAGCATCCAGCTTGGACTTGAATGCATCTTCAAAGTCCTGGAATGCCTTTGCGTGGCTTTGGCCTTGCTCCTTCATCAGCCTGCAACATCAACAGCAACATGTGACCCAGGTAAGCGTGGGAGTGTTCACAGCTGATTTGACTCTTTTTGTATTGGTTTTGTATTGGCAGTGTTTGGAGATGTTTGGAGGTTGTTGGCATGATGGCACAGTGCGCAACTGACATCAACTGACCCCCTGAGGCCCCCCCAAAAAATAGTGATCAGTCAACATCTCCTAGTTGATCTGCCAAGGTGCGAATGCAACTCACAAAGGAATGTGCTGCCCTCCTGGACCGAGCTTGGTATGTGCTTGCTGCGAGCTGAGTCATCTAACTTTGAAAATATCTGAAAGCGAGGTTGCCTCATGTTGCCTCAAAGCAAAAGACTTGTGCCCTCTGGCAATGCCTACTGCACCATGTTTTACTTGGCAAGGTGTTTTCCACCAGCCCTGCCTCCTGACGGCTGGTAATCTCATTTTCCAAGGAACGTTCAAGATGGTCAAGGCGAGCAGCCAAAGCTTGCCTCCACAAAGTTGACATACCCTTTGATCCATTTGGAATCTGTGAGATATCACATTGCAGTTGACAAAAAACTTGTGAAAAGGCAGGGTGATGCAGGTCAAGACCCATCAGTGCTCTCCACCAAGTTGCATCTCCAAAGACAAGGCATTATCGACAGTCGCTTCAGTGTACCTTCGAATTCGCAGGTGATGTGGATTGGGATTTCTCAAGGCGGCCCACTCTCTCTCCCTCATTTCAAGTCTGCCGACAAATAGAGCAGGATCGCGCAAGCTGCATAATTGCGCACGCACACACACAGAGATATATATATATACATCACAGCCTGCATCATGATGTGCATAATTATATATACATATATATACACATACACACAATTACACACAACATAACATAAATGTCACTCCATGCCGCACCTCTCAGCCAGCTGCCGACGAACTTCTGCACGCACCAAGTTCTCCGTCATTTCCGTCGAGGTCACCGAGGTGACGTCCTTAGCCAAAGAGCCAAGGCCCAAGGATCCATTGAAAACACACAAAAATACCATGAGATCATTGGAGATCATTGGAGATCATATGAGATCATGTGAGATCATTTGACTTCGACTTTGAGATCATCTGACAGCAAATTGGATGACAGAATGAGGGGGTTACACTGTGCAAAACATGGCGGACAAGCAACCCCAGTGATACCAGCCTTGCGAACTTCGTCAATCAGCCTTGACAAGAGATGCACATACCCATGAAACTCCTACGATTGCCAGTATGGATCTCACAATGACAATATCAACAATTGAGCCAACATGAGCCAACATGAGCCAACATCTGCAGATTTTAGCCAAAAACCATGATTCTTATCCAGCGTTCTACTAAAATAGACTTTTGATGCTAGCTGCTAGTGCGAAGCGCCTGGAAAGATCTGCGCTGGCATTGCCAATCTCCAACTTTTGCAGATTCTGTTCTTGGCGCAAGTTGTCTCCTTGGTGCTCCAATGGCTGAAGGTCGCAAAGACAAATGGACAAATCATGACACAGTTCGCGTCAGCTCCAAGTAAAAAGCTCAAAATCACCGCTGCCCTGTTCGGTATGCATATGTTGTATAATTCTATGTTACAATTGCATTCAATTCTATAGAATATATTCATATTGGAACCACCGAGCAACTCAGCTGGTTGAATTCATTCACAACCTGTTGGGCCTTTGCCGAAGCTGTGCCTGACCAGCTGGAGGGAGAAGCAAGGGAAAACACAATGCTTTGATGCCCAGCCCCTGTGCATTCGGGACGATTCGGAATATTAATGGAGATTGAGGATAACCAGATAGATCGATAGAAGATAGATAGATTAGATAGATTAGATAGATTAGATTAGATAGATTAGATTAGGTAGATTAGATAGAGTAGATAGATTAGATAGATTAGATAGATTAGATTAGATAGATTAGACTAGGTAGATTAGATAGATTAGATAGATTAGATTAGATAGATTAGATTAGGTAGATTAGATAGAGTAGATAGATTAGATAGATTAGATAGATTAGATAGATTAGATTAGATAGATTAGATTAGGTAGATTAGATAGAGTAGATAGATTAGATAAATTAGATAGATTAGATAGATTAGATTAGATAGATTAGATTAGGTAGATTAGATAGATTAGATAGAGTAGATAGATTAGATAGATTAGATAGATTAGATAGATTAGATAGCTTAGGTAGATTAGATAGATTAGATAGATTAGATTAGATAGATTAGATAGATTAGATTAGGTAGATTAGATAGATTAGATAGATTAGATAGATTAGATAGATTAGGTAGGTTAGATAGATTAGATTAGATAGATTAGATAGATTAGATAGAGTAGCTAGAGTAGCTAGATTAGGTAGATTAGATAGCGTAGATACAGTAGATAGATTAGATAGAGTAGATAGAGTCGATAGATTGGATAGATTGGATAGATTAGATTAGATAGATTAGATAGATTAGGTAGATTAGATAGATTAGGTAGATTAGATAGATTAGATAGATTAGATTAGATAGATTAGATAGATTAGATAGAGTAGATAGATTAGGTAGATTAGATAGAGTAGATAGAGTAGATAGATTAGATAGAGTAGATAGAGTCGATAGATTGGATAGATTGGATAGATTGGAAAGATTAGATAGATTAGATAGATTAGGTAGATTAGATAGATTAGGTAGATTAGATAGATTAGATAGATTAGATTAGATAGATTAGATAGATTAGATAGAGTAGATAGATTAGGTAGATTAGATAGAGTAGATAGAGTAGATAGATTAGATAGAGTAGATAGAGTCGATAGATTGGATAGATTAGTAGATAGATTGTAGATAGATTAGATAGATTAGATAGATTAGTAGTAGATTAGATAGATAGATAGATAGATAGATAGATAGATAGATAGATAGATAGATAGATAGAGTAGATAGAGTAGATAGAGTAGATAGAGTAGATAGAGTAGATAGAGTAGATAGAGTAGATAGAGTAGATAGAGTAGATAGAGTAGATAGAGTAGATAGAGTAGATAGAGTAGATAGAGTAGATAGAGTAGATAGAGTAGATAGAGTAGATAGAGTAGATAGATTAGATAGACAAGTAGATAGATAGCATAGATAGGATAGATAGGATAGATAGGATAGATAGGATAGATAGGATAGATAGGATAGATGGGATAGAGGGGATAGATAGGATAGATAGGATAGATAGAATAGATAGGATAGATAGGATAGATAGATAGGATAGATAGGATAGGATAGGATAGGATAGGATAGGAATGGATAGATCGGATAGATCGGATAGATTAATTAATTAGATAGATAGATAGATAGATAGGATAGATAGAATAGATAGGATAGATAGGATAGATAGGATAGGATAGATAGGATAGGATAGGATAGGATAGGATAGGAGATGGATAGATCAGATAGATCAGATAGATCAGATAGATCAGATAGATCAGATAGATCAGATAGATCAGATAGATCAGATAGATCAGATAGAGATCAGATAGATCAGATAGATCAGATAGATCAGATAGATCAGATAGATCAGATAGATCAGATAGATCAGATAGATCAGATAGATCAGATAGATCAGATAGATCAGATAGATCAGATAGATCAGATAGAAAGGTAGAAAGGTAGAAAGGTAGATAAGATAGAAATATAGATAAGATAGACAAGATAGACAAGATAGATAAGATAGATAAGATAGACAAGATAGCTAAGATAGCTAAGATAGATAAGATAGATAAGATAGATAAGATAGAAAAGATACATAAGATAGATAAGATAGATAAGATAGATAAGATTGGATCGATAAGATAGATAGAAAGAAAGAAAAGATACATAGGTAGATAGATAGATGGATAGGATAGGATAGGATAGGATAGGATAGGATAGGATAGGATAGGATAGGATAGAGGAGAGAAGAGGAGAGGAGAGGAGAGGATAGAAAGATAAATAGATAGATAGATAGATAGATAGATAGGTAGGTAGATAGATAGATAGATAGATTAGATAGATAAGATAGGTTAGATTAGATTAGATTGGATTGGATTAGATTTAGATTAGATTAGATTAGATAGATAGATAGGCTGGATAGATGGGATAGATAGATAGGTTGGATAGATAGGTTGGATAGATAGGATGGATAGATAGGATGGATAGATAGGATGGATAGATAGGATGGATAGATAGAATGGATAGATAGCATGGAAAGATAGAATAGAATGGAATAGAATAGAATAGAATTAGAATCAGAATATAATAGAATTAGAATTAGAATATAATAGAATTAGAATAGAATTAGGATAGACTAGAATTAGAATACAATAGGATAAGAATAGAATGGAACTAGAATAGAATAGAATAGGATTAGAATAGAATAGAACTAGAATAGAACTAGAATAGAATAGATTGGAATAGGATAGATAGGATAGACAGATTAGAATAGGATAGATTGGATAGACAGATTAGAATAGGATAGATAGGATAGATAGGATAGATAGGATAGAGAGGATAGATAGGATAGATAGGATAGATTGGATAGATAGGATAGATGAGATACATAGGATAGATAGATAGGATAGATCGGATATAGGATAGATAGGATAGATAGGATAGATAGGATAGATAGGATAGATAGGATAGATAGGATAGATAGGATAGATAGGATAGATAGGATAGATAGGATAGATAGGATAGATAGGATAGATAGGATAGATAGGATAGATAGGATAGATAGGATAGATAGGATAGATCGGATAGATCGGATAGATCGGATAGATCGGATAGATCGGATAGATCGGATATATCGATAGATCGATAGATGGATGGACTAGATAGATTAGATAAATTAGATAGATTCGATAGATTCGATAGATTAGATAGATTCGATAGATTCGATAGATTAGATAGATTAGATAGATTAGATAGATTAGATAGATTAGATAGATTAGATAGATAGATTAGATAGATTAGACAAATTAGATGGATTTGATAAATTAGATAAATTAGATAGATAGATTAGATTAAGATTAAGATCAAGATTAAGATTAGATTAAGATTAAGATTAAGACTAGATTTGATTAGAATAGATAAGATAGATAAGATAGATAAGATAAATAAGATTGATAAGATTGATAAGATAGATAAGAGTGAAAAAATGGAAAAAATAGATAAGATAGATAAGATAGATAAGATAGATATGCAAGATAAGATAGATAAGATAAGATAAGATGAGACGACATTAGATTAGATTAGATTTCGAATAGCTAGATAGATAGCTAGACAGACAGACAAACATATAGACAGATAGATAGAATAGAATAGAATAGAATAGAATGGAATTGGAATTATAATTAGAATTAGAATCTGAATTAGAATAGAATCAAACAGAATAGAATAGAATTAGAATAGAATAGAATAGATCGAATAGAATAGAATAGAATAGAAATAGAATTAGAATAGAATAGAATAGAATACACTAGAATAGACTAGACTAGACTAAAATAGAATAGATAGATAGATAAATAGATAGATAGGTAGATAGAATAGAATAGAATAGAATAGAATAGAACAGAATAGAATAGAATTAGAATAGAATAGAATAGAATAGAATTAGAATTAGAAATAGAAATAGAAATAGAATAGAATAGATAGATGAATCCGTCTTGCAATGTCTTGCATGTCTTTCCCACGGGCCCGTCAAGCGCTTCCTACAGTTTCTTCGGCCTGCTTCCATGCGCATCTCCCGCATTGAAGATGTGAGCCGTTCTTCGATGTGCCCCTCCACTGCCCGACGAAGGGACTCAGCATGGGGCGGGGGTGGAGCGTCCTGCCCAGGGAACTTTTGGAGCCATCCGGGACGGGATTTCCATGGATTTCCTCAATAAACAGGAACTGGATGGAATTTGCAGGTCCATTAGATGGTGATACCAAGCCTCCTTGCATGCCTGCATGATATGTAATCTATGGTAATCTCATAATTATACACGAGGCACTGCGAAGCATGCCAAGAGGCAGATTCTTCCTGCAAACTTGTCTGCCAACGTTGTTCCATCTGCTGAAAAGCCTGAAACAAAAACGGCCTGATTGGCATGGTTGGTCCCAAAAAAATATAAGAATCTGCTCCGAACGTCCATTGTTGAATCAACTCTTCAGAAAAATAGTGCGCTCCCTCCACATTTTTCACTTCTAGAAGTTTCACATGGAAAATGTACCGGTCGTCCAGCTTCCCAGTTTTCACTTCAGAAAGGGTACCAGCCTCATCTCTCTTTGCCCTCTCCTCCTGGACAAGAAATGGCACCTGGACTATCTGCTGACATTGTACCGCCAATACAGTGTAGATACATACGTATACAAATATGATCGTATATGTATGTGCATGTGCGCGTGTGTCTCATGTCACACATGTATTGGCATAAAGATCATAAAGGAAAATATAGAAAATAGTGACTACCTATTGCGGCATATACATGTTTGTTTGTATGTATATATATATATGTGAATGTGTGTGTGTGCGTGCGTGTACGTACTGTATATGAACACACGGAACTATATATACATATATGTCATATATATATATGTGTGTGTGTGTGTGCACGCAATACATCTATAGTTAATATGTATGATGTATGGCATGCTTTTTAGATGGTGCATCTTTGCGACCCGTAGTAAGTACTGACCTCAAAATTTAAATTGGCACCTTTCCAGTGCTGGAAATGAAATGCCCCAAAGCCGCTCCTGGAACATAGCTTCCATTTTCATGGTGAGTTGTTTTTGAGCTTCAGCTTGAAGCCTCAGCAAGACATTGCAGACTTGGACAATTGGCACTGTTGGGTCAAGTCACAAGTAGTTGAGGATCTGTTGCTTAAATAGCATTGAAAGCGCTTCTTTGAGCCAGTGGTGGGCAACGCCATCCCTGGTCTTCTGTGCTTGCGTAGGCTGCGTAGGTGTCACGAACTTGCTTTGTATATCTTTGTAGGTGGATTACTTTCTTCGGCTTTGCGTACCTTTCTGTCCCAGCCTTCAGAGCCCTTCAGAAATGCTTTGCAGCACTGCAGTTAGAAAAATTGAGCACGTTTGAGGACTCGAGCTGCTGTTTGATTCTATAGAATGTTCATTACTATTGTATAATAATGATTATGCTATATATAGAGAGAGAGAGAATTTTTTAACGATATAACTGATATATCGATACTAACTGAATGTTCACCCACACTGCCTGTAGATTTCAAAACGCTCAGGGTCAGGCTTCATATCTTGGTGCAGTTGTCGCACCTCCTGAGGGCTCTTTGACATATGGAGCTGTGATGGATTTTTTCGCAACTTTGAAATTAACATTGGGACACACACACAATATATATATATATACATGTGTGTGTGTATTTATATGGAAAATACAGTTTGCATTTATATAGTTATATATATATATATTATCTCTCTCTCTCTCCCAATAGGAGCGTGAAAATCGTAATCAAATGCAATGAACAGGATGTCTTCCCCCTGGCCACTTCAATCTTGATGAGCGTTGGCGCTTCTTACGCAAAACATCTCAAAACAAACACATTTTGCAAGAACTGTTCCTGCATGAGGTCGTTCTGCAAAGAGGGTGAGCGGAAGGGGAGCGCCCTGGCAGCTAAGCAGGATCAAATATCAACAAAAGAGGAGCCAGTGGACAGTGGAAACTTGCGAATCCTTAGCACCCAATGTCACTTAATCCATTTCTGCAAGCGCTTGTAGTGGAATGCCATGGAATGTTGTGGATGGGTGTTACCAAGAAGTATGAAATCCTTCTTTGTAGATCGCCGGCACCCCATGCCAAGGGCGAGTGATGGTCCAAGAGCCATCCAAGAGCCAGTCTATCAAAGTCCTATCGCCTCGGATATGAAAGTAGGGCACCAAAGGCACCATGTGACTACCCCATGTCTGTTCGCCGCTTCCCAGCAGTTTCACCCACCTCTCGGAGTCGTGATTGTCCTTGCTGAGGACCTTCTTTAAGGCCTCGATGACCTGGGCATCTGAGACATGTCCGTCCAACGGTGTCCCATGGTGTCCCATGGTGTCCCACTGTGGCACCACGTTGAACCGTGTCCAAACGTGTCATTGTTGGCTGTTTCAGAAGTACGGTGGTTGGACAAATCTGACAAATCCAGGTCCGGAGCAAATCTGTGGAGATCAACTCTAAGTTCAGCTCATCCCCAGCACTCGCATTGGCAAAGGAGGGAGTTCCACTTGGCGTGCCGGTTGTGATACCTCATTGACGCTCCAAGGGCCACCCTCTCCTAATGTGCCCAGAACGATGCTGGATCCCAACAAGACGACCAGTGCATGGTCTAACCGCCAATAGACATGATGCGATTTGGAGATATTTGGAGTATTTCCGAACAATGTGGATGTGCTTTAGTCGCTTACAGAGCATCAAGAAGGCCAAGGGGAGTCAGATGGTTCCTTTCGAGTGTAAGTCTGCCAAAATAAAGGCAGTCTCGGAAGGCTTGAGAACAACTACCCCATATATCCCTATATATATATATCCCGATATTATGTTTATTCTAGCACTTTGGAATTCTTGACGATGCCAAGCAGCTGCTTGTTGGACTTGGGCGCGAGATGTGAATCTGGCAGAAGCCCAATGGTTGGTCAGGTGATACTGTAAGTGGCTGTATGCAGCTATACTGAAAATAAGGTGCCATATGATGCCATATGTGGCTATTCTTCGTTTCGTTTTGGCAGCGACAACGTCAAAGGCTCGGGGCACAGCTGAACCCTGGGCCTCCTCTTGCAGGGCTTCAGCGACACTCCTGGAGCGAAACGGTCAACACAATGACAGCTCGTAAGGTCCAATTCTAGCTATATGGTGAAGCCAGTTTACCTAGATACAGAGACAACGAGTCACCAAATTTAGGCGCTTAAGCGTGCCGCTAGTATCGAAAATTTCAACAAAACAAGAATACAGGCACACTTTGCGCAGCACCAAAAAATCACATACCCGGCTGAAAGTCATACGACAATTGCTCATTAGCTCAGACCTCGTGTGCTCAACCAGCAAGAAAGACAAGGAGGGAGCGCATTGCATTGAAACCCGTGACCCAGTTCGGATTTGTATGGATTTGTCATTTTTAGATCTGGGCTGGCCAGTTGTGCCGAAAACCACTTGGTGAGGGGTGCCCCAATCCAGTTTTTCTAAAAGGGGCAATTCATTTATCGATGTGGCTTGGAGTGGTATGGTGGCTGAAGGGGCCTTATTCACCCATGATGTTGTGTGCTTTCTTGGGCGGCCTACCTTTGAAGAGGGTGCTACCGTTAGAGCTGATAACATGCGAGAATGCGGATCAGTTGGTGGTGTTTCTGTGCCACCCGTGTGCGTTTGGCCATGTTAAAATAAGCAAAAGCATTTCTGCACAAGAAATTCTCGGGGTTGGCACGCGTTTCTCACGGATGATGCTGAAGTAAACAATCGCCAGCCAACCCCAGAGTACAGGTTGCATGTCGGCGGTTCTGGCATATATCGGCTTGGATACATGCATGCTGGGGACCATCTACCAAGTACACCCCTTGATGGTGTTAATTCCAAAAGAATAAATTTGCGAAACTTCTCTTCAAGCAGGCCCGGGCCTAGCAAGATTATAAACCGGGTCTCGGTCACACCCTATAATGGTAATGAAGGACATCATTGGTAACAACATCACTTAATAGATTCATTCGTGAAACCTTTCGTCGAAGCAACTAGAACCCCATAGGGTTGGTGAGGCTCTACCGAGCAACCCGTCAATAATCGCAGACTTGTAGACCCCACAAATTTGAAAGAACGGGTCGGGGTCACTTGTTTGTTTGTGTGTTCGTTTGGTGACTAAAGGTTGGTTCGAGCTGCTTGTTTTCTGAACTTGGATGAAGCAGGGACAAATTTGTTCACAAATATCCCTGGTCCCTGGCCTCAAATCTTTCTACTGACTGAGAAACATGTCAATGGTGCGTGTTTTGCCTACAAATTGAAATCCTGGTGTTGATTTGCACAGTTGAGTGCGCTCAAGTCCTGCTTTGTGTTCGTTTTGAAGTTTTGCCATCTTGTCATTTGCTTTAGCTTGATCGAGACTTATGTTGCGCTTTGACATGTTTCCTTCATGAATTTCGGCCAAGCCGAGTTTGGGTTTCATTGATGCAGGAAGCACTGGGTACTGTAATTTGTTTTGCTCGCATTGCAAAATAATTCTTTCACAAACACCTTTCGGCAGCACACTTTGGTCCTTTGGGGGATGTTCGTCATTTTCAAGGTGCCGTGATAATGTTTTTGAATGTTGATGTGTCATATCGCGTGGTGCGAGTGAATGCATGAGGCCGAATCGAGTACCCCCTAATGAATCAAAGAAATGGGTCAACTCAACGCTATCGCTTCCAATAACATGCCGCACCCAAACTCACAGCAGTCAATGTAACCTGCTGCACATGTCTTGCGGGCTGCACACACCACGTTCATGTGTTCGCGTGAATATGTTTTAATTATCCGTTGTTTTTGTGGTTTTGTGTAATAAAAAAAATATGGTTCGCTGTTGTTTCTTGTGTCTGAGTGTGTTTTTGGTGTCAGTTTTTGGTTCTGTGTGTGTGTGTTTTGGTGTTGTTTGTTTATGTTCTGTGTGCGTGTTTATTCGTGATTTCTTTGTTTTTTCATTGTTTTTAGTGTGTTGCTTGCGCTGTTTTTACTTTGTCTTAATATTTGTTTGCGTTGTTTAAAGCATTTTTTGTTTCAGCTCTGTCGTTAGTTCGAATTTGTTTTGCACGTTGTCGTTTTTATTTTATGTGTGCGTTTGACAGGTTTCTCCGTTTTTGGTTGATTTTTGCTGTTGTTTTCAAAATCCGTGTGCATGTTTTGCATGTTTCTCTGCTTTTTTGCCATGTTTCTTTGTGTGTTTTCTGTTTTTTCTGTAAGTTTCTCGTTGATTTTAAAACTTGTTCTTTGTTTCGCTCTGATTTATCTTTGTTTTTTCGCATTCATGTTTTTTTTCGACACATTCTCTTTTTTTGGCAAGCGTTGTCTTTTTTTCCGTTTTTTTCTGTTTTTAGTTTGCCTTTTTTGTTGTATTGTTTTCCGGGTTTTTTGGCATTTTCTCGTTTTTTTTTGGACATGCGTTCATTTTTTCCGTTTTTTTTAATATTTTTTCGTTTTTTTTGCATTTTTTTTCGTTTTTTTGTAGTTTTTTTTCGTTTTTTTCTTCTTTTTTGCCGTTATTTTTTGTTTTTTTTCGTGTTTTTTTGTGTTTTTTTTTCCGTTTTTTGGGTGTTTTTTTTCGTTTTTTTGCATTTTTTTCGTTTTTTTTAGTTTTTTTCCATGTTTTTGTTTTTTTCGTTTTTTTTTGACTTTTTTTTTCGTTTTTTTTGATTTTTTTTCGTTGTTTTTGATTTTTTAAGTGCGTTTTGCTTTTGTAATTGCTTTTGTTTGTTTGTTTTTGATTTTTGCAGGTTGCTTTTTGGTGAGGAAATTCACCAAATAATCCAAATAGACGCCCAGATTTGGTGAGACAACTCACCGAATGAGTTGCCTCACCACATGGTGGAAGGGGGATTTGGTGAGTTGGCTCACCAAATCTGGGGTCTCTTTGGTGAGATTTGGTGAGTTGCGTCACCAAATCCATGCCAGGGAGTGATGGAAGGGGATTTGGTGAGTCGTCTCACCAAATCCGGTGCCATTTGGTGAATTGCCTCACCAAATTTGGGAGTTTTGGTGAGTCGTCTCACCAATTTCGGGTGTTTGTTTTGTGTTTTTTGTTGACGTGTTTTTGTTTTTGTTTTTTTGACATTTTCTCGTTTTTTGGTATTGTTTTTTGTGTTTTTTCTTTTTTTTTCCGTTTTTTGTTTGTTTTTTTTCGTTTTTTGTGTGTGTTTTTCGTTTTTTTAGTGTTTTTTCGTTTTTTTTGTGGCTGTTTCGTTTTTTGACTTTTTTTTCGGTTTTTTTTAACATTTTTTCTTGTTTTTCTGCTTTTTTTTTCGTTGTTTTCGATTTTTTTTTTCAATTTTTCGCTTGTTTTTTTTCGTGTTTTTTATTTTTTTCCCCGTTTTTTTGTTATTTTTCTTTTTTTGGCATGTTTTTCGTTTTTTCCGCAAATCCCTGTGTTTTTTGTGTTTTTTTTTGCGTTTTTTTGACACTTTTCTTTGTTTTTTTTGACATGTTTCGCTAGTTTTGGTGATTTCTTCTCTCTTTGGTTTTATTTCGTTCGTCTTTTTCTTACTTTTCTCTGTGTATTTCATATGTTCTTATTTTTTTCGTTGTCTTTGACATTTTTCTCTGTTTTATTTTGCATGGTTCTCTCTTTTTTTGCGTTTTTCTTTGTTTATTTTCTTGACATTTTTCTCATTTTTCACACTTTTCTCTGTATTATTTCACATTCTTCTTTGTTTTCTTGACAGTTTTTTTGTGTGTTTTTGACATGTTCCTTTGTTTTTTGACGTTGTTTTCTGTTTGGTGACATATTTCTTACTTTTTTAACATGTTTCTTTGTTTTCTTGATGTTACGTTTCGTATTTTTCTGTTTTTTGTGTTTTTTTTCACGCATTTTCGTGAGTTGCATTAGCAACTATGTGCGTGAGGCTTCCAATCAAATTCTGCATTTTTCGCGAGTTGTTGCGCAACATGCATATGAAAGACCATGGTTTGAGGCGATTTTGGTGAGCTGTCTCATCACATCAAGAGCATCAAGATTGTTTTTGTGCTTTGCTTTAGGGAATGTGTCACAAAATGGGGTTCGAGCTCAATCACGGCTCGGCGTCTATTTTGAATGAATTTTCTCTCGTCCGAAGCATGTTTGCAGGTCTGCTTCGGGAGCCGCTTTACCAACTTTAAGACCCAAGGCATCAGGGTTGCTGAAGGAAAATCCAACCCACACTATGTATAAACGGAGTTCAATATATGGGGACCTGGTTGGCCATGGTTTCTGTTTTGCGGGGGTCTCACCAGTCCAAGAGTTCAAGCAAACGCGCACCGGACCGACAGAAAATTATGTACTTTTAGGCCCCCTTCAATGAGGCAATGATCTTCTGTGTGTGTCTTGAACAGAAATAATGCATGCGCGACCATTGGGCAAATCCAACCTTTCAGCCAGAACACTTACAACACCATTATTTTTTTGCAGTGGGATGGGGCACAATGATTTGTTTTACCTCCATCATGTGTGTGTTGAACGCGTGGCGCCTGGCTCCACTGAAGCAAAACAAAAAAATAGGAAACGAAAGACAACCTGCCTTTAGTTCTTAAAAATCTCAAAACAAAATCTGGCAACTGGGCTATCAAAATGTCCAGGCAACCTTTTTCAAAGGCAATCGCCCAAAAAAAATTGGCCCGCACAAACACCGAAAAAATCTAATTTCCTGCCTGCCTGAAACAATGACATGCGCGCAACACAAACTCGACAAATCAAACCATAGCAGATGGGGCTCTTGGTATCAGATCTAGGGCTCTAAGAGCAAAAAAACAAAAGGTCGGGACCATTAATTTTGTGTTTTTTGGCCATGTGTTATGTTTTGTCTGGCAAAAAACGGAAAGCAATCAAAAAAGTCAGCTTCTTGTAGCTAACCTACGTTTTGTCAAACATGTGTGTCCAACTAAACGAATTGGTCTGCAGAACGGCTTTTTCTATTCGGAGGAAGTTTCAATGTAGATGACATCAATCATCAATATTCGCGAGCCTAATTGCTAACAAACAAGAATATTTTTTACTTCCGGGGACGACGGTCAAAGTGTCAGGGTCTCATATCAGAAGGGTGTTTTTCGGGAAAGTCGGTCTACCAAAATGTACTGGTCATTTTATTTGATAGTGCGTTATGCACCAAACAAGCCAACTTCTAACGAAGACATTTTGTTTTGCAATTCAAAAACCGCAACGCAGTTGCGTAAAATTGTCTTTTGGCGTTACGACACCTTTACTTCACCGCATATTTGCTTTGAAAAAATACACAAGAGCCAAAAAAAATCACAACTTCTGACCTGGATATGCGCAATTCAAAAGTGAAGGGACAGCTGCCACACTAAGCATCGCTTCTTTACAACACCCTTTTTTGGTGACTTGGGCATGGTAAATACAGCCAACCTGGGCAACACTCACCGATCCAACTGGCATCGGCATATAGCAAGAATTGAACCTTACGAAATGACAGCGGATGATGAAAGAGTTGTATGGATGTCAGGATACGTCAAGGGATGTCAAGGGTCAACATATTTTGCATGTTGCCTTGTAATCCTTGTAACGTTCTGCACCTGTCACCGCCTGTCACCTCACTTATAAACATGTTGGGACCAGCGTTTTTTCTTGTGAAAATCTGTCCTCATCTCGGTCATCTTGGATGTAAACAGGGCCAGTTCGCTTTCCAAATATCTCGGATGGTGGGGACGAATAAAGGGCAGGGATATAACGACTGTGACAACAACTTACATCCAGGATCCAGGAACTTACGCTTTAAGATTCGCGAAAATCACAAGGGCTCTATCGAGCTGTTGACTAAACGAAAAGCCGTTGGCCAGGACTGATCTCAGAGACCTCTAGCCATTCTCAATCATGATCTGCCAAGCTGCTGCAAACGTGCTGCTTCATTTTGAGCCTCAAGGAGACACAGCATGCATAACGCTCAAAAAGCTCAAACTCTCCGACTTATGTCTGCATGTAAACAAAAATATATTAGAACTATAATAGAAATATACTAGAAATATAATGTACATATATAATATATATACACATATTTAGTCATATATACATTATACGTATTTGGGGCGAATTGACCTAAGCACGATTCTGCAAACACTTGAGACGTGGCTTGCAAGAGCCCTCCTGCCTGCCCTGATTGTGATGATGCCCTTGGGCTTTGTGTTCCGCCTGGGGATCACACTCAAGGCTAGGCAGCCAACAAGGAAGAGAAAGATGACCTTCACAAAAAAGAATCTAAATGAATATAAAACATGTTGTCCGCGTCCCTTTACATTATACGATAATATAAAAAAAACTAAGAGAACCTAAAAGGATCGATTATCTATATATATATATATAAAGAAAGCCTGAAATGGAACTGGCAGCTAAACAAGACTCGTCGACCCAACACCCAATGGCCCAACGCAAATCTCATGACATCTGTTGCCAAGGCCAAGGTGCGAGGCTTGAAGTTGCCTGACATTCCAGGCGCCACCTGTCAACTAGCTGGGAATCAACTTAAAGATACTCTTAATCTTTTAGAGAATCCAATTCCAACTTAAAATGATTTCTAAATGATTTTAAGACAATTTAAGATACTCAACATGTCAAGAGTTCGGTTTCAGGTTTCTGTGCCCTGACGTCGGCCTGTGCTAAGCAAAATTTCCGGTGAAAGGAAAACCATCAGTAATCAGAGGCCCTCTCAAGCCCTCTCATTCTCGAATGAATATAGTTAAACAATGTTAAATATAGTTAAATTGGAATTGCGCCACTGCGAGAGGAAATCATCCAAATCTTCAAATTCATTGGATTTCTGGGGATTCCTGGATGTGAAGCCGAGGGACGCGACCACGATCACCTGCATCCATTTCTTCTTCATCCACGGGTACCAGGCTGTGAGTCGCGCCTTGGGTTTCACGGTTCCCCGGGAACTCTTGAGTCCCGAAGTTATGTGGAGAAAGAAGGGTTATGAAGTTATGACATGTTATGAGCATGTAACAGTTGTTTAGCATGAACATGCATGAACCAAACGAACAGAATCTGAAAATGCCAAAATAAGGTTGCCTTTGTTCCAACTACAGGTAGTGCACAGCTTTGTGAGGTTCTGAGACTGTAAGGCCCGCACTTGGTGGTCTGTCCTTGCGAACCTCAATGATCATGCCCTCCCCGCAATCCAAATCCATCCCATTCGCGGATGTTCTGCATGGAAGCAACTATCATTACCACATCCCATTTGATCTCTCTCTCGCTCTCTATCTATCTATCTATCTGTCTGTCTGTCTGTCTGTCTATCTATCTATCTATCTAGCTATCTACCTGTAACATAATTGGCAGAGAAGAGAGGGACAACAAAAGACTGATTTGCAAATAGGTCACGGTGCCCTGTCCGGTGCAGCCTGGCAAATCTGTGTCACCTCCTCCCATGATAAATAAATAAAAGCTACCAAACAACTAGCGGCGGCTAGCGTTTGAAGCAGGCTTGCATTCCTGCACTCTCTCTGCAATGATACATATAGCGTCGGTTGTCAAGGAAATCACGAGCTGCACGTGTATATGTCAAGTCATGTCAAGACGAGCCCCGGCAAAAAACAAAGCGATATATTGAATGCATAGTAGTTCATAATAGGATGTATAGGTATCTAATGGTATGTCATGGTACGTAGTTGATCTTATTTGTATCTATTTGCGAAATAGAGTTGGGACTGCTAAATGCTCGTATGCACGCACTTCTATCTCCCCCGTCTTCAAATCTGCGCATACAGCATACAGCATGCCATGGGAACTGGAAGGCATCTGTCGTGGCCTCCACGCAAGTTGGTTCCAGGGCTGCTGTAGCTGTGACGTGCTTGCCTTGAAAATGCCTGAGCACATCCGGTCACATCGAGCACAGAGCTGAGCACGTCTGAAGTGGTCTAAAGTGGCCAGTTTTGGGCAAGCTGAGGCTGCTTAGGTCAGCTGAGCTTCTTTGAGGCCAGCTGAGATTTCACAATGTTTTGCAATATGATTCATCAGTATGATACAGATATACAGATTGATACAGTATATCTCAGAATTGAGCCGACTGCCCACTCCAATGTGCGACAGCTCAAACCAAACCTTCCAACCCTCCCAAGCACGGGCCAGGCCTGACCCACTGGATCTGCACACAGGTACACGCAACGCCGAAACGCAGCAAAGAGATATTGACATGAAGATTTTGCAGTCTGCGCAAATATGAGCAAACAATACCAAGCACAAGGTCCCTTTGCCCAATGACCAAGCCAAGGTCATCAAAGTACAAAACGCCATCGCAGTCTAGCAGTTTTTCGAGCCTACTGTGCTCGCACGCACGTCACTGGCCTGGGAATGGCTGCTCTTGAGCGAAGGTCTGAAGTTTCATGGTGTGGTCTTTGACTTTTTTGACTCAGGGCGTATTTGGAACGTGATCACAAAAATACTTTGCTAATCAGCACTCGCTACCGTGCACATCTGTCGCCTGAAGATGTGAGTGGAAGGCCAATATGCTACCGACTTGCCAATGCTACCAATAACTTTCGCTCTCTGATGCCATCCCCGCTAACAGGAGGTTAAAATCGCGCCAGGGCAACTTCTTCCCGGCGACCACCAGTGCCTGGGGCTGAGAGCAAACGGTGCAAGCCTTCGTCATACATTCTACGCATGGCAGCGCTGTGACAAAACGAACAGTTAAAAAAATCACATGTGGGGAAAGGCACCTGGACCAAAAGGAGCTTGGCGAAGGGTACTCTAATAGCTTTGGGCATGGTGGGTATGGAACTGTAAGTGTCTGTGCCACCTCTAGAAAGCAGGGGCATCTGGTCATCATAGATATCATAGCAGCATGATATAATATGAATATGATTGAATATGTATATAATTATATCATATTACATATGCAATCATATGCATTATACATCATTATACATTGATATATCATGTCCATGCTCACGATGTGAGGCAAGCGCCTGGCATGTAAGTCAGTGGATGACTCTCCGCCGAAGTGCTCCGGACCTGAGGCGACTCACTGCGAGTAGTTCTTGACATTGCACGTTCATTGCTGCTGTGGTTCCTAGTTTTCACATAAGGGAAAACACTAACAACATCTAACAACTAATATGACAACCTCATAAAATATCACATATGCCGCACGGACTGGCTTTTACTCTGATCATCTTACCACAGAGGGATTGAGGCTTCCCATTTCAACCCCGATCCAGGGCCAGCATCATTCCCATTCACTCTCTCGACCAAGTTGCGGTTTGTGGAGTTGGAACTTTTTGAACTCGTGGCGACCTCAGAATCTGCTTCGACTGAAAGAATACGTGCGTTTCCTTCGAACCACTTTCTGACATGTCAGTTGAATTGTTGGGCCATGTTAAGATCCATAAAACGTCGATTGATTCAAACGCTGGACTTTCCTGCTGAAACCAAGCTGAGTCATGACTTTGAAAAGGCTAGTTTTTCCAATCCTCTGGTAAGGTGTATATACAGTAGATTATTTGGATTTAGTTTGCACCTTACCTCCAGCCTTGCATAGCCACTCATGTCCCAACGCCGTTCACCAAGGTGCAGCAGGCGCATCCCCTTGGCAGGCCCTGGCACAGCTCTTGTCATTGTGACATGTTGCGACCGGTAGTTCTGTGCTGTGCTTTTCTTGTCTTTCCTTCCCAGCATTGTCCAGTCCCTACTTTCCTGTGTGACATTTTGATGTTGTGACATTGCCAGGACCTTGGGTGGCACTGAGAGATGCATTGAGTGCGGCTGACTACAAACTGCAGTGCAATTGGTTAACTGAGGTAGAGAGAAGCACTGCATCCGGCCCTGAAATGGCGACCTGGCGACCTGGCGCCCCATGACCCATCGCCTTCCCAGGATCCAATCTGTGGCATTGGCGGTGATTGACCATTTGGCGCAGCTTTTGCAGCTTGTGGTGCTTGGGCATGGGGCGCTGGCTGACCAGTGCTGGACCTCGCTACGAATCATCTGCAAACCCAACGTGAGATTTGTGACATTTCTTTCCATTCTCTCCCTCTCTCCCTCTCTCCCTCTCTCCCTCTCTCCCTCTCTCCCTCTCTCCCTCTCTCCCTCTCTCTCTCTCTCTCTCTCTCTCTTGCTCTCTCTTGCTCTCTCTGTGCTTGGCGGGTTTACGTTGTATTGCATTGCTTTGGAACTGTATTCAAAAAAAGCCCCTGGCCTGGATGGAGCTTGCTGCGCTTGCTGCATTGCGATACGGTTGAAACATGGCACGGTCTGATTCATTCGCCTTGGCACCCCCGGGGCAGCACAAGCAGGACTGGTCCTTACACGTATGGGTATAACTCGGCTTAATAAGGTATCCATAACCAGGAGTACCCTACAGGTATCTATAATTAGGATTCTACAAAATATAATTAAAAAATATAGGTATCTAGACGTTCAGATTCCATCGGATTCCACTGTGCCAGAACAATTGAACATGCAGCTCGTCATGGCATGTCATTGATGCTCTTCAAGTGGCTCTGCCACCACGGTCGGCCGCACGGCAGTAGTTCCACGCATCATAGCAAATCAAAAGGCGACGATCTGCGATTCCACAAAGGACCTTGCGGCCTTAGAATGTACAGAATGCCGAGAGGGAAGGCGAAAGGCGGAAGGCGGGTGCTTCCTCTTGTTTACCTTGAGCCGAAGTGGAGGTCAAAATGGATCAAGAACATCCGCACTGACATACTCATGGTCAGGAAAAATGGGCAGCTGCGCATGGTCATGTCTCTAAGTGAAGTCCGACTTTTTCGCTGTAAGCATCGTGCTCAGATACAAGCAAAGTAAAGGAAAGGAAATTCAGGAGCCCAGTCCATTCCATCAGCCTTACCCACAATACGATGACCTTGTGAGTGAAGAAAAAAATCAGGGGCTCAAGCCCCATGATTTTATTTTGGAACACCCCACGGGGGTGTTTACTGTGTACTGTTCATATCAATTCACATTGAAAGTTGGCAGGCTGAAATGTCGCAAACTCTCGCCAACACACAACAGCTCTCGTCACAATTCTTCCTGAACTCCTAATGTATTGCCATATATCGCATAAATGAATGAATTTGAGAGGCATGTTTGCAGTCACTTGGATCTTTCTGCGAGGCTTGCCTGCCGCGAAGGCCAATTCAGTTGGACTCGAGTCCTTTCAAAATGTGATCTACGCGTGCCAGGTCATAGTGACTCATAGTGTGCCAAGCCGTTGGGAGATCTATACGAGGCATTGTGAAGAGCCTAAGGAAGGTGCGCTCTCAGCCGTTGCCTCCGTCCAACCCTGGAGCGGCCAGCCAGGCTGAGCTATGCAGAAAAGCTCGGCGGCCTAAGTGAACGTGAAGAAACGCATTGCCGTTGAAAGCTGGGCCATGAGCTGTGACATGCTGTGACCCAAGCTCAAGGTGCTCACCAACCACAACAAGAACCAAGAACCGTAGCATAAGCGGGGCAATCTTGTGCGCCCGTGTGCATTTCACATGCTCAAGCCCGCTTTAGTCTTGGGCATTTCAAAATTTGAGCACTGACATGTAGTGAGGGGTGGCTGTGAGCGGGCCATTGCCGTGAATATTCATTCGATTTCATTCGCCCTCTGCTAGACTGAAATAGTCTACGATCTTGCGGTCTACTGAACGTTGGGGCAGGTTGGGCGACGTTTGCCAGCATGTGACCCATTAACATTAACATGCTATAAATACCTTGGCTTCTAACTCAGGCCAGCCAAGCAAGCCCATTTCAAGATTATCAAATTAAATCATTTCCAAGGCAAGTGGCTTTGGCCATGGTGGGGCCTGGAGCATATTACTAGATGCTGGGCGGACGATCGAACTGGAGACGACTCCTGACAGCTTGTGCCAAGTCCCTCGGCAAGCCGTGTTATGATTGTTATGTGGCAACATGCCAAAGATTTGTTCCTCTTCCCTACTCATTCAGCTCATTCATATGTGGTGTGGTGATGTCTGGTGTGTTCATGTGAGCACTCATGGAAAATGACCACTGGATCCACTGGTAAAGTGCTCCAAACATTCAATCCTTGTGGGCAAGCAGATGTGGTGGCCGCGCGTGTGCCGGCCTGAGGCTTCAGCTGGTCATGCAGCTTGTCTAGAGCATCTCCCTACACATGAGTTGATACTGTAAGTCGCTTGCGTGTCCATCACCCTATAGTTTGCACATTTGCACCTGGTCCCCTCACAAATGCTGAGCACTAGACCAAAAAGGTCGACTTTGTTGTTTCCTTTCCAGTTTGCAAGGCATTTTCAGGGACAATTTTTAAGAAAAATTAGCCATTTCAAACACCTCCAACAGCATTCAGAAGTGTAGCCCAGATGCACCCCTGTGTACGATATTTTATCAAGAGACGTACTACAAGACTACACACACACATATATATATATATGTATATACAAACAAATGTCTCAGAAGTATACATTGCATCATTGACAAAATTGCTATGTTGAAGTGTCACATGGACAAGAATCCAAAAGCGCAGAATGGTCTAGTGGCCCAAGGCATCATGAAGTATCATGAAGTGCTTCACTCCAAAGAAAGCTATTGCAGCAGCTACATAGCGAAGGCCGCATGTTCCGCGCAAGCTCCCCATCCACGCCTCTTGCATCTGAGGCATTTGTACCTTCACACTGGACATGCGACTTTCCAAAGCCACAAGTTCACGACCACGCTTGCGCTCCTCCTTGCAAATACACGGCGCACATCGTGAAATTTCGTTGAGAAATTGAGACCATTCGGTCAAGCTGTGTGATGCATTGTGATGCCATGTGCTGTCAGATGACGAAGTAGGATGCTGTAGCGGTTAGCAGTGTGATGCCCTATGCGATACTATGTCGGAACATCAAATACTGTACCATGTGTCAACATGTGGCAACATGTGGCAACATAGCAACCAAACGTGACTTGACATCTCCAGACCATAGCTCCCATAGCTCCAACAGTACTCCATGACGGCGTATGACGGCGTCATGACGGGTTCCCAATAGTTCCCAGCTCTCCTCGTTCACCAGGTCACGTGCGTTCTCCATGCAGCGGTCGTCCCCTTGCTCTCGAGCAAGACGCTCCGCTGCAATCTGAGTGCGGAGCTCCTCGATGTCCAAATTGCTCAGCCCTGTGACGCACACGGCGATGGAAGCTGTCCCTTCAAATGGGAGGGAGGTGGGAATAGTATTATATTTCATTATAATAGGCTTGAGTAGACTATACGTTGATGAAGTTACTCTACATGAAAGATCTGTACGATCACATGCCAAAAGGTGAATGTGATCTGGGTTTGCTCGTCGGCCTGTCCGTTTGTCTGTCCGTTTCATGCAAATCCCTCGAAGCAACAAGGGGTTTCATTCAGCTAGTCGCCGTATTCAATTCCATTTTCTTGCTCTCGATCTATAAACAGCGAGTATGGATTCATGCAGCGTTGCCAGTTGATAAATGCGGCACAACGACGTTGTCTCACTGCTTTGAACTACCTGTAAAAATAATAACTGTGTGTTGTGTGCAAAAATTCAGCCATTCTAACGACCCAATGTCTTTGTTTCTTTGCGTTTCTGTGCCATGTTTGATGGTGTGTATGAGAGCGTGTGCCTGATAGTGTGGCAGGCCCTGTGCGGGTCGCTAAGTCTTTTCGTTGAATCTCTTCGCTCAAGTCTTGACGCACCTGCAACGTGCTGGAAATTGCAGGCTCCAAATGCTCACCGTCACTCCGTCACTTGTCTTATTATCAAAGCACCACATTCCTCCACCTTCACCCACTTTGGTGTCTTAATTATATTTATTTATTATCTTTTACATTCTCTTACCACAATGGCTTCTGCAAGCAGCGTATTCCAAAAACAACCTCCTCCAACCTCCAAATGACCTACCATTTTCTTCGAAAGTATCTCACACATCAGAATTCGTGTACAAGCCACTCTGAACACCCATCCTTTGCATTCTTCTGCAAGGTTTGAACCAGAGCCCTGAGGACCACAAGTGGTCCCAATCAACATCCCTGTTGCCCCAGCACCCCGAACATAGGCACATGAAAAGCTCATTCCAGGTCCACCCCGGACCTTTAAATATGAAAATAATGAAAATGGAAGTGAGTCACCTGCCACGTACTATCACACTGACTTAGGTTTTTAATCGCTTTTGACCCTCTGCCCTTTCCAGAAAACCAACAGGCATCCACAGTGGAAAACTCAGTTTGAAGCATTGCTTCAACCACCTGATCCAGCGTTGCCCATAGCTTGGTCTGCCCGTCCACAAGACGTTGGACTTCTCCCTGAGAAGTTACCTGACTCACCGCTTGATTGCTCATAAGACAATACACTTTCCAAACTGGACTGCCACAGAAAAATGTAGCTGCCATTTGCAGGCATTAATAATTCCATGTAATTCCAGCCCTTTGCTGCCAATACACATCCTGTGCCTGGCCAGGTACAACTTGCGGAGGTTGCAAGGAGTGACATGACTTGATCCTGCCTCATGTTGCCTCTGCTTCTCCCATGTCCACATCAAGTTATGAGCTGAGCAACTGAAGGTTGGTCAAAGCGTTTGCTTCGTACCGCCTTGCCAGCTGGTCAACTTGTTGAAGAGCCAAGGGGACAAATTTCCCGTGGAATCTTCTCGACATGTGTTGGGACATGGTTGGCTAAAAATTGTGGCGCCGATGGGCGCAGAAAATTGGTCATGTATAGTATCGAACCATCGAAGAATGTGATCAAATGGACCAATAAATCATAATAAATTCAATAGTTAAGAGTCATACCAGCCATACTCATGTTGCACCTGTTGCCCTATGAAGCGCTGCACAATGCTGCACGCCTCCTGCAATTCTTCACGTAGCTCCAGCAGGTCATGACGGGTAGAGACAACGTCCTTCCAGGGATGTACAGTCGGTGGTGTATGGATAAAATCAAGATATTCGAAGTACCAGAGACTAGCACTAAACCACTGCAACAGGAACCATACATAACATAACCCTATTGCATGATGACCTTCTTTGAGTGATCCCCACCAAGTGACAGTCTATCTGGCATCCTTTCTGGCATTCTATCTGACTATATCTGATCTTTATTCTGACATTCTATCTGGCATTTCATCTGGCATACTATCTGACATATATTCTGACATTCTATTCTATCTGGCATTATTTCTGGCATTCTACTGTATCTGACATAAAATCTGACTTTCTAATCTTTCTATCTGGCATTCTATCTTACATATATTCTGACATGCTATTTGGCATTCTTTCTGGCATTCTATCTGACATAAAATCTGACTTTCTATCTGGCATTCTATCTTACATATATTCTGACATGCTATTTGGCATTCTTTCTGGCATTCTATCTGACATAAAATCTGATTTTCTAATCTTTCGATCTGGCATTCTATCTTACATATATTCTGACATGCTATTTGGCATTCTTTTCGACATTCTATTTGGCCTCTATTCTGGCATTCTTTCTGGCATGTGTTCGGGTCCATGCGTGGCCAGTTGCATCCGGACCTCGCGATCAGCTTCTGGCACTTGCTTCTGGCACTGCCGACAGACACAACGAGCTGGCAGAGGCATAGAAGAATGGAAGAGACCCTCACCTGGCAGGTGGGGGAAAATGTACCAAGGTTATAGTTATAATGATAATGAAAAGCCTTTACCATGTATATAATTATCCCAAGGAGCGGCACACAGTGTAGAAGCAAGCCCCAGGCGGCCACAGCTCAAATCATTAAGAACTCTGACTCTGTCTTTAAATGTCTTTATTCAATCTTTATATATATATATTTATTTATTTATTTAAAGACTTTAAAGACTCTTTCTTCTGATTTGATCGGTTCAGTCCCTTCGATTTGCATTCTGCGACCCTCCTGCGAATGCTTCTCCACGAAGTTGGCGACGGACATTTCCTCACCGACAGTTCAAGCAAACCTTCCGCACAACTCCCCTGCCAGTTCACCCCAAGGAGTCTCCAAACTGCTATGGCTACTGCATATCTTCCGTGACGGTCAGGGACACGCAACTTCCATTGCGGCTTAGCACAATGCAATGCGATAATTTGCTCAATCAATGTATATAAGCTCAAAGCCATTGTTGATTGAAGCTCCCGATCCTGAGCGAAAAAAAAAATGTCCAATGAATGGCCATCAACAGAATCAAAAAAATGGAGCACAGTTTTTTGAGGAAAGAGATGCAAAGAGCCCTAATTCTGTGCCCTCATCTTCCCTTCCCAAATTGATTCAAAGGGTCGTGTCCGCGGAGTAGTTGTTCAAAGCTGAGCTTTTGATCCGACAATAGCTTTTGAAGTTTCTGGGATTCCTGAGGGGAAGCTCAGCTTGAGGAAATGGCTGCCTAGCGTTTGATCTAAAAAGAAGTCAACGGATTCTTTGTATTGGAAACGCGGCGTAGTCAAATGTTTTGAGCGAAGTTCAGCCACATTGTTTCAACAGATTCTACAAATGTTGTTGCTGCATTTGTTCCATTTTGTTGCCAGTTCCAGCTGCCGCACCGAGCAGAAAACCAACCCATTTCGGCAAGTGGCCGATACGATCCTTTCTTCCATAGTCCTCCTGCAGTTCGGAAAGTGATGGAAAATGTATGCAGATGTATACAGTCTGTGACGGGAGACCACCTCTCCGTCAGTTTAATCGGTGACCACCGTGTCAACAGATTAAGCCGAGGAGCAGGATCCCCATACAAATCTCCTCTCGGTCCTGTGGTCAAGGATTCAGCATCATCACGCAAGGGCTTCCAGTGAGCAAACAAGTACAAACAAGGGTAAATCAGGGAAATTGGGCAAACCTAGCATCAAAAGGGTTGCATGTTGCAACATGTTACTAAGTTACAACATGGTAATAACGGTAATACAGGTAATATATGATATGCAGCGGTTCAACATTGTTCAACTGCCTCAATTCATGCCAAACTCAAAGCCACCGCTAACGTTGCAATGCCACGCAGCGTCCCGATGTCAGCTCCTTAGTCTCCTTGGCCAGTTGCTGTCGACGAAGCTGCCGCTCTTCCACACAGGTCTGCTGCGCCGCTTGAGCCTGGCCAACACGCAATTGCAGAAGCACCCAGAACCTACGCACCATGATGCTTTAAAAAATAAGCCGGTCTTCTTTGAGCATATCTCCACACAAATGCAGTGACAGCACAGTCAGTGCATCGAAGTAGCTTAGTCACCAGTCAATCACCAGTCAAACAGCCCTGTTTTACATATACGTCCGATCCAAACGATGCATTACAGCATAGCTATGATATGCTATGCTCAACTGCTCAACCACGAGCCAGGCACCTCCGACATAGCTGCATTGAGCTTTGTCTTGAAGGTCTCTTCGAACTCTCGCAGAGCCTGCATCTGACTCTTCCCCAGCTCACTCGTCAGCCTCCGGCCACTTCAGCGGGTCTGTCATACGATTTCAGGCAAAAGACTGGGCAATCTCTGCTTACAGATTTCATCTCTGTACTTGTCGTGCGTTGCGCACGCCGTGGTCTGAGAAACATGTGACGCAAACTTGATTGGGAGAAAACGCCAACACAGGTGCTGTCCAAGCAGCTCTTGCAACATGGAGATGGACTTGGAACTTTCCTGCACAACGGGCGATAAGACTATTGCAGATTAAATTCTGACGGATTTGATGGATTTCGATGGATTTCGTAGGTATCAGTTGTTTGTGTGCTGGAACACATCCTATCCGGCAACAAGTCTGGCTGGGGGTGATGTTGCAAACTCAAGAACTCCGCATCATAATTGAAATGCTTATGTTCAATGACAACCCCAAAACGACAGTTAAAGAACGCGAAAACACCGAGGGCAGCAAACGCGAACCTTTTACCATCTTGAGCCAAAAGTCATTAAATGTACTTAATTGATCTTAATTGGACCTTGACTGGAAAGGAAGGGTTTACTAATGAATATGTAGGTGTGTTTATCCCACAATATCCAAGTATCATCGCATCATTTTTTCATGCAGCATCTTGATTCATCTTGTGGACACTGGGTACCATCCCCATCATCCCTATCTCGCACCTCCTGACGCGTCGTAGCCTCGTTGGCCAAAGTTTGCTCCAAGCGCTCAAAGCGAGTGGAGAGAGCTTGCCTTCGGCAAGACAAATCAAGCGTAAGAACACCCTCACATGATCTCAAACAATAACTGTTTGAAGTTTGAACTTCCTTGGACAATGCCAAGCAAAGGGCTTCAAAATGTGCTCGGGATTCCCCGGGTCAACATGAATGATTTGGAGGGTCCTGCAGGAACACTGCAAACATCAGTCAGCATCAGGGCTGTAACTTTGTGCACCACGATGAGACTTCACATGTTCCCGGATGGCATATGCGGTACAAGCTGCAATTCCAGGCTGGTGGCCATGTCGGTTTCTGCAGGCCTGTTTGTGTTCTCTGCGGCAGGTTCTCAACATTTCTATCTCACCCAACGTGATTCTTCCATGCCAAATGTAGCAAAGAGTCCTACATACAGTGGACGTCAATACGAAGCAACACCATACAAGTACCACTTTTGGAGTTGCACATTTAGCAGTAGCAGTTTTCTACCTTCTTCTCACTGTTTCTATAAGGAAGGAAAAATAAACGTTCATGGACACAGTCAACACAATGAGACCAACAGCAAAAGCTCCACAAGAAGCTATCAGCTAAAATTCTGACTCACTTGATTTAAATTGATTCGATCAATTCGCACCTCTCAGCCAACTGTCGTCGCACTTCTGCGCGAACCAAGTTTTCCGTGATTTCAGCCGAAGGCATTCCCATGTCCTTTGTCGCTGTCACCAGCACAAGTTCTTCAGATGATATCGGATTACTTACTGGCACGAGCTCCAACCAAACCGCTACACTGTGTACACTGTACACTCGTGCTCAGATCAACTCAGACCAAGCAACTGCTTTCAGAGCCCCACCATGATTGCGCACTTCGTCGATCAACCTGACAGGTCGTCCATGTAGCCAGGCACACAATTGTCCCAAGATGTCCCAAACAATCGAAAGGTTGACAGCCGATTTCAAGATGACATCATAACGGCGGAGCTTTATCAAAAGGAGTACTGAGTACAAAAATGTATTAATAATGTACCATAGGCATGGCAGTCTGGCAATAGCTATGCAGTATGCAAGTGTATGCAATGCGCAGATGTATTCAATATGCTTTGCAATTCACGAGATCGAAGCTAACCGGATCAGCTGCGCCTGGAGAGATCAGCACTGGCCCTTCCAATCTCCTGTTTTTGGGCATTCATCTCCTGCTGCAAGCGTTCTCCTTAGTGCACTGCGTCTGACTCTTGGAGACAGTGGCTCTGGGGAGTCCTCGGAGTCCTCTTCTTCAATGTTGCGGCATGTTGTGGAATTGTTTTGCACTGAGGAACTGTTGTGGTTCTTGCTGTCCAAGCAACTCATTTGCACGAATTCACCCACTGCTTGCTGAGCCTGACTTGTGGCATTGCCTGGCGCGGCGACGACATAACTCACTGTCCTCACTGTCCTCACTGTCAGCGGCACATTTTGGATGTCCATTGCAAAGCCTGGCGGATGCCTTTGCTGCTTGGATCTAGGTAGATTGCGAGAACTATGGATATATGATGACAATTTATAATACACACACTATCTATGTGTATATATATATGCAGTAATCATAAATACATATATATATATGTATATATATATATATATATATGTATATATATATATATATACATACGTGTATGTGTGTGTGTGTGTCTGTGTGCAATATACATTTATCATCATTTATGCACTCTCAACTGTCAAAGCTGCACTGGGCGGCACCTGCTTCCAGGCGTGCTTCTCGTTGCAAGGCTACCAGTCGCGCTTCCAAGTGACTCTCCACCGCTCGACGCAAAGACTTAGAGCACGGTAGTGAGTTGGCTTGAGATGCTTGAGTCAATTTGAGGCTCCCAAATTTTTGGCTATAAAAAAAACGAACGAGGCTTCATAGGATGCAAACAAACGCAAGACATGCAAGATTCTCAACAGCGAATGACACCGCAGAAATTTCTTCGAGCCACAGACTCCTCCTTCAGTTGGCCTTGCCAGCGCTGCTCAATCTTTGAATCCTGCTCCTCGCGTTGCATCACCGCCTGGCGAATTACCTCGGGCCAGGTCCGTTGGTCCGTTGGTCCGCTGGTCCATCGGTCCACCTACATCTCCTTTGCATTGTTCATGCATTGTTTGTATTGAATTGTATTGAATTGTATTGAATTGTATTGGTATGTTTGAAGGATCTTGAAGGTCTGTTGACTGCAAGAACTGAGTTTGTACGGCCTCGTCTCTCTTCTTCTTCTCATCCTGTAGGGCCGGGATATGGTGTCTGTCCCCGTTCACATGCAGGTGACTGGCTGCACGCAACATGTCCCAAAAAAGTGAAGCCTGAAGCAAACGTAGCAAACCATTCAGCCAAGACACCAGGAACATGGCCTCCATCTTCAAGCTGAGCTGTTTCCGGGCTTCAGCTTCAAGCCTGCTGTTTTCCATTGTTTTCCGGTGGCACAAAGCAAGAGACGAAACGATCTGCAACCGATCTGCAACGATCTGCAACAATCTCAGCCGCCCCTCCATGGCCCATCCTAAACTGGCGCCTCACTTCCTGACGCAAAGCGCGCAACTCCTGGCGAGTCAATGGTAGCTGTGGTATAGCTGTGGTATAGCTGTGGTATAGCTGTGGTATAGCTGTGGTAGCTGACACATGCTGAGGGGGTTTGCAGTTCGGCTCTCAACCCAGCGGAGATGCCTGCAACGTCGAGTCGTCTGGTGCGTTCGATGTGTTCGATGTGTTCGATGTCCCAATGTTTGGTGGTGATCCGAACTCGGTCCTTAGGGTCTGGCCGCATGGCATCATTGCATTGAAACAAGTCCGGAAAGCACATAAACATATGATAATATATGAGTGGCAGGTAAAATTCCCTTTTACTGGCTAAATTGGGCGGCCCCCTAATATAGACAATATTGCAACATAAAGCATCACTGTGTCACATGTTGGTCAGAAAATGTCAAAACATCATCACAAAACCTCATGCAAATTACAATCATCTAAATACCTCATTCATGTGCATCAGAATTTCATCATAAGCATCACAAATCATCAGAAACACCAAACCATTGTGTAACCCCACTCATTTGTAGAAATGATCATTGCTAGTATTCTTTTGAATAAACATGGCTTTGTCCTTTTCATAGTTCTTAGCAAACAACACTATTGTTCCTGCAAAATACTTGTGCCTCAGTCTGTTCCTTGCTGCTTGGGTTTTACTTATATGATGTTTTTTCTGTTGTATGTGTTTGCGTCATGTGCATTCATATGCGCTCAAAGTCCCCATGTGTCTTTTCATGGTCACAGAGGGAGAAGGCATGTTCCCCACTTTAACCAGCACTCCTCTGTGACTATATGCATTGCTGTGATGTGATGCAAAGAGTCGCACGTGTCATCTACTGCAGCGAACAACATGAACATTGCTACTTTTGGTGACAAGAGTCCCATGTCGCTCCCGATCTGCAAGCACCTTCTTCAGAGCATCAAGGACCTTGCAGTCCGGCTAGGGTCCAATATGCCCAATTCTGGAGAAAAGTTTCAGATATATTTTCGTGAGATCGAAAGAGACTTTGATATAAATAATTTCCGTTATTTTTTGGACGTAGTGTAAATGTGTGCGTGTGCGTGCGCGTGCACGGGCGCGGGCGCGGGCGGGGCGCGGGGCGCGGGGGCGGGTGCGGGGTGCGTGTGCGGGTGCGGGTGCGGGTGCGGGTGCGTGTGCGTGTGCGTGTGGGTGTGTGTGTGTGTGCGTGACACATCTGTACAGATGTAAAACTTCCCAAGGTTATCATATGTTTGCAGGGGGTGCCCGGGGCACTGATGAGACCGGCACTAACAAAGACACTCATCAGTTGCCTGTGATATCGATGGGGACGCTCATCGACGTACCTGCTCCAATTTTTTCATGTCAATTTTGTCTGCAATGGGACGTGGCTAACCCGAGAACCACCATGCCGTTGTTTAGTCTTTACTCTACCCTATTTGATGACGTTTTTGGTCTTTATTCTATCCTATTTGATGTCGATTCTGGTCACGATGCCATTCGGGAGAACTTTCATTATTCGAAGGGTACTACGTAGGTTAATTTGTGTCCCATCTACTGTAATTTGCACGTTTACAGGACTCAGTTCCTGATGGATCTCTTCAAAGATTATCCAATTTTGTCTAGTGTGTGTGTGTCTTGGGAAGTGACACGGAGTGTAGGCCTGTAAGGCCAGCCTAGTACCGCCACTAAGAATCACAAAGCTGTGGGTTTGTGGGTTCTCCTTTTCAGCATCGAGCTCTGGAGTGTGGAGCTGCAGTCGGAAACTCTGTCTTTCAGAGTCAATCATCAGCGAAGTCATGCTGAATCCATGCTGGCAAGCGGCCCAAGTACCAGTGGCCTCTGAGTCCATTTCATCACTGCCACCATTGTGCGGTGGGCCAATGGATGTTGCAGCGCCTAAGCATCTGCAGAGACTAAAAAAAAAAAGTCCGCGACCTGCTCCATTTACCACTCCAATCAGTCAGCGACCTGCTGCATCATGCCATGCGAGGAGCTAAAGTGCTTTGTGCAAACTGTGCGATGGTCAAAGCAGGAGCAACCACATTTATATACAGGATTATCATGATGTATAGAAAGAGAATTTCAAAAATGTACGTGTATATATATATACACTATTTATTATCATTATTAGAGTTATTATCATTACTATTATTATTGTTATTATTGCTATTTTTTATTTATTTATTTTATTAACAATATTATTATTATTACTAATATGTTTATTATTATTTTATTATATGTATACATTAGATTTTATATATATATATATATCACTATACATATATATATATACATATTGTGTGTGTACGCGTCTGTGTGTACCAAAAAAGTTGAGAAATTCTGCCGCGGTGCTGCTGGGAGCCTTCCCGGTTCCATCCAGACTGGGACGGACAACACGCACCTTCAAGCCCCGGGCACTGCGATCTTGGACAAAGTGCCATTGGGATGCGAAACGACTGGTCGATCTGATGTTGAAACACAAACTGCTTATCATATTTTAAGTATATGAGAATATTGAAAACATTTCAAAACTAGGATGTGGCTTTGTGCTTGAAGATCTTTGAAATATCCCATCCACATCGGTCAACTGCAGATCTCTGCGGTCAACTCTATCAAAGTAGCATCATTCATCACATTTCGCTTTGCCTTCCATTGCCTTTCTTCTTTGTCTTGTTTCCTGATTCCTGCTGTTTCCTGTGTATTCCCACAGCTGCCTCTTCTTGCAGGGCTTCAGCAGCAGTCCTGCAGCAGTTTCGACACAATCAGTTGGTAAGGGGATGTCGACCTGACATGACCGTGCGTGGAGAAGTGAGCTTACCATCGCCCACCTCATCTCGGTCATCTTGGAAGTAAAGGATGCCAATTCGCTTTCCAAATACCTTGGGGCCATGTTTCACTGACGTCCAGATCATTCTTGGTAAAGCGAAGGTATGCCAGACCAAGCTGCTGTAAACGGCTCTCTGTTGGAGCCTGGGCCCGTGACAAAGCACCAGTTGAAGCACTTGCCACGCACAAGGCTAGGTGTGGCAAGGTATGGCAAGTTGTGGCAGCTTGGAGCGCTGAAGTTGTCGACACAACATGCATCAGCGCAACACAACCCTCACAAATGCCTGGTTCCCTTTCTGTGGCTGTGCGCTGGCAGGACCTTGGCCCAAGAACTCAAGCTGGCAGAAGATTCTCATAGAGTCGCCCCGGTCGCCCCGGGAATAATCTTCAGGTTCCAGAGTGTTTTGTAGTGTTTGTGACAGTTTTGTGGCGTTTCCTACGGTACCTGTGCATCGAAAGGGGCTCTCTGCCTTGTGATGCTACAAAGATCTACAAAGAATACAGTACAAGTAGTGATCACACCATATCATACCATATCATACCATATCATACCATATCATACCATATCATACCATATCATACCATATCATACCATATCATACCATACACACCATATCATCACATTATACTGCTCGGGGTACAAGTAGCAAGACCGGTGCAGCCAAGGCCACGTTGTGGTGACGGGCCTCGAGGAGCCCTGCCCACCTCGCAGCCGAACGACATGCGACTGGGACATAGACATATTGTGACGATTGCGAGCTGCCGGGCCTCTTCCTCAGCAACGATGCCCAAACGTGGCCCCTGTACAGAGCCGCCTAGGTGCAAATTCACTTACATGGCCTTTCAAATGACACCTGACGCACTGAATGCACTGACGAAACGTTTGAAGGTTAGGTAGGTTAGGTGAAGATAGATGAAGAGCAATCTCCGTATTACGCCGTAAACGCTTGGACTGTTGGATTCACAATTCGCAAATTTGCTCATGTTCACACACAGCTTCCTCCAGAAGCATTTCTTGCTTGGTTGCAGACGCAAAGCTCAAAGCAATGTGCTTGCCAGAACTGATTTCCGGCAGATGTAACGTATATATATATTATAAATTATGTTATGTACTTTTTTCCCAGCCGCGCTTTAAGCCCACAAATTGTAGCAAACAACCATATAAATGGGTGAAGTCTGAGCATCGGAGAACACAAACAGCGCAAAAATCTCATATCTCATCTAATTCCGCACCTCGTCCAGCCCCCTTGGGCATTCCTTCAACCGATGAATGACGCACCTAGGAAACTGCAGTGTAAAAGATGCAGGACATGGCCGGCCTGGCCCATGTTTCGTGGGATGTGTTGGTGCCCACTGAGTTGTGACGGTATGTTGCAGATGCGGTACCCTGACGGAATATGGCCCAGTACGGTCGTGGAGTTTACTAAGACAGTCTGGTGACTATCTGACACTGTCGGTAGCTAATCAGAGAAGGGCAGCACCATGTCAATGCGTATTGTCCTAGAATGCAAAAAATTCAACGAATCGATCACTGCAGTCTGCCGTGGCACTCGTCCAACAGAATTTGAAGCGGGTTGTTGCTGTGCAATGGGAAGATTTGGACTCGACCTCGGCGAAGCATTCCAAATATACATCACTTACATATACATATACATATACATATATATACATACATTGCATATGCCTGTGACTATACATAATATAACCTATAACTTATAACTACACAACGTTATAACTATAACACGTTTAGATACATTCCCAATTCTTCAATAATCATTCCACAAACCTATATTATAAAGTTGCCCTGTACTCACTAAATCGAAGCCTTTCCCAAAATGCTGCATGATCCACGAGGTGCACACCTGTAGCGTACTTCTTGTTGTTGTGCCCGGTTGAGACCTGTCACCATCTGCAGTCCAGAAGGAGAACTTCACATTTGTTGACATGTTTAATCCATTTTAGTAATTATATGTACTTATATTGCCATATTATATATATATATATAGATATAGATAAATATAGATATAGATATTATATATCGTAAATATAATATATCATATATTATATAATATATAATATATATATTTAATATATATTATATCATATGTTATATTATTTATACATACTATATATATATAATTGATACATAGATCATGAGCCAATGTTGAAAGGTGTGAATTAAAACATCCAAAACTTGTGACCTTCTGTGGAGTGTAAAGTGTAGAGTGGAGTGTCAACTGTAAAGCGTGATGTGTAAAGTGTAAAGCGTGAAGCGTGAAGTGCGGCGCAGTGTAGAGAGTGAAGTGCAAAGTGTAGAGTGTCAAGTGCCAAGTCTAAAGTGCGAAGTGTAAAGTGTCGAGCGTGGAGTGCGGAGTATAAAATGTGAAGTGTAAAGTTTTTAAGAGTAGAGTAGAGTGTAAAGCGTAGAGTGGGGAGTGGAAAGTCTAAAGTGTAGAATGTGAAGTGTAAAGTCTAGAGTGTAGAGTACGGAGTGTAAAGTGTAGAGTGTCCCAAACACTGTGCCTGCCACACAAAATGACATTCCACACACAACGGATCTGCACTAAATACTGCTCTTGCCACGCAAAATGGCACTCGCACGATGTCCCACACCTGCCACGCGATTTGCACGTTGTCACCACTTGATGCATCCCTGACAATGCAATTCGCAGAAAACACGCAACGCCACACGTCTAAAGTGCTGCGCCTGCCACACAAATGACGATTGCTCTAAAGTGCTGCGCTCGCCACGCAAAATGATGATGGAGGTCTCCAAAGTGCTGCGCCTGCCACGAAAAATGCAACTCATCTTCTGATAACGACGCAAAAGGTTTGCGCCTGTCACACGGAACGGCTTTTGACACGTTATGAAACATGTCGCATCATGTCGCGATGTCACAAAGTGCCATGCCTGCCACGTGAAACGAGGTTCAAAAGTTACACTTTTGCAGCACTCCCCATAGGCATTGCCATAGCGACCTCACACGGACACTTGCGAACGGTTGCGAACGGTTGCGAACGGTTGCGAACGGTTGTGTTGCGCAACGTCTAGCGAACACATCCTCAACCCCCAAACCCCCAGAGTGAAACGGGAACCCTTGTTACGCATTCGCGAAAAAGTCCAGCATATACCCAGCTTGATCTTGCTTCCGAGTGCTTCCGGCTTGGTCCCTGGACAACAACAATGCACAGCGCTTCGCAGCCTCTGTTCTGCATCGGCGGCGACGGAGATGGGTACCCTGTGTGGCTCATGGGCATTGGCTGTGGGTGCGGAGTCCTGGCATGGCGGTAGCGGCAAATGACAAGCGGTTCCAGCCGTACTAATAAGCAAAAAAATGCACCGACCAATTCATGCTTGTGTGATCTCGTGCGTCCAACTAAAAAGGTTGGCTATGCAATCTACTACAAAACCTTCATGGAAGTCCAAGGAACTCGACACAGAGAATGAAAGAACCAACACCATCCAAAACCAAGAAAAGGATAGAAAAGGAGTGTTGCTCAAAGCGGCTGGCACCCCGACCTAATCATCTGATGCTGCGCGCCCGGGTGGCTCACGTGTGATGAGGGCGGGATTGTCACTTGGGTCCTTCACAGTGCAACCAGCTCAACACCATGTCACCCGCATGTCACCGCACCTGCCCTGTAGTCTCAACAGTCTCAACAGTCTCAACAGTCTCAACAGTCTCAACTGCTCCCTCAATCTCCCATATGATCTCATATCATATGATCTCATATCATAGTCATATCATAGTGATATCATAGACTTAAAAACATCTTAAAACATGTTAAAACCCAAGAGCACACCATATCCACCAGTGTCACACCATAGTGTCATCAAGTCTTGCCATCGTCCTGTTCAGGACTGGTTTCATAGGCGATGGGCGCTGCATGGCTCGTAGCTTGTGACAGGACTTGAGTCCGCACGATGGAGGGCAAAGGAAAAGCCAACGCACCAACGAGGCGCAAAGGAGAGCGAGAAGGCACAAAAAAATGAACCGAGTTTCAGATTGATGTGAATAAAGAAATATTGATACCGTTTCAGAATTTTAGCCGAGACGAGGCAAAACTCCTACGCTTGCGACTGAGGTTCAGCGCAAGCCGCTAGCCTTTGAGCAAAGTGGCCGAAAGGACAGCTGAATGAATCCTGCACTTTGCCTGATGCAGTGATAGCATGTGATAGCTCTAGCTTAGAAGGGCGAACATAACCCCGAAGAAAAATACGCAGGCTCGCGAAGTCAGTGGTGAGTTGTCCCTGAGCGATTGTCCTGAGCCTTCAGGTCCATTTCCGGTCTCCTTCCCTCTGATTTGGGCAAAACAATAATTGTAACATGTTATTACAACTGACAGGGCTCCAAAAGAAAGTATCACTTTGGAAGCGCCTCTTGCCCAGTGCCGGTCCTCCAGGGTCTGACCATGCCGCCTGGACTCAGCCCATCAAAGAGAGACTCAGCCGGCAAGTATTCTGTTTCATTGCCATTAGAATCATTCCAACACTGCAACTTCCCCGCTCAGCTCTTTTTGACATTTTTTGACAATGGTCATCTTCATTGTCATGTCTCACAAGCTATGGGTATTTCACCCCAGAAAATTTTAGTCCGGACACGCGGTCCAAGGTCCAAGAAGCAAATTGGTGTCACTGGCACTCACCAGTGAGGCTCCCTTGCCAAATCTTGCCAAAATCTCATGTGCGCTTCTGGTGGGCAGTCCGGTAGCCATGGGACGAACTCTGAATGCGTCGAAATGATGAGTCTGGACATCGCCAAGGAGCTTGCAGATAGCTGCACTCTGACAGAAGTGGATGAAGGCGACACGTGGTAATTGGGAATGTCTTGTGGGCAGCGTCCACGGTTGAACCGAGCAAGTGTCACAATTTCAAAGCACTTGTCACTACTGCAGCCACCTCTTTGGCATGCGTCAATGGCAAGGAATACCCATCCTCTTCCAGCCTTTGCAACGTGTCAGAATGGAACTCATGCCAGTCCCACTCGCCATCACTCTGGTCAGTATTCGCTAGTATCATGCTCACGCAAATGAATGCTCACAGAACTCAAAGTCGGTCCACACTGCAGGCTGCTTAAATTCCAACATCTACCAACCTATTTTATGATATATAAACATACTGAACACTTGCTTCATCCTCTCTGTGCTCAGTAGCTCCCCTCACAACGCATATCATTAAAGCTGGCCGGAACATGTCCACAATTATGCCGGGGAAAAAAAAAAACTGACAAGGGTGCTTACCACTTCTTATATCTCCAGGAAACATCTTGAAGTAGTGGAGCTTTCCTGTGCTAGCAAAGGCCATTTTCAAAGCAAATGGTTGTGGAACTCTGTCGTCAGCGTCACTCAGAAGCAGACCGCTGGGAAGCGCGAGATTTGAAATTGCAGGGTGCAAATCCAAGGTCCACAACCTTTCATGGCAAGCTGTTCTGCAACCCTCATGCCTGCTCTCATGCCTAGTCATAAGGATGATAAGGGAACATGACAAGGTGTGTGGGACCAACAACAAAACTATTTCATACATGCTGCTGCGGCACATGTCACTAAGATTCCGCAGGGCCCAGTCACTTTGGGCCTGCCTCTTTGCTTCTAAAATCACTCGTACCACGGGGTACGATGCATTAGAGCCCAGTCGTCTGGAGACTGATGCCTCCCCAGAGAATTCGAAATATGCCAACAGCTCCTCTGAGCACAGCGTGCCGTTGATTTGCCATGTTTGGAAAACTGAAAACTAAAATATCTGCTCTGATGTCCAATCCTAGTCATGTCATGTGAAAGATTGAAGAAAGAGAGGAGCACAAGGCAAAATAGCGTCCAGAGTAGAAGTGTCGAACTTCAATGTGCAATTCTACGGGGCCAGTTCCATCAGTTCCTTGAGAGAACGATAGTATCATATGCTATCCTGTACTATCCTCAGATCCAAATCTTTGAGGAGGACACGGAGGCTAGTTTATGTGAAAGGCTACTAAGGGCCTGCTGTACATATTGGTTGCCTTCCGTCTTATTCCACGGATCTTGTTTTGCACTGACCCTCTGTGCTGGATATTTGGCAGATCATGAACATACTTCACGGTGCTCAACCATGCAAGCAAAACTGCTCCCTGTCCGGAAGTCGCACTGCAGCAAAAGCCGTTGCCATTTGTCGCAAGCGTTCTTTCCCAATGGTTTGCTTCAAGTTGCCTGCTGTGCATGCAACACATACGAAGCCGAAGGGCAGCCTGGCACTGGGCTATACTTCACGCGGAAACAGAGGCGATGCGAAACAATCAAGTAGAGCCTGAACACCAGCCACGGAAAGCTGCCGAAAATTGAGTTATATAACGGTATATGAATAGTTGACTGCCTCTTCAAATCACTAACACAAAAGCCAGGGGCACAAAAAAAAATGAAGCCTCTCGGCCGCGCGCTTTCTATACTCAGCGAAGTACTGAAGCGCCAGAAAGCCACCAACACCATGGCCAACCAACACTCCCTGGGATTGAGAGAGCGAGCATGTCAAGATATGTCAAGAGTTGCAACATGTTGCAAGGGCATTCGATTTCGGACCTGCGGCAAATATCTAGATGAAGGGATAGACTCGACAGACACAGGGGCAGAGAGCACCTAATCATAATTAATCATATCTACGTATCATCTACTCCATTTACGATAGATTGAGGAAGGCATTGCAGGGCTGCACTGCAAAGCTTGGTCATGTTGCCACATTTCTGTCAGAAAGGAAGTGTTCTGATCACAGAGACCCTTTCAGCACAACCAGCACAAGAGAACTCCTCAGAACAAGCCAGAGACTACCCACACCTACAGAAGACAGTCCAACCAATTCCCGAACAAATCGTGCTGTCATGTGGCCTGGCTGACTTCAAAGTGATCCATGATGTGCTGAATGTCTCGTGTCAGCGACGGAAGCACCAAAGATCCAGCGGTCAAGTTGCTCTCTCCATGCCTGGCAGTTCACTCGCACTGGCAGGTGCACGGGTACTGCATAACACCAAGACTACAGAAATTACAGCACATAGGGGCGAGCAAAGCGTCAACTGTTCCCAGACTGCAATGTTGTGTCCCCAAGAACGAATCTGTTCATAAACCACCCCACAACGCCGTGAGGACTTGGATGCAAACAGAAGTTTGGTTTTAAGTGGCGGTTTTGTATATAATTGCGCGTTTTGCTTATAAAGAAGGGGGAGAGAGCGAGAGAGATGGAGATGGAGATGGATGATGGATAGGGAGGGAGGGAGAGAGAGAGAGAGAGAGAGATGCACATGGAGATGGAAATGGATATGTAGATGGACACAGAGAGAGAGAGAGAGCGTGTCTCAAGTCCTATCATATCCTCAAATAGGCGTTTCTCATCTCTTCTCATGGCAAATGACCCAGGCCCTGACCCTGGCAAGTCCACAGCGATGATTCGATGTCCATCTTCTCTCAGCAAGTCCCACACTGGGGACCAGGTCTGGAGTCTCATCTTAACGTCGTGGATTAATACCTGGAAAGCAGCAAACAATTTCAAATCAAAGATCTCATCTTAGGCCTCTTAGGATAATGGACGTCCATCTTCACTGTGCACACAACCCTTACATCCAGCGCAGCTGGAAAATGATCCAAAAATATCCTCACATCAGCATGATGACAGCAGGGGAGGCAGTACAATCACGCTATATCATCAGGACAGGAGTTGGAGAGACTCCGGTGAGATATAGGCTTTGCATGGCTTTGCGGGATTGTTATGTAGAAAGGGTAGGCCATGGTAGGCCGTCACATGATTGTGAAGGTTTTTTTCACAACACAAGGTGCCTCCTCGTGCTTCTGCCTCGAGGACCAATCACCATGGAATCTTGGTTTTCTAAAGTGTTCTAGCCTTTACAGACTCTTTACAAACCATTGAAGCCTTGAATCTGCAGATGCTGAATAGAATGAATAGACCAGGACAGACCCTCAGCTTTAGCCAAAGCACTACAGTTTTGCCCGACCAGCCGGGTGGAGTTGAATGCGCATTGATCTGTCGAGCTTCTCCATGCCTCAGGTCCCAACAGGGTTGCCCTAGGTTGCCCTGGCCTTGGGCCCCCTACAGAGTTACTGCGTTCAAATCTCTGGACAGATTTGATCATTGGTCCCATCCAAAGTTTCATCAAAGGAATTGGATGCAATGTGCGGAGTGTCAAGACAGGAAAATGATGGGAAATGGCTAAGGCTTGGAGGGCCACACGCGCACAGACACACACAAGCGACCCTCTTTCTTCCTGGAATGTGAAAAGCTGTTTGTCACTGCCGTCTAAGCGGCCTCTCAAATTCCAAGCGGTGCTGTTGCCCATCAAGCAGTGGCTGTGTCAAATCTTCGTATGACAGATCCTTGACACAGAAGTGTGGAAAAATGTGTAAAGGCAAAACAGCGTGGTGTAATTTCTTGATTCTGGATTTTCAGGATATCAAGATTGATTCCTGCGAACTAGGAAACTTGCAAAACATCTGCTTGCAAAACAATGCCATCCTTTGCAGGCCTGCGGGGCATTCACCAGTTTGCGGTGCGAACGCCAAAGGTGCATGTACAGAGCTATGAAGACTCCCAGCCAACTGCGCTTTGGCAGAAGCCCCATGGCGCAGGCTTTCTATCGCAAGCCTCTGGGTCATGTGCGCTCCGCAAGAATTCCATACTACAAGCGGTACCGAGTAGCATGCTATTCTTTCATTGAAACGAAGCTCATGGTCTGGCTAGAATAGGAGTTCACTAGCTGTGCTGTGCTTGGACTCTCTGAGAATAAAGAGAGATAAACAAAGGTCTGGATTCAGCCAGTGGAGTGTCACATGAGAAAGGAAGCATCAAGCATTGTAAAGCATCAGCGGCGCTACTTAATTATATAATGTGTTTTCAAATTCAACGTATTCCAAATTCCAAATTAATATACTGTATCTATATATTAATTACTGTAGTGCATGGATAATGCATGGCTTTCAAAAATGCTGCCGCCTCCTCCCAGCTCTGCCAGTCTGCATGTTTGTTCGATCAGGAAGCTTGAAAAATCTTGAAAAGCTGAAGTGCCGGCAAACTCTTGCCCACGCAGTGATACTTCCCCGTACTAGTTGTATGTCAGCCTGTCTTAGTCCACACCACTCACCACAAGCAACTGTTTAGGATTTGTTCAATGCATGTTCAATGCTGTACATTCGTAATCATTAGTGCACCTAACGACGGCTGAATGAATCTCATTCCATCAAGTAGAAAGAAGCATCGGATCAGATGCTTTTGCCGTTTCTCTGCCTGTCACTATCCACCAAGTTCAACAGCAATTCTCCTCAAGAAACTCAACTGTGGAGCTTGCAAAAACCTGTCCAAAATTGTGCCTTAAAATCCTTAAAAGCATCGAGTCATATCGAGTCCATGGAACGCATGCGTGGTCCCACACCAATCCAAATCAAGTGTTGAATGAATCCGAACGTAAATCCATATCAACCTGAGTCTCCAACAAAATCCAACAAAATCCGTTGAAAGAAAATTCAGCCGCCCTCTTCCCAAAGCACGAGACTGCCTTCATGTCTGACGTCATGTGCGCGATGCCCGCTCCCAGCGCTTAGAGCATCTTCGAGCCAAGGGTGGGACAGCAACGTGAGGAGTTCACAGTTGACTTTCATCATGATACAATCTCGTAGCCGTAGCGTAGCCACCAGTAATAGGCTTCCATCGCACTGATGATGGAGTCTGTCTCACTATTCTTCCCGCACTCCAGATGCCACTAAACACTGGAACCATCGTTTCGTAGTGGTGTCTGGCACATGAGATCCAATCGCCCTCCAGCAGTGATAATCAAATCAGGCATGGCGTGCACATTGATTGCAATTGCATTGACTACTTAGCGCCCCCACTGAGACTGCACCACCTGCAGCATCATGCTTTTTGGGAATATCCCTGAATGATAAGAAAATCAAACGTGAAGCCAAGCATAAATAGCAAAGCCGGCTCCAATGCCAAAAGGGATTGGGATAACTGCATGCTTTGAGCTCCATGTGACAGGCCTATGGGAACGTTTGCTCCGGGACCATACGCACCTAACAAAAGACATCAAAGATATCTGGGAAGTGCATCAGAAATTCTGGTACATAGTGATGGTAACAAACACATTCGTGTTTGATTGGAACCTGGTCACATCTGGGCACAAAACACTCAGTGATTCTATGCCAACGACACCCTGTTGCACCACGAGTTGAGTGATGATGATGCATAAGGTCCTCCACTTTTCATGTACAGCAACCTGGGGTCATGGGACGGAAACACCGGGAAAAGCATCTTTACTATTCTCCAATCCAAGTGGCAAGTGTTCTCGTGAGAACTTGCTTCCTGGGAGGAAAAGAGTGAAACGTGAGAGATTGCTGTGGATGGCTGTATGGCACAGTACGGAAGTCTGACCAAATAGCTTGCATTCAGAACTGTGTACCTCTTGCATCCTATACATAGTGTCATTAAAGAGCCCTGGGATACTCCTCAAAGGGCTACTCCTCAAAAGGAAAACTCCTCAAAGGGAAAAAACGGAACAAATTCGAAATATATTTGTTTCAAAAAAGTTCCAAAAAAACGAAACAGTTTGAAAGAAAAATTCGGAAAAAATAACAAAGTCAAAAACGTTCAAAAAAAACCGAAAAATCAAAATAAAATTTAAAAAAAAACGCACACACAAAAAAATAAAAATAAAAATAAATAAAAAAAAACAAATCGAAAAAAAAGGAACGACAACAAATCTTGAAAACATCATTAAAAAAACATGAACGAACAAGTTTTTTTGGAATGAAAAATAGTCATTTGGAATGAAATTGCATTAATTTGATATAAATTATATATAAAGGAATGTTCCAGGAGCGTCCCTATGAGGAATGTCCCTCTCCATAGAGAAGATATGAGAAGATAGTGTTTAGGTCCTGCTTTCAATCCAACCCGGCCTCAAACGTTGAATACTGCATGCCGCAAAAGTTGCAGGCAAACACCGTGACCTGTGCAAATCTCAATGATCTCAAATGGTCTTTGAACTTTGAACGTTGAGATTGGATGGGACTGGGTGGTTTTCATAAAATGCCTGCACACCTTCAGTATGCACATGTATTGGCCACATGCATCGGATGCATGTCGCACGATGAGTGTAACATACTGTGCAAAAACCGTGAGCGCGGTCACAAGATTTGTGGGCGTTTGTTCTGTTGCTGCGTTGATTCTGTTTTGCTTTGACTTGTTCATTTCATGCTGTTGGCTTCACTTTGCGTTTCATGTCATTTCAATTTTCTTGCAAGTTGTCTCACGACTTTGTCTGGATGTTTGTTACTTTGATCAGCTTGCCCTTTGGGTTTCGTCGGAAACGCTGAGGTTTGGGCCTTCTCAGCTCTCCAACCGTAGACCTGCAGTTGGCACCTCAGACGGGACTGGACACGACAAGTACAACACTCCAAGGTGTCTCTGCAAGAGGGTCTACCATGTGCATGATATCCCATAATGTCCATGATGTCTTAATGTCTTTGAAGAAAAGGTGTGCAAGCAAGCTTGCAGGGCACATGCTCCTTCTTGCACTCGTTGAATCTTTCTGGGTTAAGTTCAACATACGCGCATGCACGCAATCAATTTTACTGTTTCTGCCAACCAGATTTGGGTCTAGGCCGAGGCATGGCTTTGACCATCGCTATGCTCATCAAAGTCTAGCCTTCAAGCCAAAAGCGTGCAGGGTGTTGCTGCCACAGCCTCCCACTAGATATTTTTCTACACCTAACAGAGGTGGAAGGCTGCAAGCCCCGAAAAGAACAGCAATCCCACAGTGGCAGCTACTCGCTCCACCAGGGGGAGAGACCCTTAGGTCTCACAAGCCACCAGGGGCCCAGCGGGGATTTCAATAAATTTGGGCCTTGGTGCACCTGAGACTATACGGCAGCACTTGTTGGGGAAGTGCCACGATGTCAAGTGCCCGGGCATGACTGGCTGTGCGAAACAGTGCCAGGATTCGAATTAAAGGTGCTCATTTGAGCAGTCTTTGCGAGCCATCATCTGTCCGGCACAGGAAAGCTTGAAGTCATAAGTACTGTGGGCCGCCGCGCTACGGACGGTATGGGGGCGAAGAACAGAGCGATCACGCTTTGTCAGGTTTGCTGGTGGCGCTATCCGTTCGCTCCAGCATCCGGCTGTGTGTTCGCACCAGGTTCTCAAAGTCGGCCTCCACCTCATGGAGTGCATCGATCATGTGCCCCATCTCCGCATCCAATTCCACCACCGACTGGTCGTTGTGCTCCAGGTCTTGCAGCCGACTCCCCATGTGCGCCAGGACATCCTGTGCTTCCTTCAAGTCTGCTTCGAACCTTTCACGCTCCAACTTCTTGATGTAGTCCTTCAAAATCTGGCGGCATGCCATGTAGAAGAGACCAACACTTCCAGTGAAGGCAGCTGGGAGCAGCAAGGCACGTTGAGGGGGTCCAGGGATGATGTTTTCCATGTAGACTCCGAAGAGACCTCCCATGAAATAAAAGCTCCAAAGCCCGAACAGCACAGCCAACTTTCTCGCATCAACGCCCACTTCGGCCCGCTCCACGTCGTTCAAATTGGAACGCCTGCAACCTTTTCGGAGGTAAATCATGCTGATTCGCCCAAAGGTTGAGCCGATATCGGTCATAGTGCCAGTTACATGTGTGGTGCGAATAATGGCACCAAAGTGGGAGGTGCACATGGCATTCTGCAAGCCGCATGCTGCGGCCACTAGGCAAACAGGGAGCAACCTGCCTGGAATGAAGGCTGCTGACGCCAGCAGGCTGGAGTTCAGCACCAGAGCCAAGCCATAGAAGGCTTTGCCCCCGAAGTGCACTTGATTCTTGTCGATCAAGAGACCGCATGCATATGCACCACACAGGAAGGAGAAAACCAACAAGCATGCTTCCTTCAGGCTTTCTGATCCGTATTCCCCCTGGTGGTAGCCCTCCAACCTGAAGGCCATGGCTGAGGTACTCCCGGTCACATGGGAGGCATAGAGGTTCCAACTCTTGAAAGCGATCACATTGGCTGCTCCCGCACAGGCCGCAAGGCACCAGCCAAAGCCCATGACCCAAAACTTTGGGCGCTGGAAGCTCTTGCGAATCTGTGCTGCTTTCTCCTTCATTTTCTTCGTGTTGGGGCTCGACTCGAATGGCGCCACAGGCTGCACTTGCTGGGTCATGGCTGCAAATGCAAACAAAATGCGCGGAACTTTTGTCGCGGACCCGGAAGGATTTTTGAAGATGGCTTGAGCATGCTTGAGCCACCATCATCCACCATGATCCACCATGATCCACCATGATCCACCATGATCCACCATGTGCAAAGTGAACGTGCATGTGTCCACAAGCAGTGATTTGAAATCTCTTCTCTCCATGACAGTTGCGCGGTGGCAAGTCCATCTCTCCCCCTCCCTCTCCCTCTTTTTGTTGCGCGGGGCCGCGCATCCAGCCCACAACACCAAGGCCACCACAGGAAGAGAAGGACCTGCATAGTACCAGCCTCATAGCATGTTGAGAAAATTGACCTAAAAATTGCAATCTCGATCAATCTCGAGGACATGCTAGATCTTGCTTGTATCACGTTGCGCATCGGATCCCTTGTTCTGACAACCTTCCATATGCAATAGCTTGTCTTCAAATGGAAGAGCACCCAAGAGCCGCGCAATCGCTATGATCACGCCAAGCAATGAAATCCTCAGCACCCAAGCTGCATAGTGACGTGAGTGCAAAACGTGAAGATCTTGCAAACTAGAGTTGAAACGTGTTGTTTTTCGAAAATAATGTGTATCTAATATATATGCATTCTATATATGTTTTTATTTATGTATATATCAGTGATATCAGTATCATTATGTATCATTATATATATCCGTGTGCGTGTGTGTCGTTTCCTTTGGTTGACACTCTCCAATAGGACGGGCCATCTGCGTCCACGGCTGCCGTGACACTGGGGAAATCACCATCTGGGGACCTCCAGGAGGTACCGTCCAGAGACCTCACAGCTCGGATTCGTCAAACCGCCATCGATTTGCCAATTGGATCCAAGTGGCGGCTACGAAGGCACCAAAGCTGATGGCGAGCAGTGACAAAATAAAATGTTTCCTGCCCATGGCTGTGGGCTCGATGAGGAAGTCTCTAATAAGTCTCTACATTTCTATCCAATACTATCCAATCATCATCAATCATCTCAAAAACGCCCGCGCTGGAGATTCATCTGATCCATGCGAGAGACTCCCTCTTGATTAAAAATGATTAAAAGCCATATCGTGCCATATCTATCCATATCTTATCTTGGAGTGAGGGACTTCCGTGGATCTTGACGATGAAATCATGGAGCGCCAGGCACCAAAAACTCTGGGCGCCTGCTGACTGGGCCACAGACCTTGCTAGCAAAAGGAGCACCGGAAGGGTTTGAAATTGCTGGAATAGTCCTCTTGTATTGCAATGACTCTTACTCTGGACCACCGTTGCAGCCAAGCGGCAATCAGCATGGCCGCTAGAACGTCAAGCCAGGAGTCTTGCGCTGTTTCAAATGATTGCGACTTCAGTGCAGACTTCAAAGAAGCCAAATCTGTTAAGAATCACGGGCCAAACAGAAGCAAGGAAGCTTGGCTACATTTGGCTACAGCGCTCTTTCAGTTTTGCCGCATTGCCTGCTGATGGTTTCTCAAAGTTGCGTGTTGCCTATTCATCTCCCTCAGTCCTGAGGCCCGTACATCAAGCACACGGCTCAAGGTTCAACGCTTTGTTTCAGTTGTCACGTGTCACATGTCTTGTTCAATTCATACTGATAAGCTTGCAGAACTAGTCAAACACCATCTGGAAGAATCCAGTACTCATTCAATACTTGCAGAATGAATGAACTTTAAGGAAACCGCATGGGCAAAAGCCGACTCTGACTCATGAGGACTATGACCTGTTTGACGAAATCCTTTCAACATATTTCAGAATATTTCAGACAACAAGGGCTGGGACAGGACGGCTTTTTACGCTTGCGCCTTTTGCGGCCGTGCTCACGATGCCATTCAATGTTGCCCACGTTTGCGGGCACCTTCAAGGCACAATTTCTGACCTTTCTAGTCGAAGCAAATCTGAGTGTCCGTAGCACCAAAGGCTCCACGGCACATCTCCTTCGGAGAACTGCGCCCTGGGAAAAAAAAATAATAAATTACCTTTACCATCATGTACCCAAATATCGTCTTCCTCACTGCTTCACTTCTGACCTGGCCGCTTTTTGAGGAAGGAATTCAGGCCCATGCAAGTGGCAAATGAAGGGAGCGGATAGTTCAAAAAAGTGGAGCTATGTTGAACTGCTCGGCGCGTCGTAGCAATGGTTACTAGTTTCTAGATGTTACTAGCAAGTCCATGGGATGTCCTCGCTGCATCCCACCTGGTACAATGCCCAAGTTAAGTCTTGAGGCTCGTCCAAAGCTGCTGTAGCGGTAGCGAACTGCTGCAAGTGGTTTTGCCTCCTGCAAAGCTGGGAGAGAAGCAGTTCAAGAGTGTTCAAGCTGAACTGCAGAGGTCTGCGTATCCAACGATCCAAGGTTAAGCGGGGGCCCCCTTTGCACCAACGGTCTGCTTGAGATCAGGTCTGTTCCCCTTTTCGGGCACTCGAGAACTTTCATGCCTTAGCTAAAACAGCCCCTCAGCAGAGACGGATGCCTTGAGAGGCCATGTTCGGGTGTTCTTGTCCAATCCTCAGATGGAATTGCGTGGTTCAGAGCAATTCCTGCACCTGAGACACTTCCCCGATGTCCCTAGAATGATTGGATAGTGGACGCTGCGATGAAGACGGAAGCGTCCAATGACACGACCACAGTAAACAAATGTAAACAAGTTGTTGAGTGTTGTTGCCTTCACGGAGTTCACCAAATCTATTTGCAGCCAGAAGAACTTGCAACTCGCCCAAGAGCGGTGCTGCCAACTACTGATTGCTCCGTTGCTCTGTACCCATGTGGGCATAGCCTCAGTACATCATGGATTGCCAGCATGCAGCAGCATGCATAACATCTTGTCTATCATGCCAAACGGACCGCCTAAACGCTCCAAATTGTTCAGTTGTTGAACCATCTGAAATTGCTGCCTTCAAATGATTACTATATAGTCCAACAGCGCGATGTGCTTTCACAAACACATGTCGCAGGTTCAAACTGATACATTATCATACAGCCTGTAGTGCCGTACAGTGTCGTCTAGATTTGTGTGGAGTTGTATATGGCCATGGCAATAGTATAGTGTGTTCCGAATCTATGCGCGGTGCACTGGCGTGCTGAAAAGTTACATTTCACAAAAGTCCTTCAGGCCAATCTCCCCATTCGCATCTGTAGCTTTCCCTGGGTCATCTGACACAGCACAGCACGATACTGACAGAGCTTCTGGGCTGAGGGAGAGCTCTTGCACCATCTCCCAAATTCACCCAAATTCCAGGGCACTTTTAGATCTTTTAGATACAGCACTGCAAGTTTCATCAATTTCGCACAAACAGAGTGGATTTGAGATCCAGCCGCAATTTCGCAAGCTCCATTCGTATCACTTCCTGCCCACATGAAAGCCATGTCGCTGATGAAATCCTTTGCACCATCCTTGTCCTCGGATGCATCGGTTTGTGCCTGCGACCCTCGGACTTTGAGGCCTAAAAAACTGCAACACTCCATCCAAAATCTGAGGGCAACTAGATTCCATGGCAGCACCACTGTTCAAAAAACTATAAAAGACATCACTATGACTATCTGTATCTATCTATCTATCTGTATCTATCTGTATCTATCTGTATCTATCTGTATCTATCAATAGTCAATGGATGCCCATGGTCTCCAGCACCTCATTTTGCTGCCTGGAGTCAACTAAGCCAGACATAACCAGCTCGTTGGTGGAAATCTTCCCGCCGCCGTCTTTATCAAAGTGATCGAAAACGGCCTTCCAAGCTGCAGCTTTGGCTGAAGTGGCTGAACGGTTCGGGTGCAACGCATTGAGCTGCAAATCAACTACAAAGTCCTATCCTGCCTTCAATGCATCCTTCGCATCTTGAGGTAGCACTGGCGGCGGGCTCACCTGGTATTTATCACCTGACCCACTCTGCACAGCACAGTTGCGATGACAATGAGAACATCATGCTAGGAGCATCTATTCAGCCATATTCAACTTTTAATCACACATCATCACACCCGTTCCCTGCAAAATAGGTCCGAAGCTCTGACCAGCAGAATCGAAAAAGTCCCAAACCAAAGAGTACATTTTAGCACGATGTTGAAAGCTGAGCGACGCGTGTTGTTGATTTCTTCACACCACGCGCACATCTGCTTCAAATCCTCAACAGAGGAGCAAGGCCATATTAGGCGCATAAGGTCCTGCAGGACTTGGGCTGAGAAGTCTGACAGTCAATGCCCTCCTGCATGACCGAAAACAGAGAAAAATAGCATGCGGGGTGCCCATACATCAGGTAGCGCGTTACATTCTGTTGCATGTTCTTCCAAATTCTTTCTTATTACTACTACGTACGCTTGTGAACATCCATGTGTGGAACAAAGTGCCAAACAAACAATCATTGCCCCCAATTAAAAGTGGTTACCACCGACATCCTTTGCTATTCTTTGCCATAGGAAAGAAAGGGTCTAATTTTCAATAAAAATGCATATATATATATAATATATATATAATGTACATTATATATATTATATACACCATCCATACATACATTACATTACATTAAATTACATTACATTACATTACATGACATTACATGACATTACATTACATTACATTACATACATAAAAACAAATATGCACAGCCTCCTCTGAGGTCAAATGCTGTCCAAAGGCTTGCCCCCCATGTGACATCATGCGACATCATGCGACCAACATGACGAGGTGGTCATGTATATCAGCAGCTTCCAGCCCGAATTCCAGCATCCCAAAAAACTATCCTTCTGCACTGTCCTCAAAGCAGAAGCTTGACTTTCGCACTGCGCTCAGCGCCTGAAGAACAACCGGCCAAGGAAAGCCAGCGCGCAGAAAGTCAAAAACAACAGACTAGGCAAAGAAGGAGCCTACCACATGGAACTGTGCCAGACACTCAGCTGCCCAACAAATGATATATATATATACTATATACCACAGCCACAGATATTGACAGATATCAAACAAAAACGCGTAAGGACCGAAGGAAACGAAGAACAAATCTTGCAGCCGCTCACAGGAGCGCTGAGGACCCCGCTGCAGTGAGCCGCTCAGACAGCCTCTGAACAAAGCGGGGCCACTCCTGTCACAGCAAGCCATGGCAAGTCACATCTGTTCAAACAAATTGCTATACATATCTATATATATATATATCTATCTATCTATCTATCTATACATGATTATTTAACATTGTGTGACATTGTATGAAACTCGGCTCATCATTGAGTTCACAATGGCTACCGTTACCCATTTGCGCTCTGCAAAGTTACTTTAGACGTTGCACTGTTTCTCAACCCCCAGTGCCTCGAGTTGGCCAGCCCACCAAGAGTCAGAAATTCTGATCATGCACGGCTGTCCACCATTCAAGTAGAATTGGATTCCACAAACAGAAAATAGTAGCCTTGCCCTGTGCCAAGTCAACACTGAGACAAGCTTTGGATGCCTTCAGCGGCCCATGATTTTGCAGCAGCCTTTGAAAATACTAATTGCCTAATGTAGCTTTGGCATTTCAAATACGTTTGAATCTAGATATAGAATGATATAGATATGCTGTGTAATAGATATAGATATAGATATAGTATAGATATATATATATATAGATATATACACATAGTCATGGACCCAAGGTACAGTAATGATTTCAATGTCCCCACCGGAAGGGCAAGGTCCTCTGGGGGTGTGCTGGCAATCCAAGGCGGCATCCTGCTGACGATGCCTTGGCGCATGAAGAGGAAAATACGATACCGACGATTCCGATGCCATGAAAATGAAGGAAAATACATGAAAATACCACGTAAATACCTAGAATTAGAATGAATTAATTAGAAACACATCAAACTTAGCTGTCGAAAACCTGGGGGAGAGCTAACCGTCCAACTATTCTAACTGTCATGTGAAACTTTTCCTTCTGTAAAGTGAGTGCCTTTCGTACCACGACTAACAGCTGTGGAGGCCAATGCCCTGATCTGCAACAGCATGGGTCTCAAAAGAAGACTTGAGGCAAACAAATGTTCAATGCACATGAATTGCACATAATGCACATGAAACAGGCTGAAACAGGTCACTGGATCAAACAATGTGGAAGAGTTCTGGATGGAGTCTTGCGTAGGTGGAAATCTCACACGCATTGAAAGCCTGGATGCTCTGGGGGTCTAGTTGAACACAAAGATCATTGCTCTCCTGCCTTAGTGAGAAGCATCCGGCTCACACAGGCACGAAAGCTGCATAGTCTTCTGCCCATTTGGGCTGTTCAAACACAATGGCGCAGTCTCTAAGAGAGTGGGATCGCTGTAGCTTTGGGGCACGGCTATGAAGGCTTCAAAACACTTTTTTTGCTTCGAAAGAATTTGATTCAGTGGTTGGCCATTCTTCGGGACATACTGCTTGCATCTGCTTGCCAAGCTGCCATGCTTGGGCAGCGGCAACGTCGATCATCAAGCCTTGGACATGGCTACAAAAACTGAAACAGTACCAGGCAACGTATGGATAAATATATATATATGCATGTAATTGTCTATATATATGATATATGTATATTATATATATATACAGGGTGCATGACGAAACGGAATGCTTCGAATAAGCCTTGTCCTGACTGAGGTGGTACAAATACCCCATATAAATTTGCTACTACCGCTTTGATCTCATCGTTTTTTCATGTTTTTTCCCTTCCTTATCGTTTTCCAAGCTTTCTGCATTCAAGCACACCTTGAGAGACTCACTACACGGCAACAATAAAGAAATCATTCTTAATCACTGTTTTGCTACAATGTCTGTCTTCGCTGAGGTGTCCCTCTTTGGGGTTAACCTCCATGGCTTGTCAATGGGCCTTGGTGTTCAAAGTAGGTTTTCGGGTTGATGTTGTTATCGTGTTTGTTATAGTTTTGCTGCCACCCCCACAAACACAGAGTGCAATGTAAAACATGTGACTTGCGTGCATGAACCCCATGCCAGTAGAGTATCAGTAACATGATGTTACACACACACATATAATATATGTGTGTGTGTGATATGTGTGTGTGTGTGTCGTTCCCCCCGTCCTTACCGTTGTACAGTGAATGGGCCATATCCAGTACGAAAGGGTACCTGCTTAGCCAAATTTGAAGGATGGAGCTGCCAGCATGTGTTTGGATTCCACTCTCTCTGGCTTGGTTCTCAACTTATTTCCCTTACAACGGCTTTTTCAAATAGACAAGTCACGGTCTGCAAACCGCTGAACCTCCGCAACCTCCACTCGCCCGAAGTCCTCTGGATCCTCAGGCATTGATAAACAGTTGAATCTGCGCAGCCACAACCTGGGACCTAAAGGTGCTGTGAAATACATGGAGCTAGGTGAGTTTGGTGGGAAATGGCAATTATTTTCGCTTGGTCGTGGCTTGCAACGGCATTGAGCATATTGAGCATATTGAGCATTCAAGTGGGATCCAACATGATCCAACCAATGTGTCCCTGCAGCTGTGAGTCAATCTTGTCCCACGCGCGAATCAATTTCAACATATCATCCTTAGCACCTTGGTGGCAAGGCAATGGTTTTACGGGCTGACCATGAGAACAGGGAATGCATGTTTATGTGTGGACACATGAGAGTTTCCCGGATATGTTGTAATGACGGTCTAGCGATGCAAGATCTATACAGGCCTCACCACTGCTCCAAACAAACTCTTTGAAGAAGACAGCAGCAGAATCAAAAAACATCCAAAAACTAGGTTTTGGGCCGCAACTCTCCAAAAACCTTGGACCAAGTGCATGGGCACGCACTAGTCACCCTTGCCATCCATATTGTCCATGCTACCCAACATCAGTATCTCAGCAACCTACATAAGCTACGAAAGTGACAATAGGCTTCACGAACTAACCGTTATTTCCAAAAAAATCCGCAAGATTCTGCATGACCCAACGCTGCTTCCAATACCCTCTGCCCCCCACCCATGTCAGAATAATTGCCACCATCTCAGAATTTAACTCGGAGGAGTCTCACAGGGGCTTGTTTAAACCAGGAATAGCATGACGCCGTCAAGTGGCACGTTCTCTCGCTCCCTCTTTGTCTTGAGATTCCTGAAAGCATGAGAGCAGCAAGTCTTGAAAAGATATCAATGGAAGAGCCTGAGTCAGGCAGTCTCAGTGCATTTGGCTGTTGGATCCCTTCAAGCATGTTTGACTATGGCCAGGGAATCATCTTCTTCACTACTGCAGTACTATCGCCATCCACGAGACGATGCAGGAAACCAGTCCATGTGATCAAAATTCCTTTGCCCACGCTGTTCTTTCCACTCGCCAATCACAGCAAAGGTGCTCATTCCCGACTGCTCCAAAGACGAACCTGAGAGAGCCGGTCAGCGCTGTTGGCAAACTGCAACTTCCGCAGCAAAACTTGTGCTCATCTCAGCAAATGTGAGAAAAAATTCGCAGATTGCAACCAGAAATGGCTGTCCAAAAAGACAAGCATGGAGTCAAAGCAAGCGAACCCGTCAGAGCTGCCCTGTTTTCCTTCCGCAACTGTCTGCCCCAGATGTTCATACAACATCATACCACTACCATCCACTACCCAGCAGCTCCAGTACAGGTAAGACGCCCATCTTGGAAAGTTTGACAAACATTGTATAACATATGAAGAAGAAAGATGGTTTAAAAGTGGTTTCCTTCACTATTTCCTTGGTTTTGCTTCAGCTAGGCTATACCGGACTGCCTCCCTTGGTGCCCGAGTGACAGGCCCCAGCGATGGAACGGCAGAAGTTGCTGTTCAAGAGTATGAAATTACTAGCGCTAGTAGGATACCAGGCTCAGGCCCTAGGCTCCATTGGCCGGTTGGGTGCCTGAATTGAACGACTCAAAGGACTAAAGTGTCTAAAGACGTGGTTCACTGGTGGCCAGGCAGAGGGCTCAACTCTACCTGAAACTCAACCGACACCAAGCATGACCAAAAGCAACTGCCTCGTGCCAAAACCTGTAGTCTCAAACCGCTCTTCGCAAAAATGTAATGTACGTAACATCACTTGCCCAACTGTTGATTGTCCACAGCAAAGATCAGAGCTGGCCTCGCGGCGTGTGTCCCAAATCTACCGGTGATGGCGAGCGAAGCGGCACACGCCTGGGCCGAGTTACATTTGTTCAACTGCAAATAATGACTCACATGTGACGGCTGATATGTTGATGCATTCTGGTTCTGGTCCAAAGTGTCCAAACTTCTCTTCAACATAGCTCAGCCACAAAGTCTCGGACCTGTCATCTCTCTCAAGCAGGTAGCAAACTCTTTGGATCTCTTTGCCATCTTTAGCCTAGCTATGCTTAACTCGTATTAACTCGATTTAACTCGTCATATTGAGATCTATGCTGACTCCAATAACGACATATTACGACCATGGCACAAGACAGGTGGAGCTGGCAATGGCGTTTGCAACGGCACGTGCAGAGGAACCGGATGTGGAGCTGGCCGTGAGCGGCCACTGGGAAGCTCCCACGACATCCCTGGCATTGGCGCATTGGCCACGTTTTACAATCGTCACAATCTTCAGAGTGCACCATGTCGTCATGTTTATCATCAAGCTTGAGAAGCCTTGAGAATCTTGAGAAACGGGAGCACATTTCATTGAGTTTCAAAAACCACTTATATATATATATATATAGACGAGCAAGCTTTGTGTGAAATAGGCGTGCCAGGGACTGATTTGGTCCGGATGCTGCGTGCTGTGTGTATCTCTGTGCCTATGAAGCTCGGAGGAACTTGACAGCTCCCACAGCCGGAATCAGTCACCTCTGGCACCGAGCTCACAACACATTAAGGCAGCAAAATGTTGAGAAAAAACGGGAGAAAAAAAAAGCTGAAGAAAAAAACGCAGGAAATGGACCGATTTGTGGACTCATTGCATTTTGACTCTTTGCATCCAAGGGTCTCCTACTTGGGATGGCAACGCTGCCACCCGCAAAGGCTGACCACTGGTAAATACAGGCGCACATGGGGATGGCGTCCTGGAAGCCCTCTCCTTGCTAGCCCGAGCAGGGGCACTTCCTCTGTGAACATGGTACGTAATTGGGCTTCTAACTATGATTGGTGATACTGCCCGTGGAGTGCTTGCCTGAAAGCGTTGTGGGGAGGGTGACCTCGTAGGGCGTCGTGGTGAGAACTGACACGGTGCGACATATGTCGGCACAGTTGCACGTCCTGCATCAGGAGATGCCATTCTCAACTCACTCCGATAGGTTGCAGGTCGCAACGCTGGGGGATGAGAAGCCCTGGGTGATCTAGCCATGCGCCACAACTGACCTCTTTCTGACAACGGGCAAGGACAAGAGCCCCTTTTCGGAGGTCCTGGAGCGCTTGGTACATTTGGTGCTACGGTGTTTCTCCATCTTGGCTCCGCACGCACTCCTTCAGGGACAGGGGACGGAACCCTGATAGAAGCACCGGAGCACCAGCCCACTGGCACCCTGCAGCTGGCACCAAGAAGCTGTGCGCTGTGGGCACTGGGGGCACTGGGAGCACTGTGGGAACCGTGCACGTAGGGAGGTGCTGCAACCACACGAGGCGGCGAGACTGAAACCCGCATCTTTGGCACAGTACTTGGCTCTGCAATGCATGGGCCATGGCATGGGCCATGCACCAGCGGACGGCTTCGAAATTGCCATCCGATCTGCGGAGCGTTCTGAGCATTCTGAGCATTCTGAGCGGTGGCGGTGTAAACTGGGATCCGGGGAGGTGAGCACATCCTGTGGTGCTGCGTCGGCACCGCTTGTGGCAGAAGACTGTGCAGGTGCCTGCGCGAAATGACCAAGGAATACGGATCTATCTGACCTGTCCAATTCAAATTTGTGGATTGTTGCCAAATGATCCGTCCTGCACTGAACTGAGGATACTTTCATGGACAAGGGGACACTATTGCAGATTTACAGTAGTGAGAACAGAATTACATGAGAGTATTCAGATGCTGCCGGTGTGTTCTTTGCTACTGATCAAAGCAACCAAGCCAACTTGAAGCTTCAGTGTTCATTTCGATTTGACCCATGGCCGCTCACCTTCAATTCAAGGACCATCTACGCTAGAGTCACCACAAATCAGAAAGTGTGAAATCAATTCAAGTCTGGATTCCAACAAGCACGGTGAAACGGTTAAAAAGAAACAATGACATTCAAACACTGCGCTGATATGCAATGCATATGCAATGATGGCATTCCTTTCATTTCCTTTCCATCCTGCCTCTGGCACTGCATAGGCTGCTCATGCGAGGCACTGTGTAGGCCGGCCGGCACCTGCGAGCATCGGCATGCCATCATGTGCTGCTAGAACTCTGCAAAACCTGACACATCCGAAACGTCGTTATGAAATGATCGGAAAATTATGACATGCGCTTATGACTCCATTCCCTTCGATGTTTGGCACTTGAGTGGCGAGGGAGTTTCAACAGCGGCGGAGGAAAATCATATTAAAAAACCTGTGCACGTGTCCGAACAAACGGAGACGATCGGAGACGTGGTATTGCTCGTGGTGAGACGCTTTCAAATCATCCCTCATCTCACCACCACATCCGACCACCTGAATGCAGTCTGGCTCCTGCTCTGGCTGCTTCTCTCGAGACTTGCTCGATTGAGGGGAGAAATCCTCTGACAGTTCCGGCACATCTTCAAGAAAGTGATCTGGATCCTGTGGCCAAGGGGCAATAAACTGCAGGTGTTGCAACACCTGCCGCGAAAAATATCCGAAAGAGCAAAGACTCGTTCCCACTCAGCTCTACTTTGTCCAGAACTCTCAGTCTCAGCTTCCACTGTTCCCCGAGTGCAATATCGAACGGACAAAATGTTCCATTGTGTTCCATCCCTGAAAGGATGGACCCTGCGACAGGAAGCACCCCATTTCAATTGCAATGTCCCAACCTTGCGCACCAAGGACGGCGGCTCCAAATCAGGTGTGTCAGCTAAAGGCAACTTCGGAACCCTTGGAGCCTTGAGGCTTTCACCTCGGCACGTGCCCATGGACCATGTTCCATCCAAACCCCTGTCTCGCTGTCCGTTTCGGACCCAACTAACCCCATCTAACATATCTAACCCCACTCAAAGGTCTCGGTCTCACTTCAAGTCGTATGATGTCGTATAGTCTTCTTAATCCTCTTCGATCCTCCGATGAATTGCATCTAGCCAAGTGGCTAGAGCTGTCCCAAAAGTAGCGTCTCTTAAACCTCAATCCCATGGTGAAGGATGCTGGCAGAGTTGTTGAATTTCAAGTCAGTAGCAATCACAATCTTTGGTGAATCCAGGTGACTGAGTCTAACGTCTCAAGTAGACACAAGGGGGTGCATCTTAGTAGAAGTACCCAAATCATTGCAAGTCCAAGCTGCCCATCGAGCTTTTCCCGGGCTTGGGTCGTTGTTTGCATCAGTAAAGCCATCTGCAAGGCATGCTCCTGGTAGAAACTCTGTTTGTAGCTATCTCCCTTTGCTTTGATTGTCTTGATCTGCCCCATACACCCTCCAGTCTATCGAACCAATTCTCTTGTAGTCAAAGCCCAGATGCAAACCCAACAGCCAAATCCGCAACCATTCGCTTCTACATGGTTCTTCATCTGGCTTGTCTCATCATCTGACCCTTCTGGTCCTTATCTTCTGACTTTCGCTATTCTGCGCTGTCCTATGCTCCCGTCTTGTCCCACGGTCCCATCGATGTTTGATTCTTAGTTTCGGATTTTCAGTCCTTGTTCTCCCTCTTCGCATCTTCCAGCCGATCCAAGAACATGTTGCGCCGGCACAGCATATTGTCCTGGAGATGGAAAGCACAACAGCCAGAGCTGCCCACGCTTAATGTGACTCCTTCTCTCTCTATCTCTATCTCTCTATCTCTCTATCTCTCTCTCTCTCTATCTATCTATCTATCTATGTATCTCTATCTATCTATCTATCTATCTATCTATGTATCTATCTATCTATCTATCTATCTATCTATCTCTCTCTCTCTCTCTGTCTCTCTCTCTCTCTCTCTCTGTCTCTATTTATATAAATGTGTTTAAAAAAACTACACATAGATGTGCATCTCCATCAATCTATTTATGTGTTTATCTATTTATCTATGCATCTATTTATAAATCTATTTATTTATCTGTGTATCTATTTATCTATTTATCTCTCTCTCTCTCTATTTATCTATTTATCTATCTATTTATCTATCTATATATTATATTTATCTATTTATCTATTTATATATTTATCTCATCTCAGCTCATCTCAGCTCATCTCATCTCTTCTCATCTCCTCTCATCCCTTCTCATCTCTTCTCCTCTCCTCTCCTCTCCTCTCGTCTCGTCTCTTCTCTTCTTTTCTCTTCTTCTCTCTTATCTTCTCTATCTGCCTATCTATCTATCTATCTACCTACTGTATCTACTCTATAAGACTGTCATACTGTATCATACTGTGTCACACTGTATCGCACTGTATCGCACTGTATCGCACTGTATCGCACTGTATCGCACTGTATCATGCTGTCTGTCTCTGTCTCTGTCTGTGTCTGTGTCTATCAATGGATTTCCCTCTAACCCTGTCCGTGCAGGTGCCAAAGTCGTTGGAAAGCCGATGGTATGCGGCAAGAACCTGTGCTGCCACGATGATTTGCTCATTGAAAGCTAATTGCGATGCGGACTAGCCCTTTTGACAAGGTGTGAACCCGAGTGCGGCGCTGTCATTGGCTTGATTGATTGATATACTTGTTCATTTATCGTCTATTTCCATTGTTTATATTTATATGTTTTTACATAGTAGCCACCGGTATGTAGATGACCACTGCTGAAAATCATTCTGAACGGTATGAGGCAAAAGCACTAACGCTGCAGGCCACGGCACACACTCTTGCCAGGCACGGCTCAACTCGTTGTGTTCCCCTGACATTCATTGGCCATCTTTGGCCCATGGAAAGCTGCGGAAACAGCTGGTATCATTTGACGCACTTGAAACAAACTCGAAAAATCTGCTGAAATTGCAGTGGCCACCTCTATCTGACTCTATCTGCCTCAAATCATTCTCAAAGTGCTTAGCAAAGTTGGCAACATTGGCAGCCAAGAGAGGTCAGTCAGGGTGAGTCTTCCATATCTGAGGCCTGGAATGATGGTCGGCTGGTTTGACAGGAGCTGAGTCAAGGTCTCAATGAGGAAGGTGTTCCTCTGTTTTGCATCCTCCGCGTACCTTAGTGAGATGTTTTGTGAGTCACTTTGTGTCACTACATATATACTTGCCACGATTTCTATGATACCTCTATGTGTGGCACAATGTGGCGCGTTGACCAGTTGAAGTCACAGATGTCACTAGAAGTCACTGCGCTGCTGAAGGGAAGGTGAGCAAATTTGATATTGATCCAGGATCCACGATGATCAATGACGTTTGGCCACCGGAAATGGTGTGAGCATGATTGCAACATATTACAACATATTGCAACAGCTTGTGGAGCCCAAGAAGATCAAGCATATCTGGCCGAGGAGCGCTGCCATTAACTGCAGGCACGCCTGAAGAGCTTCGGCTTCCAGCTCTTGTTGCTCGCAGTGCCTCGGCAAAAATGCTGACTCGCTGAGATTCAACGATTTAATCATTTCAATCTGTTCTTGGAAGTCTTTTTGAAAGGATTGCCATCTCACGACTATCTCTATGCTTGGAAGGGCCAAAATAAATGGCAGCAGTAATCGCTTCAGAGGCTCTTGTTGAGCTCTTCATACTGGTCCACGAGATCTTGAATCTGCATTCCTTGGATTAAATGCTGCATTCATTGCTTGACAACTGCACCGCCTTCAAATTCTAGGCCACGGTCTGCCTTCAAAAAAGCGTTGAAAATATGGAACTTCATAGAACCCTTTGACATCTCTTTGACATCTCTTTGACCTTTGCCATTTTTTCCAAGTTTCGACGGGCAATAGACTTGCCATCCTCGTCTTTGAAAAATGTCATCATGTTTTTCAGGAAAGCCTCTTCACTGGCTTTCTTTTCTTGAAGCTGCTGTTGTAGCAGCCGACACTCTGCTCGAAGCTTTCTCTTCCGCCATTCCGGCGGTCGCCTCAGGAGCAACTCCACGTCGTCATCCTCACAGTCTCTCGGTGTGATCTGCTCCACCTTGGACAGAGCCTTCTCAATGTGCTGCTTCGGAAAGAGTTCATCCACACCGCGGATCAGCTTCGTGGCAGTTGCTCGCAGCTCCAGTAGTCCCCCGCCAGGGCTTCTTGGGCTCTCTGGGCTCTCCGCCATTGCCCCCAGCGAAGACCAGCTCAAGAGGCACCATGGCACCCCCGGATGCGATGTTGATGCAAAGCCACAGGAAACACGTAGTCTTATTACGTTTTGCTAAGTGTAAAAGGTGAAGCGTTGCAAATGCAACTTTAAACAAAAGACGTTCTATTCATATGAAAAACGCATGAAGTGCTACAACATGCTACAACCTCTCAAAATGGTCGAGGCTGAACAATTCCAGGCTTCAGCTCAAAGAAAGGCTTGGGAGTCTGTCACTGCCGAAATGTTTGTTTCCCTAAAGGGCTCAAATTGAGTCGAATCTGGCACAAATAAGGCAGAGCAATGATCTGCGGCAACTGTCCCTTGCCGTTGCTTCAATTCTTTGCCCATTCTTTGCCCATGTTTCTTGTTTCCTGCTGGCATGACAATGTATGAGCTGGTCGTGCGGGCATCAGGGGAGAATAATTCGAAATGCATGGGTTCCATCAGGTTCCGCCATGGAAATTTGCAGTAATTAATGTCATCCCTCTAGGTTCAAGAAAATCCAGACCAGCCTTGAATCATCTTGAATCATCTTGAATCATCTTGAATCATCTTGAATCTGAAACCATGAAACACCTGTCCGTAGAAAGCCTAGCTGCAGTCCAAACCACCTCTCACTACTCAAAGCCCAAGCCACATTCTCATCAACTGGCAGGCATCCCGTCGGAGTGAGCCTGGTCGGCAACTGTTGTGCTTCAACAACACCAATTGGTAGCACACCCCACGGCCAGGTTTCGGAATTTTGAACAGTCCAATTCCAAAACGGCACGCAGGGTATTGTCACTTCTCCATACATCTTTCGACTAGTTTCGATGATGATAAGAACTGTGTCCAGCGCTGTCATTTCACAATCTACGACTTGAGACCCTCTGTCTCTCAACAACAAGATGACGGGGGCTGGACCCCTTGTGACAGCCAAGACACTGATCTTTTGCGATCTTTGAACCTGATCCAGCAAATCTGGCCTCCAAAAGCCAAGCAAAGTGGGCTAGTGGGGCCGGACCAGGAACCAAAACTATCCAAAAAAAAGAAACCCCAATTGATTTATGTGTTGAAAGTTTTGAGAATTCCCTCAGGTGGCATTGCATGTTGGAGGAAAAAAACGGGGGGAAACCTAAAGAACCATAAGGAACCCCTCTCTATCCCCTGTCATGGTTCCCAAATGCAAACCTTGACCAACTAGGCCGAGCCTTGACCCCTTTACAGTTTCGACCATTGCGCCTGTCTGGTATCTCCTCAAAACTATCTGAGGACTGCAATGTGCGCCTGAGCTCCTGCAGGATTTGTGTGGCCAAAATCTAGCCTTCACCTGAGAGCCCTGGAAGATTTTCTGAATCAATCACCTTCTATCGTCATGTCATCATCGTCGTTATCTCCTTGTTCTGCGGGTCAAGGAACGACGCTACACGAGCTATGGCCTAATCGGCGCAAAGTCGCAAAAGTCACAGACTTGTGAGGTGCGCAAGAATGTCTGTGTGTGTGTGGAATTGTTATCGTATAATATTATCCTATCATCATCATCATCATCATCGTCATCATCATCGTCATCATCATCAGCATCACCATCATCATCATCATCATCAGCAGCAGCATCATCAGCATCATCAGCATCATCAGCATCATCATCATCATCATCATCATTGTTTATACTGGACTATACACATGCGTTATATATATATGCATACATAAAGAGATAACTAATAAATGTGTCATATATATATATATACATGAATATCGTGAGATGAACGCATCACTCGGAACTCTTCACTCTTGACGTATGCACCCCAACACCAGCATGGATGTCCATGAAAGCAGAGTACTCGTCAGCCTATTTGTGGGATATGATATATTGCTGCTCTCTTTGGGCCTCTGCTTCCAACGGTTCCAAAGTACATTTGGATACCAAACACTAGCAGTCAAGTTAGACATTCGGGCCTGTACCACCGTTTTTCCCACAGCAAAGGAATTGGCTAAATCCTGCATGACTGGTGAGGATGGGATGTGATGCTTCGTGTCTGCAGCACCTTGGGATCACGAAAGGAATGAACGCGAGCCCGTGCCTGAAGTGATCAAGGGTTGTTTCACACATCACGTGCCGAGCAAGTAATTCTGCAACATCTGTGACATCACTTGAAACTTGGTTTTCTTGGGCATCACTGCAGGAATTTGTCAAGAATGCCGAAGTGGCAATAATTGCTGGATATTGTTGGTATACTAACCAACTATCAAATGGTTGGGAAAGAAACGGAATGCCGAAGTAATGGCTAAACTCGGCTAAACGATTCAAAGGATGTGCTAACCAATCCAAGTTGCTACTGGATGCGACGCTCTCCTTAGAGTTCAATCTCTTTGACACTGCAGTTTCAAAATCGGACTCCTAGTCCTAGGGTCGAGTATATATTTTACTGCATCCCGCAATTTCCCTTGATGAGAAAGGCACAACCGACTGGTGCAGGAAAGTTGCGTGGTGTTGAATTCAAGACATGCGTGCAGCATCATGTAGCTGCTTTGAGCACAGAACCGGCACAGCGTCACTATGGCAAGCTCAGTAGATTGCTGACCCAGCAGCTGACAAATGTAAACGGGGTAGTTGTGCGTTGATGTTTGTCCGTGCCAACATGCATCAAAGCATCTTCTTCTTGGCTTCTGCATCAGGAATCCAAGAAATGCTGCTCCTCGTCTTGTGGCTGTCCTCTATCCTGGGAGCACAGTTACTTTCACCCAACCAGTGCGGATTCCCGTGGAAATCACAGTAGAACATCGAAAGCCACGTTTTTGATGCTTCAAACTTCCAAAGACCTCATGCTAGCCCATGCCTGGAACTGAATTAGCCCTGGCTGCCTACTCACTGACAATGTCCAGTAAATGAAACCTCTTGAAATAAATTTAACAAAAACAGTTCCTAACCTGAACTCCCACATTAATCACCTACCGCCCACACTCAACACCACAAGTTTCGTCCCGACTTAGGTCAGTCCTCGAGTCCTGACTCTGGAAATACGCCTGTGCTGCACACAGGCTGCTAGCTGGAAAGGGACAAACGATTATGTTCCCATGTCCAACTGATGCGTGACATACGAGTAGCAATGCAGCACTGGAAACTACCGAACACATCAGCAATAATCAATAGGTTTTGTGAAAAATATCGGTGTGCCTGTGGCAAATCAGCCATATCCGCTGGAGCAATAAACTTGATGTTGACCCAAAATGTTCAAAAGCACCCATGTAAAGGTCATTGTGCCATCGAGTCCAGTCTCCAAACACCCATCCTAATCATCTTAAGCCACTGTCGCTCCTCGACAGGGTCTTCTGGTAGGAGAGGTTGCTCGGCCAAGTGAAGTTTGAACAGGTCATGCTCGTCGACTGCACGGGGTCGCTTGGGTTCCATTTGGGTTATGCAAAACACTGACTCATTGCTCGCCTGTAAATATATCTGTGTGTTTGTGCCTTAACATGTTGATTTCTCAACATGTAGATATACTACCTCCCCTTTACCTGGCGTCCTGTTCCATCTTCATTTTGCACAAACTACCGTGACTTAGGGCCCTGGAGCTGTTGGTTGCAAAAACGGTCCCTAGCACACTTCAAGCTGGTAGCGGAGCTGGTTGCCCTGAGTTCACTCCGAGCTCTCACGGTGATAGCACTAGGTCCAAAACTTGTGTGATCTTGTGTGTGTGTGTGCGCGTGTAAACGTTGAAACGCCTAGCACATTATCCTGAAGGACAGGGGTCGAAGAACCGTCGAACACAGTGTCGATGGCAGGTCTGAGGTTCTGCCCGAGCAGCCCCACAGGACCACAAGAGACGAAGAGCGGGAGATACGTGTACAGTGGACATCCGTCCCACTTTCACAAAGTTCAATTTCGAACCCTGCCACGGCAAGGAACATGGTATGAGGATCTAAATGATCTCAAACTCACACCAGGAATCGAATGAGATCAAACTTTGCGATTTTTCTCTAGCAATCTTCTGACAATGTGTGATGTCATTTTACTTGTCAGGTGTATGTCTGTGGATGTCTGTGGATGTCTGTGGGCATGTACCAGGTAGTTGCTGAACGAATTGAACATATGATGATTCAACATGATCAAATATTATGATGCCCATTGACTGTGAAAACATCTTGGTGCCGCTGGATGGCAGCCGCCTTCCATCCGTCTGGGCGAACGGCTCTTTGGGGTTCGCTCCTTTCAACAGGTGGGAGGACACCAGGGACCCCAGGCCCGGTGCCAGGGAAAGGTAGGGAAACACAGGGAGTCCGGGATATTATTCTTGAACCAGTTTGTCAGCACGGACTGGTCAATAGTGGAAGTGCAGTAGAATTACATGTCTGCCTGCCTGGCGGGAGGCCAAAAACAACATGATAGCCATAATTGACTGCATGTCTGGGTTACACGGCGCACATAGTTATGCATTCCCTCATGTATAATCTGGCGACACATCAGCAGCATTCAGCAGCAATTCTTGCAAGCATCTTCGCTGGAGAGGAGCAGCGATACAAACCTACTACGATTATAATGCGATTTTTTTTGGCAAAAAGCATCTGATAGGCTGAAACACCGGAGATGATCCAGTCAGGACAGTGGTTGATCAAGCTCACACACTGAAGGGAGTGCACGAAAAGCCTTGAAAAGCTTCGAACAGTCCCATGCTTGTTCCCTCAAGGCACCGACCACACCCGTACCACGGAGGCTTTTGTCAAACAATTCCTTGGTTATGAGACAGGTGTGCAGACACACATCCAGATGCAAGCCAATATTGATCCTGCAAACGATGCAACGGTGCATATGCACTGCATGAAAGACACCAGAAGAGAAAGAATGTTTTTGAATGTGTTTAATCTAATTAATGTTAGAAATTTCTGGTCCATACTTTCAGCTCTCTTGCAAGCCAAGTAGCCCAAGGGTCTGTGGCATGCATGCCTGTTCATGCTTTGAAATGAAAAGGCATTCTTCAATTTTGTCACAAATTCGAGGGAAGTGTTTAAAGTTTAAAGTTTAGAGTGCATGATGACGACAGATTGTAGACATATTTCATAGGCTTCCATATAATCAAGGCCTCTGAAGCTTCAAACAAAATGAATCAGGAATGCCATTCATTGCCAATTGTTCAAAGCTTCCTGGAGCCTTTCCTTGGAACAAATCGATTTTTTGAGCACAACGAAAAGAAGGATCAAAAAACATGCCGCACGAGCCACAGCCGCCTCGCTTGCGAAATGACTTCTGTCTCTGTAGCCCTGCTCCCCTGGCGTCCTTCTCTTCGGGACCTTAGCCGATGTCAGCACTTGGCCGCGCAGCAAAACATAGTGCAAGACACCATCCCTGAACCCGTACACCTAGAGACTGGAACCCCCTCGTTTCTGCCATCCCTTCCAATCTTGTCTCAGTTCCAAATGAAGCAGCTGTTTTAGGGTGCCTCATCACTGTTCTCAATGAATGAATTCTTGAGCTTGAAAGCAATGACGAAAAAACATGAAAAAACCAGGGCTTGGTGATTTTAGGTGCGTGTCAGCACAACCATGATAGTATCGTTGACACTGGTTGTACTATTCCCGGCTGCCCATGACTGCAACGTCTCAACCCCGCTCCAGTCAGGCGACGAAACCATGGCAAAGGTGCTGTTAGGGTTGCAATGGCCTGTCCAGAACTCAAAGGCTCAAGGGCATCAAGGGCTACGGCTAGGCCGCTAGGCACTGCTAGGCAGGATGCCAGGCCTGGGAGTTGCGCGGCTTTGCCTCACGGTCATAGCCCCATGTAGTCCTGACCGAGGGAACTTTCCACCAGATCCCCTCAAATCAATCCATCAGATTTGAACTTAAAACCCCCCCTGGACAAACCAATCGAGATGCACTGCTGCATTGATCGCTTCACTTATCACTCCGCTCTCTTGAAGCAAACGACATCACCAATTCGGGGAGTCGGAATCTATGCGCCTGCCCTCAGACAAGCGCGTTGAAGAGATCTCAATCTGTTCAAGCCGACGTTGGCGCCCTCAGCACTTGCTGGGTGGGTCACAGCTTCAGGCGGTAGATGCAACTGCCAGGCATCGAATCAAGGTGCTCTAGGAAGATCTGCCATACTGGGCACTCATAGGCAAATGATATACCAATTATATCATATCCAACCATGTCTAATCATGCCGTTGCAGCCATATGCTCTGAGGATCACATGTTTTTCTTTTCAGGCATTCCTTCTGGCCGCTGCTAAGTCGAATGGCTTTTGTTTGTCAGATCCTTTGTACTTGGATCGAATCGGTGGCCTGCCCCGTGACTCTTCAGCCAAATGTCGCTGATCATGCTGATCCTCCTTTTGATCGGCTTGCACTTCATTCACCTCCACGCTCCCAGACAGCAGCGGATCCAAGTTTTCCTGCACACTTTGCAAGTGATGAACCCAGTCTATGAACAAGATCCTGCCAGCACACTGAAACACGTCCACAGAACAGCTTCACAATTTCAGCTCCATGTTTTTCCCTCGAAAGTCAACAAACGCCGAGGTGCTAAAGCTGGCAGGACAACCACTTTGAAATTGCGGTTGTCTCGCCTTAGATTGTCGGCGCTCTCTAGGGGTAGGGTTTCCAAACCTCCCACGTGAAACACGGAGCAGCATGATTCAAGATTTGTTTTGCCAAACTTTGATCTGAACAGATGTGACTGGACGGATTGAGGGAAAAACAAAACAGGGAACCCTTTGTATAGTTTGTATATCTTTGCATAATGCTTCAAAGTATGTCATAATTGGTTTCAGAAGCCTATAGGAATGCTTAGTCCCCTAGTATTGCAACCACGCTGCAGTCTGCGTTTCCGAAGCCTGTAAGGACCAAACAACAGGAGGGCAACGACAAGATCGTACAAAACAGACAGATGCGAAAACTCAGAGACCTGTCTCGAATTGTCGGGAAATGCCTGAAGATTTCCCTAAAAACCAGAACTACCACTCTCATCTGATGTCATATGATCATCTACTCTCCTCTTCCCTGTGTGTTCTCTATGCCACGGTGCCTGTTCCCATTCAATTGGGCAGACCGCTTGGCTGCGTCAGCGTGAGTTGCTGCTACCAACCTTGAGGCCAGCACATCAAATATACACGCACTGATATCTATCTATCTGTCTAGCTGTCTGCCTGCCTGCCTGCCCGGCTGGCTGTCTGTCACTCTGTCTGTCTGTCTGTGCGTGCGTGCGTGCTTTGTAAAACATACCCATGCATCAACAAAAAATTTCAAGGGCTTCGCCGGGTCTGAGGGCATTCGATTCAACTCGATTCAACTCGATTCAACTCATTGAATACCATTATCTACCATTGCATGATTGCATATTGGATGCATTTCAATATATTGGTTCGCCGATGTGTCCAAGTCACGCGTAGCTGTCTCCAGCCACCTGCTCCGCCACATATGTGCCAACCTTCGCTTGCAATCATGGCATGCTGGGAGAAATGGTTGCAAAAAACAAACTCAAAATGGCTACAGTATGATACACTCGCGATGGCTCTCAGAGTTCCCCTTGCAAAAGCCCTGGCATGTTTAATTGAAATCTCCCAAAATTTGGTTCCACCTCTGACCCCAACCCT